ATCCAGAAAGCCGCCAAAAAAAAAAAAAAAACCATCAAGGCCACCACCAGATGCGCTGAAAACGGATAAGCTAAAGCCAAAGCCAGTGACGAAAAAAGCGCCACCCCTAAGCCCTAAGCAGTCGGGAACACCGTAGACTTGAACAGCACGCCCTTCCCGTAGATCCGCACGCTCAAGCCGGTCGCGATGCGGACCCGCGGCGGGAGCTCCTCCTTCGGCGGGCCCGACTGCAGGCTGACCTGGCTGCTGCCGCCGTTGTCGCCGGTGCGGACGGCGCCCAGCTGCTGCTCGCGCTCGCGCTGGCGGGCCTCGCTCTGCTGCAGCTTCTTGCCGCCGCCGCCCATGATGCTCGAGAACATGCCGCGGCCGCCCGAGCGCTTGGTCGTCTCCTGCTGGGGGCCCGGCGGCGAGCCCTGCTGCGATTCGTCCTCGACGCCGACGGCCCCTGCGGTCATGTCCTTCATGTCGCTGGCTGCGCTGGCCAGGCTCGCGCGCTCCGCGGACTCGCTGTCGCGATGCTGCAGGACGCCGTCCGCGCAGGGCTGGGCCAGAGGGGGGATGCCGCTCTCGACCGTCATTTGCTCGCCCATGATGCCGTGTCCGGGTGGATAATGCTCGATGGCGATTTCGCGGCTCTCGAGCGGCAGGTGCGAGAGGATGTTGATGGTGAGTTCGATTATCGGTGAAACATTCGCCTTCAGCTCTAGGAAGTCCTCGTGGTTCGGGTCCACAACATACATCTCCATAGTGGCAGTCAGGGACTCGTTGAGCGACTTTATCAACAGTTCGCGGTTGGCCGTTGCCTGCGGTCCACGAAGCTGCTCTGCGAAGCCCTCTGTGGTTGCGAGTCGCCAGTTTATGAGCTTGGACGTGAGTGCTTCCTCTTCCTCGGTATTACTTGCTAAGGGAGCGTGTCTGCGGATGTTGATGTGGCAGCTCTTGAGCTGTTTGGAGAGGTGCTGGTCAAGATCGGGGTGGAAAAACTTATTGAAGACTTCATCAAGCAGCCATTTGCTGATGACAGCACGTCCGACGGCAGTCATCTCACGCGTGCCAACCTTTACGGCATCATGATTGACAGCAGTCTGCAACCAGGGCGGGATTTCCTTCCAGATCTTCCGAATGGCAAAGGCAGCTTGCTTGACAAGACCATGAAGGCGCTCAAATCGTGCGTTGTACTCGGTATCGTCGAGAGAAGTACGCGATTGAGAAAGACGCTGGTGAGCCAAAGTGTTCTGCAGCGAATGGACCTGGGACTGCTGCTCGAAGAAGTACCGCTTGACCTTTTGGTACTTTTCGCCTGTGGATATAATCAAAATCTTGGTCGGAGCACGAGCTAGGATAGCACTTACGCAAAACTTCATGGTCTTTCTGCAGTTGTGCCACCTCCTCATCACTCATGTCACTGACGGCACGCTTGGGCGGCGGAGTGCCACGGCCACTCTCATTGTCATTGCCACCATTCTTGCTACCTCTAAAACGCTGGTCCTGCGATCCGGAAGGAACGACATCCGCGCTAAACGTCTGACGGTTAGGAGTTGGTTGCGGCGTAAGGTTGGAACTTTCCCTCGATGTGGAGGACAGGCCACCCTTGGGGGCGTCGGGGGAGCGTTTGCTCGAAGGCGGAGGCATCTGCTCGGTCGACTGCTGCGGTTGAGGTTCCTGTATTGGGGTAACGACAAAGTCCTGGGTTACTTGCGGGGCCAGGGTCTGGCTCTGACTTTGGTGGCTTGGAGCAGGGGACGGGGAAATCTGGTGCGGGGGCTGAGGCAGCTGAGGCGTTGGCTGTTCCTGAGAAAGCCGCTGCGGTGGCGCCTGAGCCGGGACACGAACAACGGGCGTACGGAAGGCTTCCGGCTGCTGCGGCTGAAACTGCTGTTGCTGCGGCGGAGCGGACGTCTCGGGCGGGATGAACTGAAGATCCTGCTCCTGCTGCTGCCTAGAACCAGAAAGACTTTGTTGATGATGATGATGATGATGATGATGATGCTGTTGCTGCTGCTGTTGCTGCTGCTGTTGCTGCTGCTGCTGCTCTTGCTGTTGGAGTCGCTGGTACGCCTGAAAATCCGCTTGCTGCTTGATGTATTCCTGCTGAGCTTGCTGAGAGTCCCCTCCGTGCGAGTGCTGACTCTGAGGGCCGACGCCGTCAGCGGATTGCGGGATCAAGGCTTGGTGAAGCTGATTTTGGTTGGCCTGTACCTGAGGCTGCTGGGTGTACGGCTGCTGATAGTGAGGTGGGGGCGGATTGTGGGCGCTCAAGCCACCGTTGCCGTGCAGGTGGGGGCCGTGTTGATATTCGCCCGAATTGCGGCCACGCAGGCTCTGCTGGAAGCTTTGCTGGGTGTTGACGCGGGCGAGCGACGCACGGCGGTACTCGTTCGGGTCTGGGCTCTGGCCAATGGTGGGGTTGTTGGGTTCGTAGTAGGCGTCTTTGGCGGGCGGCACAGGCGAGCGTTCGTCGGGCTGCACCTGCAGGAACGGGTCGAGGTGCGGGTTATGCTCGTCAACCTCGTGCGATGGAGCTAGCTGCTTGCCCTGCTGCCAATAGCGTTGGTCTTCGGCGAGGCTCTGCGGGCGCGGGACGGGGAGTTCCTTCTTTCTGACCGACACGCGTCTGCCGAGACCCTTGTCCTTGGGCTGCGAATCGTGGCTGTCCTTGGAGGACGAGCCCAGGCCGAGTCTGCTGCGCAGTGACTTCTTTTCGGGAGCGTAGTTCACGCTACGGTCGGGCTGCGGCGAGTATGGGGCATAGGGCTGCGCGCTGGCGCGGTCGACGGGCGTTGCGGGGACGTCGGCGGCGGCGGGGACGGTGACGGGGCGGTCCAGCGACAGATTGGAGCCCGGGAGCGAGTGCGTGGGCGGCGGGGGATAGCTGCGCTGCTGCGCGTCGTCTGGCTGTCTGAAGCGGTGTTCTGCAATGGGCCGTCAGCTCTGGGCCAGGTGCCTTGTTGTTGCGCGCGGGGCTTGGCAGCGCGGGCAGCGACTGGACTACTGCGTACCTGAAGAGGCCGACGACGCGTAGTCGGTGGCACTGCCCACAGAAGCTTGCGACTTGTTCGACTTGGACCAGAAGGAGGGTTTCGAGGGCATGGCAGACCTCGCGGAGCCACACGACGCTGCGCGCGGCTTGGGACTGCGAAGGCGGCGGCCGCGGGTGGGGCTGCGAGAGGATCAGCAGAGTTGCTGGCGCTGCTAAAGATAGGCCGGGCGCGTGCTGCGCGCGGAGAGGCAGACAATGCTCGCGCCGTGCGAAGCTCTCTCGAGGAAGGGTGCGAGGTCAGGCTGGTGACTGCAGGCGTATAGGAAGCTCGCCGGCTGGACACAGGCTGCTGCGGGCGCGGAGCGGGAAGTGGGTAGCTGGAGGAGCCATCCTCGAGCGCGCTCCGGCCGTCAGCCGCACGTGTAGGGCTCTCGGGCAGCCGCTGAAGGCTCCAGGCCGGCGCGGAAGAGCCGCAGACCCACCGCTGGGAGCCGTGGAATCCATGCGCGGGCCTTGGTGGTGGCAGTGCCGCGGCCGGGGCAGGCTTGAGGGCAGGCTTGAGGGCAGGCTCGAGGGCTCGCCAGCAGCTTTGTGGAGAGACCCTGAGCCGCACGCGTTCGCCGACGCGTTTGTGGTCGCCCGGTCGCGCTCGCCCGCCGACTGCGCACGCCTGCACTCGTCCAGCGCCCTGCCCCGCGGCATCCGTGCCTAGCCTGCGCGACCATGCCTCCAACCGCTATTTTTAGCTGCGGAGCAAACACGGGCGCCCGGCCGACCAGCAACCTAAAATCCACTCGTTGTCAGCACGCAGCTGCCGCTCCTCGCCCAATCCGGCCGCAACGCCCCGAATCGTCAGTGCCTCACTGCTACTCCCACAAGAATCTCTGTTCGACCGCCTGCAAAGGGCCCGCGACTCACCGGTCGCTCGCGCTGGTCCTACCAGGCCCTCCCCGATCTGTCTCTGCGCAGATTCCTCGGAAAGTCGTCCGGCCAGCCGCCGACCGGATTGCAGTGCCGCCAGGGCAGTCCCGCCTGGGCTGTGCCGCAAGCGACGCGCGCTTGTCGAGCCAGAGGCACCCCGTCTCCCTCGCCGGTCCAGGTACGCTCTACGCTCTGCGCATGCTTGCCAGGCGGGGGGTCCGATGGTGCCGAGGCCCGCATTCCGACTGCTGCGACCGCTTGTCCCCTTCCAGCCCGCCTGTGATACGCCAGCCACAACCAGGTAGTATCTGTCCACCTAGATGTATAAAATTTTGCTCTCCTCGGCGCAGCCGACCACGATTTTTGTTTGTGTAGGAGATACCGGTGCAACAGAGTATCGTGTTCACTCGCGTGGTTCATTCCCGCCGTGTCCGGGTCGGTGCTGCTTGCCCTCCAAGAGCGCATATAAATTGACCCCGTCTCTCGTCCGTGAATCTCGTCTTCACCGCGCTCTCAATTGACCCATCAGCCCTCTTACGAATCTGCAAGAAGAGAACTCTCCTCAATCATACCATGTACCTGTCTACCATTTTCACGAGCTTCTTTGCTCTCATGGTCTATGCCATCCCCCTCGCCCGCCACCGCCAGCCGACCGACCTCGCGTGCGCAAACCCCGGTGACTGCTATAAGATCACGACCATGGACATCACCAGCGGCGAGTCTGTCCAATTGAGGTTCACGCTCTATGACGACGCCAAGAGCACCAACAACACGACTGTGTGCAGCGCCTCGTGGGAGGTTGGCGCGAATACTTGGCCCCAGAAATATGTAAGACCCTGGGCGAGAGCGGGCCTTTGTATCACCAGCGCATTTTCTAACGCGGAACCTTGCAGATCAAGTGCAACGACGACATGTTCCAGTGGATGTTCTCGAAGTTCGACACCGTCACCGACTGGAACATGGAAGCCGCGCACGACTTTAAGCTCGGAGAGTACGTTTCCTGCTTTCCTTCACCTTCCAATGCACATGGCTCATGCTGACTCCGTTGTGGTAGCTCCGGCGCACGCGCCTTCGCCAACGGCACGGCTACCATCGACGACTTCGCGTGCCAGTCGGGTACAGCTGGTGTGCAGTACTGCAGCCTGAAGGGAGACCATGTCATCAATCTCAACAAATACGCCATGATTGCCTAGAGGCGGTGATGCAGGGAGTTGCACGCTCCTGCAGCCTTGCCGAGGCTGACGGGGGGTGGCGGAAGGCCAAGGCGGTTGCTACACGGAGCTTGGTGATCCGTCGATGACTCTGGTGCCTTGCATGAGGGTGTGCGCCATTCATGTGGCTTTCCGTATTCTTTGCCCAGGCAGCGTCCACTTTTGTGCTTTTCATGACTTTGATGAGAAACGGCTGTCGTAGTTAGTACAGATCGATCGCAACCTAATACGTATCTTCAATAATCCTGCCGTCTCGGTAGTGTCATGCGGTTCTTCAGCCTTTCCCGCATAATGACTAGTTGTCTCGTGAGATCATCCAGTGGTGGAGGCGTGCATCCCAGCAGGCAACCACGGTCCGCCACATTTCCTTCCATCCGGACGAGCGAGTGCGCGAGCACCGAGAGCCGTCACGTAGCCGTAGGACTGACTGGCTGCGGCCATGCAACGTCTGCTCCTCTTGATTTTGCTGCAACGGGCTGTTTGCCTGCGCCTCGGTCGCGGTCACATGGCCACGGACCCAATTCGGTAATTTTGCTTCCGGCCTTGGAAAGGGGTGCAGTGGTGGTATTGTGTCCCTCTATTTCGGAGCGGGAATCCAGGGCAACACAGAGGGAACATGACCGCATGATGGCGGAGAAGCGTGTGATGGCTGCTGAAGTACCATCATGACCGTCCACTACTAGCTCAGCAACATCCGGCCGCAGCTGACGAGCAGATCTGAGACCTGACGATGGAAGTTACGTACCACGAAAAGCGTGGAGTGACATTCGTGAACCCCGCGCTGGGCCCCCGGAAGCAAGGTGGGCAGCCAATCGCGCCGTAGCCGTCCACAGGAGTTCTGCGTGCCCGCCAAAGCTGTTGGTCCGTCCGGGCGAATACCAAGGGTACAGGGCGCACTTCGAGGCGCGGCCATTTCTCGCTTGGCGCAGTGATTTGTAAGGGGAGGGCAGCCGGCCTCGATCGGGAGGGCCGGTGTTGCGGGGCGGTCTCGCAGTCATTGATGACGGGGCAGGAATGACGATGACTGCGCCTGAGGTGATGATGGAGATTGTTGAGGACTGCCTCAGGCCGCGGTCAGGCGTTTGGTCGGGTGGCGACGGAAACCCAATCGAAGGTTCCGGATGGCTCCGCGCCCAGTCATCGCCTCGCAGCCCAAGACCACGTCGGTTTCGATCCACAGCCCACGTCGACGATTGCAAATATTCAAGTCGACGGGTGTGCGGGCGTGCGGTCTGATACGAAGACACGCAGCAGGCAGCGGGGCTGGCGAGAGGTCAAAGCGAAAGCGACGTGTTGGGTGCGTTCGTAGGGCTCTGCTGCGCCACCCGCGGCGCCACAATTGGTCAGCCACGGGCGCAATGACGACGATCATCCGCCGTGTGAGTCAACGACCGTCGCCCGCGTGGTGACTGTGTCGCCTGGTCCGCAATCGGAGCCCGCTCCCGCTCTTTGACCCCATACCCCGCTGTATATATTCACTTGGAGATCGCCGCAATGCTTGCTTCCAGCCCGCCCTCACCAGAAGCAATCCCCCCTTCTCTCTTCCGACATCCCTCTCCATCTCGACAACCTCTCACAACATGGGCCAAAGACACAACCGAAAGCGCACGAGGAGTCGTCCGCGCAACCGTCGCTCAAACGGCCATGCGCGCGACTCCTCGGTAGATAGTTCTTTCTCCTTTTCCTCGGAGTCCTCGTTTTCCGGCCAGCTTCCGTATCCTCACACCCAGCGTTACACGTCTTTTTCGAATCCGCCCGCGACCCACTGGCATCAGCAGTACTCCGCATGGCAAGTCCGCCAGGGGCTCCAGCAAAAGCAGCAGCAGCAGCACATGGAGAGCCAGCGTCTCCGCATGTTCGGCGGCGAGGCAGCCGACGGGGCAGAGCTTTGCGGTCCCATGCTCAAAGTCGTCATGGATCTGTTCGACGACATCGACTACATCGATCCCTGAGCCAGCGGGCGTCATCACCAGTCCACATCTCCACACCATATGACTCTCCGACCCCGCACCATGACCGTCACGACGCCTGCTTTCCGCCGAGCTTGTTCATAGCTACCACACCGCATGATCGCGGATATCGATCACGGCGTTCCGGGAGTCTGTACATGAAATCATTTCCGATACGTATCATCTTCACCATCATTTCACGGAGTCTACAAGGCGCAATACAACAGGTCTTCAACACCTGGGAATCTTTTACTTCTCTTCTCGTATCCGCATATTCAACGACAACACCGCTCAATATTCTCTCATCATCAAAAAAGAAACCAAAAAAAAATAGGAGAGTTCATTCTCTTCTACCGAAAACTCAACTGGAGGCGTAGGAACAACACTCGAAGCCAGGACTTGTAGCAGTGAAGACAGGGCTGCCCTCTCCCCCGTTATAGCGGAGCGGTACGGCGGCCTCTGTTGGATCGGTTCGATAGTGCTCGAGCCTTGGGACTCCGGAATACTCTCTGCAATGTGTACAAGAAAGAGGTGGCGAGACAGACGGGCAGGAAAACGGGGCAGAATATCTGAAAGTATCAGCTCGATGCACGCATCTCCGTAATTGTTTCTTTACTTGGACATGCTCGAGCGTCGCTGGATCTTTTCGCTTGATTCGGAAGGGGGATGAGCTTGGACACTTGTGGAGCGAGTTTCAAAAAGAAAATCTCGCGATGAGACGAAAGTGGGGTGACTTTTCTTAGAACTCTCGAGAAGAGAAACAGCATGGAAAGGAGTACTACTCAGGGGCATTTATGGGCAATGGTCTCCCTTTCGTTCAAAGATACCCCAACCAGCTAGTATTAGCAATGATTTGAATCTTTTTTTGTTTTTTCATCTGTGGAATGGTTGAGAACATCAGGATCTGGTTCAAGCGACTCAACATTGACTCACTCATTGTTAGATGGATCAGTCACAGATGATCAATGGGTTGGCACACTACTCCGCGAAGCGGAGCGAAACAGATACAAATTTTTTGATTCGGTTCTAGACATAGATGAGAATTAATCCTTCCTGACTTTCCATTTTTCCAGCCCTCCAGGGTATTCCGCATGCTATTCCAGCAAAACATTCTGATCCTAACGCCATCTTTGCCCAACACCCCCTAGTATGCCTGGTGCTGATTCGCACATATGTTCTTGCCGATTGGCAGTCGAGAAGGTTTATGAAGAGGTGCTGGGTGTCCTCGTGGTCTCGGAGCGGTCATCGTGCTCTTCTTCGTCGTCGTGATCGAGTTCGTAGCCGCGACGGGGGCCGGAAGTGAAGTTGTAGTCGGCACCCCTGCGCGTGCCCGAGGTGAAGTTGTAGTCGTCGTCATCATCGTCGCGGGCGGCCAACAGGATGCGCCAGTCTTCCCAGCCGGAGGTGATGGTGGCGAAGAAGGACTTGAGACCCATTTTGTGGTTGTGTGTTGGGTGTTGTGGAGAAGTGATGGAGGTAGTGAGAGTTGGTGGCAAGTTGGCGAGCAACGAAGTGGCTTTTTATGTCTTGAGAGTGTTTGCGGGGTTTTCGAGAAGGATATGCTGATCGGCAGGCTAGCAGCGAGTGAAGGGCATCATGAAGGACTAGAAGGGAGCTTGGGCAGAGGGCAATTTATGTATTGGTGTGCGCATCCTGCTGCACCATTTTTTTGTGTCAAAGAGCGACAGCGTCCGAGACTTGTCCGAGAGAAAGGATCTCCGGGGAGGGGGCGGCAATGATTGTGATTGGCGGGCGCTCCCGTGCAGGATGATAGCGCGAAAAGATGATGGCACGGATGGAAGCACTGTGTGCTCATTTGCGAAGCATAATGGCTCATCGTTTCAGGGTTGTTTGGCTGCTTCCAGCAGGTCGTGGCTGTTGTGATGCGCGTCCCCACCTCTTTCTCCAATCGAGCCGCGTGCCCTCACAGGGACTGTCAGTCTCTCGAACGTGGAGCTGACATAGACCCGGGATCTTCAGCGACCAGGCACGTATTCTGCCATCGGAATTTGTCAGTTGACGTTGAGGTGCATCTGAGAATCACAAGCTGGCAGCCAGCCGTCACGTAGGTCCGAGGCGGGCGACTGCAGGAAACGCGAGGAAGGCAGGTGGCCATCATTCCTGGCTGATAACGATGCCAAGTGGGCGGCACGCAGGGCTGTGGTTTTGCTGGGGTTTGCTGGAGCAAGGGACGGGTGTTCGGGTATGACGCGGTGGTGACGGGCGGTGAGCCGGCCTGGCTCTCCCGCCATTTCTAGCGCTGCATGTCGTCGTCGACACACCCCACCTACCTAACCCACGCGGACCGGAGCTCAGCCCAGAAATCGCCGACGCGACGGCTTTTCCGTCCACGCGCACGCCATGTCAAGCGCCTTCGCTTCCGCCTCACTGCCCTCCGATCCACCATGAGACGATAGCCAGGAAAGAGCGCAGCCCTCCGAACCACTAGCACCAGCGATCGCTTCCCTCCGCCGCCCATGGCGTCCGACGACCTGCCCGCGCGCGTCGTCGACGAGCTCACCAAGCTCGACCCGGCCGTGCCTTTTCGCGCGTCCAAAACCCACGTCCACCACACCTGGGCCCGCACCTTCCACTCCTATCCCGAGCTCTACATCCGCCCGCAGTCGCTCGCCGAGATCCAGAAGGCCGTCGTGCTCGCCCGCCGATGCCGCCGCCGCATCACCCTGGTTGGCTGCGGCCACTCGCCCAGCGATCTGACATGCACCTCGGCCTGGATGATGAACCTGGACCGGTTCAACAAGATTGAGCGCATCGACCGTGGGACGGGCATCGTGCATGTCCAGGCCGGCATCCGCCTGTACCAGCTGAACGAAGCCGCCCTGGAGCACGGCCTCACCATGCCGAACCTGGGCAGCATCAACCAGCAATCCATCGTCGGCGCCATGGCCACTGGCACCCACGGCAGCAGCCTTCAGCACGGCCTGCTGTCCGGCGCGGTGCGCAGCCTCCGCATGGTCCTGGCGAACGGCTCCGTGGTCTTGTGCTCCGCTGAGCAGAACGTCGACCTTTTCCGGGCTGCGCTAGTATCGCTTGGCGCGCTGGGCATCATCGTCGAGGTCGAGTATCAGATGGTACCACAGGCCAAGATCGAATGGGAACAGACCTTGAAGCCGCTCAGCTACGTGCTGGCAAAGTGGGACCAGGACCTATGGACACGGAAGGAGTTCACGCGGGTTTGGTGGTGTCCGTACATGAAGCGCGCCATCATCTGGTCTGCCGAAAAGACGGACAAGCCGTTGCGGTCTGCCGTGTCGAGCTGGTACGGCGGCTCGGTGGGCTTCCACACCTACCACATCCTGCTGTGGATTGCCAACTACATCCCGCCCATCCTCCCCGCCATCGAGTGGTTCGTCTTCGGCATGCAGTACGGCTTCAGCCACGACACGACCACTTCGGCCGTCGAGCCCATGCACACCGGCCTGCTCATGAACTGTCTCTACTCGCAATTCGTCAACGAATGGGCGCTGCCGCTGCACAAGGGCCCCGAGGCCATCACGCGCCTGTCGGCGTGGATCCACGGCGACGAGCAGACGGCCCGCATCCCCTTCTCCCCGCGCGGCGTCTGGGTGCACTGCCCGATCGAAGTGCGCGTCGCCGACACCTCGCGGCGGCGGCAGCAGCAGCAGCAACAGCAGCAACAGCCGCGCCCCTTCCTCGACCCCAGCTACGCCGACGGCCCGACGCTCTACCTCAACGCCACCCTCTACCGGCCCTACCACGCCGACCCGCCGTGCCACGCCCGCTACTACGAAGCCTTCGAGTGGCTGATGCGCGACCTCGGCGCGCGCCCGCACTGGGCCAAGAACTTCGACGCCGTCGACCACGCCCTCCTCTCGCGCCTCTACGGCCCCGACCTCGACGCCTTCCTCGCCGTCCGCCGCCGCGTCGACCCGGACGGCATGTTCGTCGGCGCCTGGCACCGCCGCGTCCTGCTGCCCCCGCTCACACCCGCGCCCGCGCCCGCGCCCGCCGCCGAGGGGCAGGCGGGCACCCACCCCCACGCCCACCAGCCGCGCATGGCCCTCGAGGAGCGCGAGGTCGCGCGCCGCCCGCGCCGCGCCGGCGGCGTCGACTGGATCGGCGAGCAGGCCGCGCCCGTGTGGGGCCGCAGCCCGCGCGGCAGCTTCGGCAGCTCGTCCGCCGCCGAGAGCGTCGAGAGCTTCGACGTGCTGCACACCGCCGAGGCCGAGGCGAGCCAGCTGCTCGAGGCCGCCGTCGAGGACGCCAACGACGAGCCCGTGGGCGTGCAGCAGTTTCACGGGAGCGCCGTGGCCGGCTTCACGGGGACGCGGGTGTTTGACAAGATGTAGTTGGTGGGTGAGGTGGGGGGAATTCGAGTGGGATTGGTTGGTTGATTGATTGGGTGGGTGGGTGTGTTGTGAAAAAAGAGAGGGAAGGAAGGGAAATCAAAGCGGGGAAGGGTGGGGGCTTGATATGGGAAAGCAATTTGAGTCGTGGTAGTCAGTGCCATTCCACCCCACCCCCTTTGGACTGGTTAGTCTCGTGTATGATTTTTTTTTTAAGATGTAAATACAGAGGAAACGTGTGATACCAGAAACGAACCGCAGTTTGTGGAATTTTGTTTTCTTGATATCTGGGATCTTTTGAAGAAGATCACGGGGGAGTCCAACGTCCGAACGGAAAGCCAAGCGGGCCTCTTTTTTTTTTTTTTATAAACCGTTGTTGCTTTCTGTACGCCTGAAAATAATAATACTCCCACTTAGTCTATGTCAACGCCATATTCGCCCAGTCCGTGGATTGGGGTTGACCGATGTCTTGCCCCCAAAGAGGATAGGAAGAAACCAGTAAGATAAATGAGCCAGATCTCTTTGGAAAATGAGCTCCTGCTCTGACCAAATTCAGCAAGAAATGAGAGAAGCAAACCGTTGCTGAGAACATATGATCAAGGCTGCCTATCTTCCTCAGGAGAATGATCACGGACGCAATTTGTCACTGAGCCTCTTAGTATGGAGCAATCAATATCTCTCCATCCAGGAAGCCCTTGTCACCGAGGTGGCCAGTGGAACTGCGATCCGTTCCAAGGGAGAATCTTGAGGGAGACTTCGGCTCAAGGTCTCCAAGCGATTTGGCGTACTAAGACTGGGCATCCGGCGAAGGAGAAGACGGAGGAGAAGGAGGGTAGTAACGAGACTTCTCAGCCTCGAAGAACGTCGGATACTTGAGTTCGGCCAGTCTCCTCGCCGCAAGCACCTCCCGAAGCGCGGTCTCCCGCCGAATGTGCCGAGAAAACCCGACGGGGAAAGTGTAGTCCCTCGGCCTCTGACTGCGAGACAGAGTGTGGACGTACTGGGCGATGTGCCAGTTCTGGAGGTTTTCGGACATGGGCTCCCATGACAGGCCCCCTACCTTCCACTCGAGCAGGGTCTCGCACTCGGATGTTTTTGGTGGCTTGTCGGTGTCCCATGCGCTCTCTCTCGTTGGCCGGATAGAGATGCAGCTTTCGACCTCCCACATGGGCTCGGAAGGTTCGCCGCCCCAGGTCTCTTCGTCACTCTCGGGGTTGTTCTCGTAGTAGGTTACGCCGACTGTTGACAGGCGGCCACGGCGTGTAGTTCTTGAGAACTCTGCACATGGATGGTTAGCAAAGTGGGAAGCGGCCCGATGAATCATGGACGCACGGTTGTCTGAGGCAGAAGTGAAGGAGTCATTGTGGTTTTCGGTGACACTCGCCGGGCTGTTGCTTTTCATGCGCTTCTCCACTGGCTGACCCGATGCACTATCTCCAGCCGACTCCGAGCGCGAGCGTTTCTTTGGCTGACAGGTGTTAGCGATATTACGGCACTGTGGAGGGTGATGGGATCTCTACCATGGCTTCGCACTTGCACGACACTACTTGAGCCATACACAGAGATTTGGTATCGGTTCCAGTATACTATATCAGGTGAGATTAGTGCGAGGTGGTCAGAGTGTAAGTGCTCTGGAATTTTTGGTGATTGCTGGTGGTTGTGCAAGCGTCGAGTGGAAGAAGAAGCAGCAGGAGTGAAGCTGACTTCGCTCGCGAAGAATAAATAGCAAGCAGATTAGGCTGGCCTCCTTCGTTTGGATGTTGGTCGGCTGCGCCACTGGTGTTGAAACCCGTCATGTGGTTCAGTGTTATCCGCCGCAAGCCACGCGCACATTTGACACAATGCCTGTTCGATCCAGGTTCGCCAAAATGCCCACTAATGTCCCCCAAGCCCACTACAGCGCCTGTAGTTATTTTTTGGGCTTTCTTCTCCTTCAACCTTCTGCGTACTTCTCCACTGTTGCTAGATTCGTTACTGACGAAGCCACCTCGAAACATGAACTTCAAGGCGACGATTTCGCAAGGAATGGTCTGCCAGTGGGCACCGTCGGTTGGTCTCAGTTTCCCAGTAACATCCGCTTAATCCGAAAAGTGTGTTTCATCTTCGGCGATTGCTCTCCTTGTTACGGTACGCGTTGGGCAATTCTGCATAAGGGTCCTCTTGGAGATGCCGCCATTCTGTCAACTGTCCGTGACCATGTCCCCCTTCTAATATCACCGCTTATTTATCTTCAGGGTTTTTTTTTTGGGCCCGCTGGAGGCTGGCGTAGTCGACGTTTCCGTTTTGTATAAGGATTTCAAATCCCAGGTGCTGGTGTTTTATGGAATCGTATGAGTTGGATTGTAGTCCATTCATCACTCATCTTGTGTCTCAGGCAGGACTTGGATGGATAGTATCGGTAGCGCTGTCAATCGTCCTCTGCGGCTCTGGGAGACCTTAGATTGTGGAACCAAAGTGATGTATCCACCAAGCTGTGTCTTGCAAGCTCGGATTTCGGCCATCTTGTCAACTTCTCTTCCACTCCGAGAGCCTGGCAGCCGGAAAGGATGACGCAGCCTGCGTATGCTCATAGTAAAGACAATCAACTTCATCAGTACCTCCAGTGCATGGCGAGGTTCGCCTTTCCCCGGTTGGGAGTGGGCCCGATAGCGGACTTGGCAAGAGATCCATCTTTTCGCCAACCCTCCTTGCTCATAGTGACGCGGTGTGAACGGTCGCTGGCCTCGAAGTCGTCTAGTGTAGGAATAGGAACCTAGGCAGGTCGGGCGGCGCTGATGATCCTTCTACTACAGAGTGACGGGGGGATGGTTGACTGTAGCGAGAAGTGATTCGCGGCGTTACCAGTAAAATTGGCGCACAAGTCCAGTCAATGGTGATGGTGGCCTTCTCGGAATGGTGCAAATGGGAGTACTGATGTTGGATGTTGACGAGACTGTCCGGTCGATCGAGGAAGGTGGAGAGGCGACTGGATGTTTCGGGTAGCAACGGCCGCCGCTTCTGGAAAGCACCCACTGGGCTGGCTATCTCTTCACTGCGTGCATATCTGCTGCACAAGAATTATGTATGCATATGCGAGATTCCCCAGCCGTGCACATGCGCGACGCGATGGGATCCAGGCGACATGGCGAAAGTTGTTGCCACTCAACACTTGACGGCCATGCCAGCCTCCAAGCTTCCAGCAGAAAGAACACAGCGGCACACAGGCGCACAGCAACACGGCATGCGCGGAGCTCACCTGCGGACGACGTGCCCCCAACCCTATGCCCGATTGCGCCAACCCGAGACGCATTTCCAAATCAGGCAGTGTTGCTGCTGTTCCACCATGGCCGGCCACAAATACCGGACCACCCCATCGTCCGGCGGCCAGTCTCCGCTTTCGCACCGTACACGGCCTTCGCGCCGTTCCGTTTGGAGGCGTCTGATCCAGTAGTGCTCTGCGGACGTTCAGCAGCGGGTGGGCGGGCGCAGGGCCGAAGGAGGGGCTTTGCTGTCCTGCATGGCGGGCTGCACATGCACTGCCGGCTGGCGGCTCTAACTAGCCTGCACTGCGGCCAACCACTAGCATGACGACACGGGGTTCACTGCAACCTGCACCATCCGCGACAACGCTCCACTCAACACACAAAAATAAGCACAGAAAAATGGGAATCTCACTGCGTGATCGTCCCGTTCCAGCAAACGCCTCAAGCCACCACGGGCCGCAAATTTCGGTGCGACGCATGGCTTTAGATTGCTTGTGGTGTTTCCTGAGTCCACGCAACCGCCGCCGTGCAACTCCAGATCCGCCGCGCCGATCCGTGTCACATCTCCTTCTCCCGCTGTTCCTCTCCTTCGCTCTTTCTCCGTGCCATCCCATCGGCTCTGTGACCTCTTTCACCGTGGGCTGCCTGCCCGCCAGTTTCCTTCCATTTTGGTTCGACCCAACCTGCCGGGTCCGCCGCTTCCTTTGAGCATCCCACCCCACCAGCGAACCAACCAACCACCACCACCACCAAACAACCTTTTTTCCCCCGTCCATCAGCTCCGACAAGCGGCACGCTTGAGTCTTTGCCACGACAGACGAACACGGCACGCGATGCGAGAAAGTCGCCGCTTGTTGGTTCCCACCATGTACGGTACATGCAGACGCGGCGGTCAGGTCCGCATTTATGCCTATCTACCTGCCGCGCACATAACCGCCGCGGCAGACGCCATACATACCCGCCCGCCACCGCGGTTGCAGGCCGCGGCCGGCGAAACGGTCGAAGCAAATCCTCTCGCGTGGTGTTTGGACGCACGCGAGACAGACAGACAGACAGACAGAGCTCCACCAGTCAATTGAGGCCATATGAAAATACCGCGCATGCAACAGCTGATCGAATCGTGATACCTATCCCGCCGTCTATCTCGCCTGCTCCATTCTCAACCTCTGTTTCGCTCCATTGAGAGATGGCGTCAACTCATGTGGTTGGTACGGCTTCCCCGAGAGACGCAGGGAAAAAAAGATGAACAAAGGCGCTTCGGCGAGAGTGAGAACGCGAGTGAGATGGAGATGGATGTGTAAGTGCATTGCAGGCTGCAGCGACAGCGCAAGCGCAAGCGCGATAAATATTGTGTACCAGTCAATGCCAGCAAAGCCCAGCCATCCAGCCAGCAAGCCAGCCCGCCCCGCGTCTCCCCCGGCCGGCCCTGGCCCCGGCGTCGGCCCCGGCGTCGGCCCCCGTAATCCCAGACCGGGATCCAGCTCCAGCCCAACCAACTAATCTACAGTGGGCTCATCGTCTGTCTGTCCATGGAGGCGGGGGAAGGGGGAGTGGTGGTCTGGGAGAGGCGCGGCCAGTCCAGCCAGCAAGCGCGGGAAAAGCTCCCCAACAAAGTCGAGGGGGCTTTTGTTTGTCCAAAAAACAAAATGAGCAGTCGCAGAAGCAGAGCGCGTCGGAGCCAAAGCAATGCGAAAGAAAGAAACGCGCGATCGAAAATGACACAAAAGCGCTTGAAAACGAGGGGTCTGGATCATCAGCATCGTGATCGCCATGCCAGTGCTGGTGCTGGTTTTCCCCTGTTCTCAACGTCAAAGCCGCCCCAATGAAAGAATCAACCGTGGTATGAATGTTGGAAGAGAAGAAGTAGAAGAAAAGTCGGGAAACGCGAGTAAGACAAAACCTAATCCAGAGCTTTCATCGCACCCTCCAATCCAGGCGTTTCTCCGTGTCAAACGTTCGTAGTACTTGTGGAGTTGCGGAGACACAAAAACAAGCAATCCGGTTACCCAATGCCCCTCTTTCTTCGCCGTCGTAGCAATCCTGTTCCCCCTCTTCACCTCGTGTGGTATCATTATAGTCCAAAAAGGACTTTTTTTTCTCTCTCCCTGAATGTGTTCGTCAAGTGTTTGGGGGAGGGGTGAAACTAATCGAACCACATCGTCTTCTGCACGCGTCCGTTGTCCTGCAAGATGCCAAGCACGGCGGCGCTGTCGACATCGAGGCCGTACAGCCGCTGCAGCGGCTCCGCAATCATCATCCAGTCCAGCCGCTGCACATCGAAGAGCTCGAGAACGATCTTCTCGAGCACCGTGGTGCGCGGCTCGGCCTGGTGGTGATGACGGAGATGGTGAGGGAGATGGGGCGGCTCGGGCGCGTACATGATCGAGGGGTAGCCACTGTCGTGGGCGTGGTAGCGGCGCAGGCGGCGGCGCTTGATGATGCCGGCGTCGGTGCGCTGGGGCGTCGTCCACGCCGCGGGGTTGCCGTTGCTACCGTTGGTCATGCTGGATGAGGTGGTTGAGCCGCACGTTGATGGCGACGATGAGCAGCCGACTGGCATGAGGTTGTCCTCGTCTGGCGTGCGTGGCGGTTGAGGTGCCGACGGCATCACAGGCACTACGACGGCATCGCCGCTGCAGTCATCGTCATCGCCGCCGCCGACGGCTGAAGGTGGAATGGTGAAGTCGTTGGAGATCCAGGCGGCCGTGGCGCCCGTCTTGGAGTAGGTCGATTGGGCCGACGACGGCCGTAGCAGTCTCGACACCGCATCGAGGACTGGCGAGAGCGGTCTCAGGATCTGAGACCGAGATTTGGAGAGGACGAGGCCCCGGGAAGACATGGTGAAAGGGGGGTCGGAGGGGTATTTCAGGCGTGGAAAAGTAAAGGAAAGCGCAAATGTGAGCGATTACATCGAATGTCAGAATGAGGTTCACCGGTCAGCAGTACACGAAGGGCATGTAGATAGCCCGCTTGCAAGGCTGCCGGCTCGTGGGGCTCCAGCACTTACTTATCGTAAACGCATGCTGCGTCGCAGGCCATAGTACGGTAGAGGATGCAATGCGCGGCGAGGCCAGCGGGTGCAGGCGTGCATTGTTGAAGGTGGCGGGAGGCCAATCACTTGGCATGGGGCATCGGGGAAGAGCAGCTCGCGCAGAAATAGAAAACCGCCGGACTGGCCTGCGGCGATGCGCCTCGGTGGGTTTCTGGGGAGTGCTGCAGTGTATATTGACGCCGGACCGGGGGGTGACGTGGACCGTTCCTGCAACCGTGGAGCCAAGCCCGCGTCCTATTTGAACGTTTCAACAGCCCTGCACTGCTCGGGATTCCAGAAGCGGACACAGATTGTCGGACAGATCAGACGGCGCCCCGCACAGATTGTGATGACTTGCAAAAATGGTAGTATTTTTTCGAGGGATGTCTGCAGGTATTTTGGATTGCATCTCCGGCCGTGATAGCCGGCTGACAGCCTCTCATTGTCCGTAACAACGCAACCTCGCCAGTATCGCAGTTGCCACCATGCGTAAAGCCATTGCAGACTCCCACCAGATCCCAATGCCCACGCCGAAAATCCCACTCCCAAACAACAAAGCTTTAGCCCTTCTTCTTGGAGACACCGACGGTGCGGCCACGGCGACCGGTGGTCTTGGTGTGCTGGCCACGGACGCGGAGACCCCAGTAGTGACGGAGACCACGGTGGGCGCGGATCTTCTTCAAGCGCTCGAGATCCTCACGGAGCTTGGAGTCGACACCGTTGGCCAGGACCTGGTAGTCCTTGCCGTCGACAATGTCGCGTTGCCTGTTCAGGAACCAGGTAGGGATCTTGTACTGGGTGGGGTTCTGGATGATGGTGACGATGCGCTCGAGCTCTTCCGAAGTGAGCTCACCAGCACTGTTTGCGCATATCAGCTTTCCCGGTCTTTCTTCTTCGTTGTCGTTCAGAGGCGCTTTACCGCTTGGTGAGGTCGACATCGGCCTTCTTGCAGACCAGGTTGGAGTAGCGGCGGCCAACACCCTTGATCTTGGTCAGGGCGTACATGACCTTCTGCTTTCCATCAACGTTGGTGTTGAGGAGACGCAGAATGTACTGGAAGTTGCTCTTCTCTCCCGAGACGAGCGCTGCAATCCATGTTAGCGGGATATTGTCGCGGGCGCATGAGAGGGTGCATCGAGCACATACACATGATGGGCAACTTGTCGTCGTCGTGTGTCGTCGTGGTTGTCGCTGAGTAGAGGCGAGTAAGAGAGGCTTTTTGGAGAAGTGTGGGCGGCCGCTTAGTTTTTCCGAGGTTCGCCCAAGCGCTTGCCCATTTCGGGTCGCCACGCCGTCAGGTCTGCGACACCCTCACCCTTCTCTCCACATCATTCGGCTCTCGTACATGCCAAAAACCTCTTGATGAAAACAATCTCACAGCGGATCGCACTTTCATGAGCCCGATCTTTGCATGCACCTTCGCGCAGAAATCCGAAGTCAGCAGCAAACAGGGGCTTGGCGCCAAGGACTGCAGACAATCCAGACGTCGAGCAGCACACGAATTGAAATAACATCTCGTACATAGGACTCATCGCACTGCATGGATTGGCCGCTCAATCATCTTTCTTTTTGGCGGAGTCCTCGGCGCAAATTTCTCACATATGTCCAAATTTATCTCGCTCTTTCATGAAGAGGCTCGCACGGACTGGATATTCCAGCTGGTCCGAGTGATGTAGAATCATGTTTCATATTTTTTGATCCAACCATGCAGAAGCCAGATAGCCTTTGACTTCGGATGTGGAGCGATCTACGGCTATAAGGCCGTGCTTACGAGGCGTCGCGAGCGCCAGCACAGAGTTCAAGTCCTATTCTTTTTTTTTTCCACGGAGGTATATGACCAATTCGTTCAAATGCGGCCAGGAACAAAAGATCTCGACATTACGTAGCCCATCAACAGTCCAGAGAGCGTCCAATGTGCCATGTACAGTGTACCTGGAATTGCGGCAAGAGCGACACGGAAAGTGTTAAGCGCGTCATCACGTGGGGATCTTGGCGTTAGGGCTGTCACTGACGGAGCCGGAGCTCGAGCGCAAGACACCTGTTCAGTTGAAAGCGAGCGCGACTACTTCCCGGTCTCCGTCAACACGACGCCCAGAACATGCCACATCGCCGGGTCAACACCGCCTGAACTTCTCCGTACTGCCGTCTGCGTATCGCCGCCGCCTTCACTAAACTGGTGCCTGCTTGAGCTCCGTCGCTTTCGCCTCGTCGTCCCTCCGGGACACCGCCGTTCATTATGTCCACCGACTACAACTATGACGAACAGGTACGCGCAAATGACGCTGCTCCCTCACTTGACGGCTTCTTGCAGGCGCATGCTGACCTCCTCTCAAGGGACAATTTTTCCCGTACTTCGTCACCACCATCACCGGCCTGGTTACGATTCCAGTAACCATTTCGCTGCTCACCCGCAGCAAGGATCTCGAGAACACCGCTCCGAGAATAAAGTCCGATTTTTCTCCCGAACATGGCGACCTCATCGATGGTCAGCGCAAGAAGCTGCGCCGGCAGGAGCGCAAGCTGGGCAAGTTTCTCTTTGCCTTGAGTGGCTGGGTTGTTATGGCATGGATGGTCTACCTCATGGTTGTGACTACGAGGACCATACCCAAGATCTGGGATCCTTATGATGTCTTGGGTGTCGCCAGGGTAAGCATGCGCGAAGCACACGTCATGGAGCATTTGGCTAACAATCAACAGTCTGCGAGCGAGAAGCAGATCAAGTCCCACTACCGCAAGCTTTCCCTGACTCACCACCCTGACAAGCTGCAACCCGACCCCGCGAAAAACTTGACCACTGAAGCCATTAACGACGCGTGGGTCGAGTACACGAAGGCTTTCAAGGCGCTTACCGACGAAGAGGTCCGCAACAACTATCTGCAATATGGTCACCCAGACGGCAAGCAGAGCTTCAGCATCGGCATTGCCCTCCCGAAATGGATTGTCACCGAGGGCCACGGCAGATATGTTCTCCTTGGCTACGGAATCGTCCTGGGTGTCGTGCTTCCTTACCTGGTGGGCAAGTGGTGGTATGGCACCCAGCGCGTCACTAAGGAGAAGGTTCTGGTGTCCAGTGCAGGCAACATCTTCAAAGAGTACAAGCCGGACATCAGCGAAGGCGGTGTTCTTGCTGCTCTCAGCACCGGAACCGAATTTGAAGAGGCGCTCAAGGGTCATAAGGCTGAGGCTGGTCTTTCCAAGGTTGAATCCAAGCTCTTCCAGGAGGGTGAGCTGTCGCCTCTTGCCGGGGGACTTACTGTCAAGGACCGCCAGACTCTGGAAGAAAATGATGAGGGCGCGCGCAGGAAAGCGCTGGCCTTGTTGTGGGCTTACCTTGGACGTGTGGAGCTCGATGACCAAACACTCAACGCAGAGAAGTTCGAGATGGCCCCCATCGCCCACAAGCTCAATGACGCTTTCTTCGCTATTGCCCTTGCCTACGGAAACAGCATCCCCCTCTTGTCTTCATACCAGACGTCGCAAAATATCCTCCAGGCCATGCCTCCCAAATCTCCGCCGCTTCTCCAGCTCCCTGGCTTCACACCGGCCGTCATTCGCGCAGTCGAGGGTGAAAATGCAAGGACCCACTTGAGCGTTAAGGAATATATGAACTTGCCGGTGGATGAGAGGCGCAAGCGCGCAGTCGGTCCTGGTCTGCTGTCGGAAAGCGAATTTGTCACCGCTGAGACCGTTGCTAGTCAGCTCCCGCAGCTGCAAATTGAGAAGGCATTCTTCAAGGTCATGGGCGAGAAGGTCATCATCCCTAGCAGCTTGGTCCAATTCGTTGTCAAGGCGCGCATCATTCCTCCCGGGTCCAAGAATGTTCCTCCGGTCAGCTCGAAGGACCTCGAAGACATCGATCCCAAGGAAGGCGATTTGGACGCTCTCCACGGCCGCAAGACGGGCGCCGAGGCTGAAGAGGCCAAGAAAGCCGAGCTTGCTGGACAGCCCCCGCTCGCGTACGCCCCGTACTTTGCCAGGGATCACTCGCCGAGATGGCACGTTTTCCTGGCCGACGGCAAGCAAAACAAAATCGCGGTTCCCCCGTTCACCTTCACCAAGTTCGACAAGCCGTTGTTCGACGAGCAGGGCAACCCCACCTACAACGTCCAGACGCTGAAGATGCAGTTCGGCGCCCCTCCCCAACCCGGCCAGTACAAGTTCACCATGCACCTCGTGTGTGACAGCTACGTCGGCATGGATACCAAGATGGATGTCATCCTGTCGGTCGACCACCCTTCAAAGGCGGTGGAGATTGAGGAGGAAGAGGAGATCAGCGAGCCGGACGAGGGTAAGCGGAAGCGCTCCAACAAGAAGGCGATGACGGATGATTGGCAGAAGGCTGACAAGCAAACAGACACGATCGCAGGACAGATGGCGGCGATGAAGGGCGGAGAGACGAAGCAGCCCAAGCAAGCCAAGCGCCAGGTCGAGGAGTCCAGCGGCAGCGACACGGAAGGAGACGAGGAGTCGGATACCAGCGCGACCGACACGGACACGGACACAGACGACGAGTAGGTGGCGGTGGGACAGGAAGCCGCGGCCTCTTGATGTATGATTGGTATGCATTGGTTAGGCGTTTCGAAGGAGGAAAAAGAAGGCTGCTGCCCGCTTCTCTTTCTCCGCTGCTGCTTGCTTGGGTCTTCTTCTTCTTCTTCTTCTTTCTGTGTGTTGTGTTGTGTGTGTCGGTCGTCGTCGTCGTCGTCAGCTTGGGAGGTCCCCCCTCCCTCCCTCCCTCCTCCCCTTTTTCAGTCTCCTCTTTCGACGGGGGGGTTTTTTTTTTCCTCTCCTTTTCCGGGGAGCCTATTCTTGATATCAAAAAAATTCGTTTGTTGTATGTACAGAAGAACAAGAAGATATCAACGGGGCATGTTTCTTCTTCTTCTTCATCATCATTATTGCGGGAAAAAATGCCCCGCGCCAACCGATAATGCAGATTTTGGCATTCCTCCGCAGCAGCAGCCGCCGCCGCCGCCGCCGCCGCCAACAATCCAGAGCGAGTCGTGTCGTGTCGTGTCGTGTCGTGTCGTCCAGGCCACCTTTTCCATGCGTTGCGCAGCGAGCGCGCGTAGGAGTGGTGTACCTTGCAAAATAAATAAAAATAGACGATACACGTTTGCACACGCCACGGCGCGCCCGGGGGGGTGGGGCTTGGACGCGCGACGGGCGGGTGGGCAGGCAGGTAGGTAGGTATCGTTCTCGGGCGGCTATCGGCTTCTGATCTCATCTCGCCGCCGGGGCGGGGCCTGGCCTAGGTAACCGAATGTGCGTGTGTGTATTATTATCATTCATGCGGGTGTGGCTACGGCTATGGCTATGGCTATGGCTATGGCGGTGGCGGTCGTGGTCGTGGTGACGGTGACGGTGACGGTGGTGACGGTGTGCGCTTTCGCATCATCAGCCTCCTTTCATCAAACGCCGATGGAAAGGGTCCAAACCGAGATTATTCTGTCTCTCTCCCTCTTTTTTTTTTTCTTTCTTTTTTTTTTTGGTTGGCACCATTGTTAGAAACATGTGCCGTCGCCAACACTACTAGTGGCGGCGGTAGCAGCCATCAGCCAGCAGAAGACAGCAGAAGCCACCAGTTGTGGACCACCACCACCACCACCACCACCAAAAAGTACCCAACATTTTTCCGACCGATAAGGCCCGGTCTGGGCTGGGTCACTACGTTTGTTTGTGGCTTGCCCCCCGGGGGGGTTTTTGGTTTTTATTTTTTTTTTGGATCGCTAATGGCTCGGGAATTCCGAGCGGCGCGCGCCACTTTTTTTTTTTTAAACGCAACGGGGCGGCGCTGGGTTCTTTCTGTTTTTTTTTTTTTTTTGGTGTGGAGTGGGAGGAGGCGGAGGAGGAGAAGGTGGTGGTGGTACACGGGAGGCATTGTTGTGGGCGTGTCTTGGATTTTTATTTTCTTATTTTTTATCTTGATGGGTGTCCGTTGAGCTGTCTGTACTTTTTTTTTTCTTTGGTGGTTTGGAGATGGAAATGGGGATGGTGTGTTGCGTTGACGTTGGTTTTCGCTGTTCCCGAGGGGTCGTCTCCTTGATCTGCCGTTACTCGATTGAAGACGTGTACATACCGTAGGGGGGTGGGGTGGCTGACCTAATATACCATCAGTAGTATCAAATCGCTAAAAGCACTGAGTGGCTTGGAAGGGGGAAGGAGGCTCGTTCGATGTGGCGGCCCTTTACATCTACATTTTCCCCTTCTTTTGCTTGCTTGTAGCGATGATGCTGTGCTTTGGACGGCGCACGTGGGCCTCGTGCTCGCATTCCCAGATGGTCGGGATCTGCGAAAGGAGGGGGGGCGGCGTTGGGGTGGTGGTGGGAAGGGCTAAGTTAGAGTCGGCGGACGCTAGTGGGAGCGAGTAAAAGTGTGGGTTCGCGGTCTGGAATCCCTCGAGCGCCACACAAATGGAGGCGGGATACGGGCGGTTGCCAACCTGAGGGGACTGCCAATCGGGAACAATCCGTCTGACGTCGCCCGGATATGCGATTGGGTGGCGCCGTCTCTCTCCCTCGAGCTGGCCGGGGGGTTCCTTTTTTCTTTTCTTTTTCGATCCTACTGTTTTTTATTCCTCGAGGGATCCAACAGGATTGGGGCGATGGATGAGACGATGCAAGCACGTGGTGCTTCCCTCAGAACGTCCTCGCAAGTCGGATCCTTTTGTTTCGAGGGACGTCGCACGCAAAGCGGCCTGACGATGACGCGTAAGTAATTGCCGGTCCGCTTTCCTGGCTGGCTCCAGATGACATGCCGATTCGTTGCTTCGGGTGCCTCTTATCACTCGGGGTGTTCTCGAGCGGCGCAAGGTTTGAATGGCCGTTTCGAACCGTTGCGGCGGATGCGCTTGTCTCTGGCAGACTTTCGAACGTAGCAAGGGATCCTTCCAGCACGCTACCAGCTATCGCCGGGGTTTGTTTCGTAGCAGCCTGCCGTGTATGTACACGTACGAGTCCTCACCCCACACTCGTGTGCACGGTTTCCGGCGCCCGGCCATTCTTCTACGTACCGTCCGTCCGATGCCCATGTTCGATTGCGAGCAAGTTTGGACGTAGCAAGAGATCCTTCCAGCCGGCTCATGTTGTGGTGGTAGAGAGGCACACGGCTGCTGCTGACGTGCCGGGCTGGGCTGACACAGCTTATCCTGCTCTCCACGCGGCGTCGTCTTTGTCAGGGAAGAGTGCGTCTGGCGCTGGGGCACGGAGCGTATGGCGTGCATTCTCGGCTCGAGGTTCACTCAACTTCCAACGAAGCAAAGGATCCTTCCATGTCATGATGGGCGGTGGCTGTTGGCGGCCCGCCGCGCTGAGCTCGGAACCGACACTTGATCCATATACGGGACGTTCTGGACTTGACACGAGCAACTGGCGGTTGTCGCGAGGCATGTTCGAACGTAGCAAAAAATCCTTCCCCATGCGTCTTGGCCTTGGGCTGTCGGGGTGGCTATTTGGGGAAGCACGCACCAACGGTGGGTGTGCCCAACGTATGGGACCTGCTTTTGTCACCAGCATAATGCTCCTGGCCCGGTCCCAGACCGTGCTTGACACGAAGGAAGTTCGAACGCAGCAAAGAATCCTTGATCCTTCTGAGCTTCCACAATGATATGCAGATCTGTATGGGGCCACTCTTGCATGCATCCCCCCCTACATCTTCGGCGGTATTACAAAAGGACAGCAAGGCACAGTCGTGAGCCAAGACGGCAAAGCCATGTCGGCTCTCGTAAACGGCGAAACAAGTCGGCACGATTGACGGACATACTACGTGTTGATCTCGCACTCGGGCCGCGGTGGTCGCCGGTGCGCGGCGCTTCCGCGGGTCGAACGGTGTACGTGTTGTTGACTGTTCGGTCCGTTCCACAACCCTACGTCCACTCGGAGATGGAGGGTCTTGTTCTAACCCTGAGGGCTTGATCGAGGCATCTATTTCGAGCGCAACTTCGAACGTAGGTCGGAATCCGTACCGGCCGATTTCGTGCGTGCTTCTCGCCAGCATCACTAATAAGTCGGTTGGGGCCGCAGGCTTTGCACGTCCCTCCCTCGGTCCCCGGAAGCTCGAAGCGGAGTGGAAGTGGGTGAGCACCGTCGGCTGGGACTGGCGGTTCAGCTGAAACTTTGAACGTAGGGAAAAATGCTCTCGAGGGGCGGCGTGTCGGTTGGTGCTGGAGTGATTCGATGGATTATTTCCGGACGACACTGGGTCAGGGGAAGAAGGAAAAGGTCGGACGTAGCAAAGAATCCTTCGCGGGACCCTGGACTTGTCGATCGGCGATGGCACGAAGGGTAGAGAAGAATCATGCAGAGAAGCAGAGGCTCGTACGTCGCAAATGATCCTTCCCAGAGAGGGAGGGATGGGGATGATTACTACTCAGGTCATGGGCCTTCCGTATGGGGCAGGTGGTCCGTCGACGCTTACTCGGAAAGGCAACGAGGGTATAAGCGATGGGGCGGGCTTTGGGAGATCAGCACATCCAGGAGGCCCGAGCCGCAGGCTGGGGGAGGGCAGGACGTCATGCGTCGGTTGAGCGAGGGAAAACGGCGATGGCAGAAGGTAGAAGATGCAGGAAAAACAGCAAGGTCGAACGTCGCAAGGCGGGCTTCCTTGTGATGGGGCACGGGGGTTGCGCAGCGTGTGGTCTGGTTGCTCACCGACGCTATTGCGGTACCAGTGCGTTTCTCAAGGGTTTAGACAAGGGCGTGTGCTGGGCAGAAGTGCCGAAGGAACAAGATCGAACGCAGCAACATGGCCACCCTGGCTTCGGGCGTGCCTGACACCGCCTGTTGGGCAAGGGAATGGAGCGGGCGGCGGTGGGGACCCCGGCGCAGATGGCTTGGTGCTCGGGCTCCCCAGGTTGAGGTGGCCCGTTGTGTCCGAGGCAGCAGGGGAGCTTCGAGCTTGGAGCTTCGAGCTTGTCGCTTCGAGCTTGGAGCTTCGAGCTTGTCGCCTCGCATGCGGTGGCGGCTCTGCGGCTTGACGGCCGCTGCCGGCGTGGTTGATGGGGCGTTGGTCGGGGCTGGTCGGGGCTGGTCGGGCGACGGAATTGGCCGCGGCGTGGTTGTCGGTCGGCAACGTGAAGCCGTGGCTGGGGCCCGCGTGTCCCGGCTGCGTCTTCGGCTCGACACATGGATGGCTCCTTCTGCTGGCTTCCACATGGCGGCGGAAGCAGCTCCGAGACGGCGGGTGGCAGGTGCAATGACGGGCCGGGATGCTGGTCAGGATGCTGGTCGGGATGCTGGTCGGGATGCTGGTCGGGATGGTCGTCAGGAATATGGTCAGGATGGGCTCAGGATTCTCAGGATTCTCGCAGCTGCCGGCATGCGCATGATTCGAGCCTGTCTCTTCCTTCCGGCTGCCGAGCTCCACAATGGCGCCGAGGGCAGCGTCGCCATGCCGCCAGCAGCCATGCCGCCAGCAGCCATGCCGCCAGCAGCCACGTCGATGGCGGCCACGTCGCTGTTTTGTGGACCGCCAGCCCGTCAAGTTCGCACGTCTGGACGGTTGCTTCCGGCCTGCCCTTACAAACTCTTCGCCGCCGCCAACGTCGGACGTCGCATCGGATCCTTGCGAGCTTAATAGATTGCTCCCGCCGCAAACACACCATCTGCCGCCCAGGCTGGACCACGCTGCTCGAGCCCGCTGCTCGAGCCCGCTGCCAACATCAGGCAGCCACCCCCGGCCGCGCACAGTCCCGCGCCCGGTCCTCCCCGCCTTACGTGCGTAGCCATGCTGGAGTCGAATGCTAGCTATCCATTTTGTGCCTCGGCCTCGACCCTTGGTACACTGCAAACATGGTGTCGGAGGAACCGCAGCCTCGGGAGCGCCGGTTTCTCCGCAACGCATTGCCGCATGGGGAAATAACCACTGCTCCGACTGCTCCGACCATCGCCCCTGGCCTGCCGCCTCACAGACACAACCCGTTGCGCGCGCCATGGCCACGGCCGACGGAAGTTCCAACGTCTGGAACACCCCTGCGTTTGCCCGTTTGGGCTGCTGCTGCTGCTGCTGCTGCCATGATGCGCTCCACTCTCGCCTACGCCCTGCAGCCGAGTGACATCGCGTTGCCCTCCCCAAGCCTAGTGTGAGCTCTTCCTCCTCCCTGGACCACTGCTCCGGCTTCTGCGATTCGTGATCATGCCCCATCCTCCAACGTCTGAGGGGTTCCTTCGGCCGTTCTGAAAGGCAATCCAGCTGCCCGCCCGCCGATTGCCTGCATACGAGCTGCGTATACCTGGTAGTGCATCGGTTGTGTCCCAATCGAACCTGACGGTGCAGGAAAAATAGCATTGCAAAATCCAGTGAGAAGTCCTAGGAGATGGCTTTCTCTGAGCTGGTAGAGGTGGTCGACATATCCAACACCTGAAATACTACGACTCAAGGTTTGCGGGGAACCGACCACCCGGAGCCATCAGAACCCGAAACGAGTGCTTGGCCCATAAACCTTGAACGTCTGAAGAGATGCTGCGGTGCAATACATGTGAAGTAGAACCGTGGCTATCACTTCATGAGGAAGTCGTCCGAGAAGAACGATTCAAGCTGCACCGTATGCAGCACCATCCTCTGATTCGGAGCGCACTCTAGTTGGCTCGCGGCGGCAGCTTCGAACGTCTCAAAAAATCCTTTGCTTGCTCTTGTCCCGTTTGGACAAAGGATGTTCAGGTGTCCAGTCCCACCGGCCATCGCGCACGCAACGCGCCACGCCACTGAAGATCCCCACGGGGCCCTTACTCATGCGAGATGTCATGCAGCGGCAAGGGTTATCAATAATGAATGAGCATATTATCTGCTCTCGTGTGCCAAGAAGGCTATGTCTTTAACCTTTAATTTGACTTCTGCACTACCCGCTACATTCGAACGTCTGGGAAAATCCTTCGGAAAATCATCGACAGAGCTGGTGTAGCCATGCTTCCTCAGCTGCCGCTCCCATGTCCCGAGCGCTCGACGTCTGCCCTCGCACAGATCAGGACCCCATGCGGCCAAGGCCTGGAACAAACACGTGCACCTACACCGGCTCATGCTTTTCCGACTTGCAACCGCCATCAGATACTTCTGACTTGTTCGCGTGAGGCATTTTTAGCATTCTCACCACTGGCATTTTCCTTGTGCAACTGAGCCACAACGAACGCTCCGACGATCCGCGTCCGCGGATAACAACCGGACAAAGTAAATCCAACAATGCGTATGCCGCCCCAACCGGCTAGCCGCACTGCCATCCCACATGAAGCCTATCCCAATCCGGAAACGCCTCCGTACCGGTGCGCTGAAGGAATGACGTGGGGAACCAAGGCGACGGCCCAGCACCAAGCCGGGTAGCCTACCACAAAACCCCCATGGCCCGCACCTCACTGCCGACAAGGCCCAGCCAGACATGCACAATAATAATATCGAAGACAAAAGGACCAAGCCTACCGCTGCCTTGGGAATAAGAGCACCCTCGAACGTCGGATTCCGTCCTCGGCGGCACTCACACTGCGAAAGAGACGCCGAAACCCTTGGCTTCCGTGCTGCATCTTCGACACCGCGATATCAACGCTCCTCCAACCGCCACCCCATGTCTGCTGCCTTGATGCTGAATGATATAGACACCACGTGGTCGGAGCCGAGTTGAGAAAGCTTCGCAATCAGGGACGCACTTCTGCTGCGGAAAGGACTGGTGCCTCAACAGTATCGGGCCTCACTCCTAGAGCTTAATGGAGGGAACATGTGCAGCCCAGCCGTCAGGATCGCCTTTCCCGATGGAGTAATCCGCTGATCCAACATCCAGCGACGGGCCCCCTCGGACGAAATCTGCCCGTCCATGCCTTTTTACCCCCTTGATTCCAGGATTTCCGGGACTGCCGACATTTACCGGTATTACAAAGTCCCAACTCCTACCCCATGGCGCATCCCAAGAAGAAACACGTGCCAGCACACCCGCGAAGGCGTTCCCAGACCACACTTCTCCCTTAGTCCAAGGCCCGCAAGAGACCGACCTTCGGTGCACCGACCACCCGTCGTAGAAACGCTCGTTGTTTCCCAGCTCCCTTTCCCCCGGCCTCTTCCGCGCCACAATCACCACACGTTCCTAGCTTCGTCGGACGTCTGACGGTTACTTCCGCGCGCGTGGGACGTTTGTTGCGAGAGCAGATCGCGATGGGCATCTCCCCAAAACGCCAAACGGCAGCGAGGCACACGGATCGACCCTAGCTGCGATACCACCGGGTGCTTCCGCGCTCATGGTCTAGAAAGCTCCACGGGCGGGTGGGCGCAGGCGCGGCGGCGATGCTCGAACGTCGTGAATGGAGACCTCCGCCCCCGTCTCCACCGAAGCCTCGACTGTGGTTCTTTGGTGAAGATTAACGTCGAACGTCTGAAGGCCTCTTCCGCCTTTGCGCGTGTCTGGCCGATGAAGATCGTCATCGGATGCACCCCGGCCGGCCCCCCCGACGACGGACGCCTTTTCTTCGGCCGCTTCCGCGCGCATGGTTGCTTTTCCTTCGCTCACCTTCGAACGTCTGACGGCTACGTCCGCCTGTCGTCGTCGTCGGGAAACGAACGTCGAACGTCTGCTGGGGAGCTTCCCGAACCATGTTCGAACGTCTGGTGGGATCATCTCTTGTTCTCCCTCCGGCTTCGCGCGCGTGCAACGCAGCTCCGACGTCTCCAGCCCTGCAGTGCAACATCGTCGTCGTCCCTTTCCGCCCGACTTCTGGCTTCTGACAAACAAACCTCCGCTCGACCGATTCTCCTTCATCGCCGTCTTGTTTCTTTTCCTTTCCCTCTATTTTCGCCCCCCTCCCAGCTGGCATCATCCGTCGTAGCCCCCACACACGGTCTCACTCGATCACCGCACGGAGGAGATCCTTTCCACAGAAGACATCACTCACACCACATCACCCTTCCCCCCCCCAACGCCGCACCCACAATCTTCTTCTTCTTCCTCCGCTTTTCGAGCCCAACATCAAACGTCTAAAGGGCGAGCTCCGTCTCGCCGCAATAGTCCGAAAAAAGAAAAAAAAGAAAAATAATAATAATAGCGCCACAAAGACCCAGCTAGCCACACCACCCCCGACGAAAATAGCATACAGACAACGACACGCAAACGAACACGAGAAAACCACCCCTCACCCTCCCCCGAGAGCATCATCCGCGCCATCACGCTCACAGCCTCCTTTGATGATTTGAACGTTTTTGCTTGCTTTCTCTCTTTCTCTTTCTTTCTCCCTCCCTTCTCGCTGCACGGCGGACAACCCCCCGCAAACAAAAAACAAGCAGCGAAAGGCAAAGTGGAGTCCTCTCCGCGCCCCTCTTCCCCCAAGCCCCGAATAGGCAACACACACGTGACGGTGATCACGCGGGGATGGGAGCGACTCTCTGAGGAGAAAGAACGAGAGAAAGGAGGACGAGGATCGCTTAAGAGGCGGGACGGGGACGGGGGGACGGGGACGGGGGACGGGGACGGTACGTGAAATTTGATCGGCGGGATTGTGGTACGAGAACGATGCACGCACGCACGAACGCACGCACGCACGCATGTCCGGTCGGTCGGTCGGTCGGTCGGTCGGTCGCCTGTTGGGCGATTTCGGGGAGAATAGAGGGAAACGAGGACACTGAGGGAAGGGAGTGGGGATGGGGAACGGGAAACGGGGAGAAAGGAAGAAAAAAACAGATTGGTGGATGGGTTGCGAGGGTGGGAGTGGGAGTGGGAGGGGGAGGGGTGGTAGTGGCGTATGAGGGGGAGAAAAGGAAGAAGCTGTGGGTGAGAAGATGGGGTAGGAAGTGAGAAAGGCGTGGGAATGGAAACGGGTCTTGGTGCGGCTGACGGTCCAACATTCTCTCTTCCTCTCTCTCTCTCTCTCCCCTCACCATGCCATCGTCCGGGATCTTTCTTCTTGATCAGCAGAAGGGGACAGGGAAAGAAAGAGAAGGGTAGAGGCCGACTGGACGCCGCAACGGCCGAAAGAAACGCTTTGTATTGGCCAGGTCGGGTGACTCTTCACTGGGCATGGCGAAGATCGCCAGTACGAAATAAAAGAGGTGTGAGAAGCAGAAAGAGGGGAAATGGCCGCAGGTGTTGACCAGGATCCCTCGAAGAGAGCCATGGTGGTGGGTTACAAAACATTATCGCACTCTCGAAAATCCAAGGCAAGTACTGCACTCACTCATCCGGTATGGCTAGTTGAAGTTGGAGATGTGCGGATGTAAACATACATAGTTACATCTAGGTGTAGACTTCAAGTCCATGTCAACGTAAATAGCGTGCAATGGATCTGGTGTGACATGTTCGAGCATGATCAATTTTTCCCTCTTACCTACGGTGGAGGAATGGAGGTGAATCGAGATCAACTCAGGTCTACTCAAATTCCTTCTCGAATGTGTTGCTATGGAAAAGGAAACAAACGCCTTCACACACATACAACAGAGCAAAGGAAAAGAGATTGTACATACATCATGAAAGAGAGATGTGATGGTGTGGGCGGGAAATAACCCCATCAGTCGTCAAAAATACGTTGCTCTTTAATCACCTGTAGCTCTTTCTCTCTTTCTCTCTCGAGCCTGCTTCCTCGATTTAGGTAGTTCGGTACCGAAGTGGCGTCCATCGCAGAGTGCCTCGTTCATTCCCCCCTGTCGGATGGAAGCGGACGGCATACCTACCTGAGGCAGCGACAAATACATAAAACGAAAACGGAGCTGGACATAGGAACGGACATATCCGCACGTAAGCAGGAAGTTCCAAGACGAAGCAGGAATTGAGATCAAAGTGCGGATTATGGAAGACAGGAATTGTAGTAGGCAGAGAAGAAAAGAGAACCTATGCCATGTGTATAGAAAAGAGAAAAAAAGGCAGCCGGCTTCCACCGTAAAACAGAAGGCGCCCGGCAAAGCCTCCTCTCGACTTTCCATGCCCGACTCCACCGTCCCAGAATCCCGTACAAACATAATCTTTCATTCCCATACCCTTGTTCCACCAAGCCACGTAGTCTGCAAGCAATTCGCCGTAAGAACCGATTGAAACATCCCAACTCTCTTATGCCTTACAGGAGAAGATAAGAAAATTCATTGTTGCTCGTCATCAGATGAGGCCCTATGTCGCCCCAGGCGAACAGGTGAATTGGAACATGCGCATTCGTGCAACCGATCGTCTTCGCTTTTCCCGTCGTGACACAACCAAGGAGAAATCGTACAAGTGGTTTATTCCTCATTGGCGGGAGGCGGAGGGGGAGCGTCGGGTTCGGCCGAGGGCGTGCCTTGAGGACTTGATACTGCGTCCAGGGGAGCAGCATGCAGCGCAGGCTTCAGGCTTTGTGCCAGCTTGCCAGTCCTCTTCTTCTCTAAAGCATCCAGAACCCACTGAGCAACTTCGGGGTCCTCGGGCGCCGTCTTTCCAGTATAGTCGACAGGCGGCGCGGCTGCGGACCCGTCCTCCGCTTCTTCTTCGTCCTCCTCGGCAATCGTCTCGGGCTTCAAGAGAGGTGCCAGCCACGCGTGTTGAAGCAACATGGCATAAGTCGGGCGGAGGTTCGGGATCTTATTCAAACAGCCACTAACAAAGTTCCTTGCTGCGTCGGAGAAGCCTTCGGCTGGAAGGTCCGGGGGTTCACCGTCGACAATTGCCTGTTGACGTCATTAGTCGGTTCCGAGAGACCAAAGGAAATAGTCGGACAAAACTTACACTGAGCTGGCTGAAGATGTTGTTGTAAGTTTCCGGGGGGTATGGGTATCTGCCCATAGCGCATTCGATTATGGTCAATCCCAGACTCCAGATATCGCTCTGTACGCTGTAGGTGCCGCCACCGGGGTTGGCACCAGCCTGTGCGACGCCCCCGCTCGATATTCTCTCCGGGGCCATGTAGCTCTGACACCCAATGTTGGTTTTGGCAATGCTGGCGACCAGATTTCCACTGACTCCGAAATCGCAAATCTTGACCTGGCCTCTATTGTTGATAAGGATGTTAGTTGGCTTCACGTCGCGGTGAATGATGTTGTGTTCGTCCTTCAACGACTTCAAGCCCATGGTCGTCGCAAGCGTGATTTTCCTCAGCACATTCTCCGGGATGCCCTCTCCGTACAGCTTGTCTATCGATCCGCCATTCATAAACTCCATGCAGATGTACACAGCTCCATCTTGGAAGAAGGCACCGTAAAAGTCGATTATGTATGGGGAAACGCAACGATGGAGGATGTCGAGTTCCATGATGATGGCAGCGAACTTGGCGTCATCCAACTCTAGGCGAATCTCCTTCATGGCCATGATTCTGCCCGTTGGGCCGCTGGTGGGTTGGGCGGCGGTTGGACTCGACTCATCCGACTCATCGCTGGTCTTGTTTGCCGGCGAGCCGTGGATCGCAGGCATGGACATGGCCTTGTTCCCGGCCAAACCGAGCCCTGGTCTTCTCATCTGCGGACGGGCATGTCTGACCTTGTACACCGTGCCGTAGTTGCCCTTGCCCAACTCGTCCAGGGTCTCTGTCTCATCGAGAGATATGTTGAAGGTGGAGCCGCTGGCGAACTTGACGCCATGGGCCGTGAGGACAGCCCTTCCGTCGAACTTCAAGTTGCCGGTTTCCTTGTCCAGGTACTTGGCATACTCGTCCATCAAGGAACCGCCATTGGGCTTTGCGCCGGGGTTCTGGCCGCCGGCGTCGGCGCCAGGAGGAGGCTTCATATCTGAAAGCGTTAGGCCGGGCTTCTTCCTGCCGCCAGGCGCCGGGCTTCCGTTGGGCGCAGCGCCCGGAAGGCCGCCGGGCAGAGCCATGCCGCGCTTCTCCGCCAACGACGGCTTCTTCAGGCCCGCCAGGTTCGGCACGGCAGGAGCCGAGGGAAAGTGGCCGATGGCGGGCTTGCCGGCTTGGCCAGGCAGTTGAAAGTTTCTCGGAACACCGCCCATGAACGCGCCGCCGGGGGACTGGGGGGGCAGGGGAGCGCCGGCGCCGGATGTGGGTGTGCGCATTGGGTTGGGTGGCGGGGCGCGTTGCCTGCCCATGTGAACGGCCTTCATGCGCTCGAGGATATCCTGCGGGAGGTTCGTGCCGCTGGGCTTGGAGGGGTGGCGGGCAGCGCTGAGATTGCCCAATGGGGTGGACGAAACGGTCATGCCGGAGGTGGAGGGCGCGGCTGAGGCGGAGCGACTGAGCGGCGGCTGCGACGGCGGCGACGAGGGCGAGGGCAGGTCGGGGCTCGTGGGCGACTCGAGCGGGGAGGAGACATCGGACAGCTGGTCCTCGTCGGGGGTGGAGGCAGCCATGGTGAACGAGCGTAGAAAGATGCGGCAGGCGGCAGCAATTGGCGAGGCGCTGCGGGAGGGTTCGCGAAAAAGGAAGATGCGACGCGCAGCGGGTAAGAGATTCGCCGAGGCAGCGCGGGGAGAGCGAGGGGGAGGACGGGAAGAGGAGGAGGAGACGGCGGAGGCCTGGAGTGTGGCGGTGCGAAGGGGGAGGGCTTGTCTGTTCGCTAGGCGTGACGTAGCCGGTGGGTGGTGTTACAGAGTGGAGAGTGGGCTCGCAACATCGGGACTGGGCTGGGCTGCGGGCGGCGCTCCGACAGCAGGTTTCTGGGGCGGCTGCGGGCGGACGAGCGCAGCCGTGTCTCGCTGGCGTGCCTTGGTCAAAGAGGCGGCTGCGCGGCCTCACCACTGACTGATCGCCGCGCCCGCCGCAGCGCTGCGACAATCGCGATGGGCAGCACGTGATGCCATGTGCCCGAGCGCCGGGGGGAAGGGCGTTGTTGCATGTGGGCGACGGGGCAGATGCGAGAGGCCTGTGAGGCCAAGCCCAGGCACCCAGGGTGGGTGGGTGGCTCCGTGGCTCTGCTCTCGGCGGGCGCGCGCAGCCCAGGCCCGCCTTGACGCGATAGCGTCGCCATCGCACGCCGCCAAGCCTGCACAGCTCAGCTCGCCCGACACCGTCATTCCCCAGCGCGCGCTGCGCCTTCGCCTGCCCGTCTATCACACCTATAAACCCTTTCCGCCGCCGCGCAGCCTTCGCAACCAGCCCTGCCCGCCCTCAGCTAGCCCGCCCCCGAGACTGCTGCCCAGACAGAGTTGTAACAAGCCCTGACGCCACCGCGCCGCTCCAGTCCTGCCTGCTGCCCTCGCTACCAGCGAACCTCACCCAGACGCCGTCCGCGCCGGAGCGCGCGTCCCCGACATAACATGTTCTTCCAGTCCCACCGCCTGCTGCTTCGCACAGCCCCCGATCTCTCCTCCATGGCGAACCCCTCCGACTCCTCCTTGACGTCCGGTCTTTACGACGCCATGAACAACCACACTTCGCACCCTGACTTCGGCCACCTCGTCCTGCTGGTCTTCGAGGCGGTCCTGGAGGTCGTCTGCGTCAGCTTGCCCGGCTACATTGTCGCTCGCCAGGGCATGTTCGACGCCAATGCCCAAAAGTTCCTCGCCAATCTCAACGTCCAGCTCTTTACCCCGTGTCTGAGTACGTGTCTCTCTACTCCGCACTTTCGCCTGCAACCGGTATAGCTAACGCGCACTAGTCTTCACCAAGCTCGCCTCGCAGCTTACCGCCGACAAACTCGTCGACCTTGCCATCATTCCCGCCATCTTCGTGGTTCAAACTCTCGTGTCATGGCTTTCTGCCATCATCGTTTCGCGCCTGTTTGGCTTCAAGAAACAAAGGCCAAGGAACTTCATCACCGCCATGGCTGTCTTCGGCAACTCCAACTCGCTACCAATCTCTCTCGTTCTTTCGCTTTCCAAGACCATCTCAGGCCTCCACTGGCGGGAGGTTCCCGGCGACAATGACGAAGAAGTCGGGGCGCGTGGTATCTTGTACCTGCTGATCTTCCAGCAGCTCGGACAGCTTGTTCGCTGGAGCTGGGGTTATCAGGTCCTCCTCAAGCCCGCCAGCGAATACCCCGATGAGGATGCGGGAAGGAATGCAGCGCTGGAGCAGGGCGACTTGGACGACGCCAGCTCGATTGAGCGCCGCAACCTCCTTGACGGCGTGGAGGATGACAATGATGGCGAACTTCGTTCTGCAAGTCCCGTACCTGAGTCTTCCTTCGCCTCAGGTGCCATTACACCTGTTAACGATAACCAGCGCACCAGCGCCGATGTCTCTCGCGCATCGTCCACGTCAAACTTGACAAAGAGATACGCAAGAGACGAGACCAATGGCAAGGCCATGGCCACGCCCACGAACGGCAACGTTGTCAGTTCCGGCCCGGGCAACCTGGCCGGCCATGGTTCCGAAAGCGAAGATGCGACTGAGCCCGAGCAAGAGATCCCGGAGGGCGTCAAGGGTTGGCCGACGCGCTCGAAGAGGTGGATGAAGCAGAATCTGAGCTCCACGGGCAAGTGCATGCGCACTTCATCTTGCAAGGCTTTCCGGGCTCTTCCGCAGCCGATTCAGACGGCACTCTCCAAGACGGGCTCCGGTGCGCGGAGGTTCATGGACGGCGTCTGGGACTTCATGAACCCGCCGCTCTGGGCCATGCTGGTGGCGCTAATTGTCGCTTCGGTCCCTTCGCTCCAACACCTCTTCTTCGACCAGGGCACATTTGTGAACAACTCGGTCACTCGGGCGGTGAAGCAGTCGGGTGGAGTTGCGGTTCCGCTCATTCTCGTGGTGCTTGGGGCCAACCTTGCGCGCAACACTCTGCCGGAGGCGGATGCTCGGGATCTCGAGGACGCCAAGGATGAGAAGAAGCTGCTCTATGCCTCGCTCATCAGCCGCATGCTTCTGCCGACCATCATCATGGCGCCGTTTCTGGCGCTGCTTGCGCGGTACGCTCCGGTCAGCATCATCGGCGATCCCATCTTCATGATTGTCTGCTTCTTGCTCAGCGGAGCACCCAGCGCGCTGCAGTTGGCTCAGATCTGTCAGCTCAACAACGTTTACATGGGGTCGATGAGCAAGCTCCTGTTCCAGAGCTACGTGGTTTGGATTCTTCCGTCTACGCTCGTGCTCGTCATGCTCGCGCTCGAGACGGTTGAGTGGTCGACTGGGGCATAAAGTCTGTCACACAGCATTCATTTATTTGTGAAAATACATTGGCGTACATGAAGCACGGCGTTCACGGTTTGAAGGTTGGCATTTGGGATTAGGCTTGTTTCCTGGGTTGGCAGTGCTGGATCACGCTTTGGGAAACGGGCTATAGAGGCGGAGGCAGAGGGGGCTTGCTGGGTTTGCTGGGGTTGCTGGGGTTGCTGGGCTTCCTGGGCTCGCTGGGCTTGTGAAAACATTGGGCACTTAGAAAGTTTAATTGCCGCTGTACCAATATCTCGTAAAACGGTGAAAGTGTAGAGCAGTAGCATTATGATGTCAATAATCAATCCATTGGGGGTGCGGCCCCAAAGCGCGCAACTGTCAAGCTCTTCGTGTTGGGCGCTGAACAAGAGTCTGTCCATGATGCGTCGCACCATCAGGTAGGCAGGCAAGAATTGTCGGGCAAGCCCGGGCGCAGAGCACACCATGCAGCCGCTTCACCGTTTCGCGTCTTTCTTTGTATGTCGGCGAATCCGTGACAGACAACGCATCGCGGCTCAGGCACTAGCTGAAACCTCTAGAATGTTCCCCACACTCCCTGCATCTTCGACCCCGGCCGTGGCGAGTTTTTTTTTTTTTCTCGTCTGTGCCAAAGCGCAGGAGACTTTGGCGCACAATCCATCCCCACCGGGGTCAAAGAGACCAGCGTACACTTTGAGGTCATGTATCGTTGTATACGCCACGCTGTTTCGTTGGAGAAGGAATAACTCCGGGGCGGTGATGTTCTCCACCATCTTCAGGCGATATACGATGGCGTCCCCACACGGTTATCCACAGCCGCACATGCAAGGCACAGGGCACATCGGGCTCTTTTTTCCCCACCGCCAGCTTTGTGTTTTCGTGGTGCCCTGAATGACTCGCATAGAGATCTTCGCTCGGTGGTCGTCGCATTCGAGCACAAAGGGTCTGGTGTTCAAACGTGCTATGTATGGAAACAGGGCCACGCGGCGAGGCAGACGCAATACCAGATCGACGTAAACTCTGGGATTGCGAAATTCGCCACAACCGACCACACCACGAAGCAGCATCTGCCGGGAAATTCGGCTGCAGCCTGACGACCATAAAAAAAAAAAAACTCCCCCAAGCGCCACGCCCAGACGTCGGCGCGTGGCGCCGCTAATGGCGACCCTGCAGCGGATTTCCAGCTGGGTGATTGATTGCTATGACTCGTCATCAGGCGGTTCTCCGGTCTTGTCGTGGCCGCATGGGCTTCTTCTCGCGGACCGTTTTCCGTTGCGCGCTCTCGAGACGCCACACCTGCCTTATCTCGCCAAGGATCAGCACATCGCCCGCTTTTTGCTCCGCCACCTTTTCTGTACACACTACACACCGCCCGGCCCTGGCGTAAGAGAGATACGCATGTACGACGTAATGCCCATTCGCCCACCGGGAGGACCGGGGCAAAAGCAAAAGCCGACCCTTTTTCAGCTTTGCGCATGTCCTGTGTGTACACGTCGCTCGTGTTGTTCCGCCAGCCCAAGTCGCACGTCCCACGCCGTTTCGTCCTACTTTCCTAATAACTTTCCTCAACAATCCGTGTCCGTTCAGCCCTCATCATCAGCCCTCAGAAGATCAACCGGCCGTCTTTCTGACCGGTGATCGGCAATACGCCTCTTCCCTCGTCTCGTCGATAGCTATCATGCTCTTTACTAGGTCGGTGACGTTGTTGGTCAAGAAACCCCCCCCCGCCCCATTATCGGCCCCGTTGCCATTTCTTCGTTCCTCTTTCGCTTCTTCCCCCCACCACCTCTTCATTATTCCTCCTCGCCCCGCGTTTCCGATCTTTCCGCAGCCGACGTGATGGCCGTTGCGTCAGGTTTGATCGCCTATTGCCGTCCCCGCCGTCGTGAGCGTGACGAAACGCGAACCGCGTGAGCATCATCAACTCCCTGGCGACGGACATCATCATCACCCCACGTCCAAAACATCAAACTCCCACGATTGTCGCCCTCCCTCTCTCTCCCCCTCCCCTCCCCTCCCATGTTGTCGTCGAAGCGGAAGAAACGCGGATTGTCGGAAAAAGGAAACGAGTCAAAAGGCAAGTCGTGACGAGGCGCGAACATTCCGCGCAGTTTCATCGTGTTGCGGAAAGTCGAGGCGAGTAGGTAGGGGTGCTTGCTCTCTTGGCGGGGGGGAGGGGGGCCAGTGGGGAAAAGCTTGACGCATGGGAAAACGCATTCGAGACGGATGGCGATTGGTGCTTGATTCGTGTGGTTCCGCCATCGTGGCACCCACGCGCGTGGGAGACGTCGCTGTGTGGCGGTGCTTTGGTGTGGCGGGCGGGCGGGCGGGCGGGCGGGCGGTCTTGGAAACAGGGCTACCGACCGCTGTGTTGGGATTCTGCTCGCTTTTGGTCTCTTCGCTTGGATTTTTCACATCTCGAGTCGGCGGTTGCGAAGAATGTCGACGTTGCTCAGAGCTGTTGATACAGGGAGCAGGATGATCCATGGAATGGCAGGCAGGTGTGTGGCGGACTGATACAACCAAACAACCTCATGTAGATGGCCGTGGTCTAGGTAATGAGGCATATCGCCTGGCATTCTGCTTATCGGTCTTTTGAATGATACCGCTTGCTGGAGAGGTGATCGGATAGCCTGTATGGATGAAATGAGACTGAAAGCTCTGGGCTCCGCGTATAGCCAGCGGGTGAGGTTTGTTAGGGGTAATTCAGATGCGTTAGAGGCCGCGCGACCGCTGCTCAAATCAACGCGGATACAGAGAGCATGTCTCGAAAAGGGGCATACTAACGCCAATTTTGAGATTTCAGGTCGAATTACACCATCAAACATTCTTCTGCAGATGAAAAACACGAGGCGATAAACGTCTTCTAGGTCAAGTCCACGATGGCCAGTGCTCTGATGAAGCAAAAGGACGCCAGCGCAACAGCCGCAACTGATTGCTGCAATTAGACTGCTAGGGTACGCTCATATGATACATAGCATCTGGGATGCTCTAGAAATTGCTGGTTCCCGTGTATATTCAGCCAAGGCTTGATGTATTGTCGTCGCGTGCCTTCAGACATCTAGAGAGCAGTCTGACTATCACTGTAATGGGCACCAAAGCCTGAACTGATACCGCCTTACGGTTATGATGTTGCTCAAGGAGGTTGAGATCAAGGCGCCCTCGATATCCCTCCAATGTTTGCATATATGGTTGGAAAGCGGTCTCAGTATATCCGTCAAAGGATGTGCGCAGCCGTGCAATACTAGCCACATCTCCTGCAGCATACGACATCATGAGCTTGCACAGCCGCATAGTCTCTTTCTCGGCGCTACATCCTAGCTTCTCGAGTGGCGGCGGATGGTGACTTGCGGCGTTGCCTTTGTCCGCCTCGCCGCTCCAGCTTCGGGCACCTCCAGACCCGACCAACAGTTGCCCGCCATCCACCCGCACCAAACTTTCTCCTGACCCCACCTGCAGCCGGCCTCTTACAAGCTACTTGGCTTCCGCTCCCTTCGCCGCGCTGCTTGTAAAGTCTAGCGCCTACGCGAATCAAGTCCAGGGCGGCGTGTAAGACTTGCACCCCCATACCACCACGTCATCTCGCCGCTTTCGCTAAAACATCCACCGCACCGCAAGCTGTCAGCCATGAGACCGAGAAGGAGCTGCCAAACGGGCGCTCCGCGCTCCAGAAGAAGCGGTCGCGACTCCCGCCGCAAGTCCCGCCGCGACTCGGGTCACGAGTCTGATGGTGAGGATGATGGTATTGATTTTGCGACTATGAGAGTCCCCCTGGGGCCTCAAGCGAGTAAGTGCCTACGTTCCGAGAGGCTTACATACTTGCTAAAATGACGCAAAAGCCGGCAGTTCTGTTAGACGCGTCGGAGACTCCCTCGACCGTAGCTTCGGTCCCGGAATCGTTGCCCCTGGTGCCTTCGCCGACAGTCCGTCTGCGTATGCTACCAGCACCGCTAGTGCCACGGTCAAAACGACGCCTAGCGGTGCTGTCCCGCTTGAAGAGAGCGAAAGTGTCTCCATCATGGGCGCTGCCGATCATGGCCAGCGTTACAGTGACACCAGTGATTCCTCCCTCGATGACTTCCCCGACGTCGAGAAGACGCAGCAGGCCGACGACGTGGCCGTCAACCATGCGCTTCCTCTCAACTACACGCCCGCGGAGAGCCACGACGATGGTAAACACACTGACCACACGTCTTTCCTCGCAACAGCATCGGAAGTTGAACGGCGCAACGAAGGCGCCCAGCGCCTCGACATTGCCGCCGCCAGCACCATTATCCGTCAGTATCCCCCGCCCCTCCCATCCGTTTGCCAGCAAACAACCATACTCACCACCGCCGTCCCTCCAGACCCTTCCATCGAACACGACCACAACCATCCCGCACTGCTAGCAAATATAAGCCACGCGCCACCCCCCTCGCAAACCACCACCACCAACGAACAGCCGCCCCGCGCCGCCGCCATTCATAACAATCCCAGCCCGCTCTCCCACGCGTCCCTTTTCTCCTCCTCCTCCTCCTCCTCCTTCTCCTCCGCCTCCTCCTCTCCGTCGCAGAGCACTCCGCCCATGCCCATGCCCCGCACGCCGCCCCAGCCTGCCTCCGCCGCCGACGAGGACGACCAGAACGACCAAAACGACCGCAACGACGAGGAGATGAAGTACGACCCCAGCGTCGTGCCCGCGAAGCGGCACCGCGAGGACGAGGGCATGTTCAACGGCCGCTACGACTACTGGGGCGTCGACTTTTGCCTCGGGGTGCGGCACGTCGGCGTCAAGCCGCGCGGGGGGGTCGGAAAAGACGACGATGATAATGACGATGACGATGACGATGACGATGACGATGATGATGACGATGACGGTGATGACGATGACGGTGATGACGATGACGACTACGACACTAGCAAGGAGGAGAAGACGAAGACGAAGACGAAGACGAAGGGGGAGAGGAAGAGGAAGAGGAAGAACACGAAAAAAACGAAGAAGAAAAAGAACAAGTACAACAACAACCGCGCCTCCGGCTTCCAGGTCCTCCTCCTCTACACCGGCTACCCCCGCCCGCGCTGGCTGCCGCTCGAGTGGAACGCCACCAACCACGACATCGCGTACTTCTTCCACGCGCACCCGCACAAGCGGCCGCCGCACTACCGCCCCCCGCCGGACTTCGACGCCGACGGCCTGGCGGCGCCGCGGGCGCCGTCGGCCGAGTGGCGCGAGGCGTGGGAGGCGGCGAGGCGCGAGGCGGAGGAGAGGTTCCCGCGGGCTTTTAGGCGGAAGGAGTGGGATAGGGGCGGCGGCGAGGGCATCACGGGCGGGGTGCAGGTTGATGTCGATGTCGATGGCGATGTCGTTGAGGAGGAGCAGGCGGCGGCGTCGGCGTCGGACAGGCCTGTCGGTGGCGAGTCTGCTGCTGCCGCCCGGGAGCCGGATGCCGTTCGGTTGCCTACGAAGTCTAACGTCATGACCAGGGAGATGACGACGCGGCAGGCTGGGTTGAAGCGCAAGGTGTCTACGGTTGTTGGGTCTGATGGCAATGGGGACGACGGCGGCGGCGGCGGTCCGCCAGAGAAGAAGCGCCGCGTGTTGCGCGAGCGGAAGTAGGTTGTTGATCGGCCGAAACCTCCGTCCGAGTTGTGTAGAGTGGTGTGCTGGGAGAAGCCCCACTAGCAGGTTGGCGTTTGCTTGTTGTTGGAGGTTTGAGTCATCCTGGTCTTCTTGGTTCCTTTGTGGATACGGACTGATCAAAGAATGGCTGCTGCAGGCCCCCACGATGAGCAGTGCAGGTTCACAACAGACCTGCTGACCCATCATCTCTTTCTACTTTGGCGTTTCATTGTATCTGCCCCTGGACCTCTTTTACGCAACAGGTAATTGGGTTTGATACAGGCTTGCCTGTTCGGGCATCTTTTCGGGCATCTAAAAGTAGTGTGGATTGATCACAGCAGGCGAGAGATAGAGGTTTCAACGATCTTCAATGGCGTTTGATATGGATTCCGCTCTCAAAACATGGATGGAGGACATAGAAACTGTACGAGACTTGTAACATTCTTGAGAGCGATGACACCTACAATCACACAAGCAACACGGCTCATATCTATGAACCCGTGGGACACTGTAGCTTACGAGCGACGCGCGCTCCCATGCCTTTCTGTAACACAATTCTCAATGTAATCGAGTTTTATTTCCCTCCGCTCTGCTCAAAGCACCCCCAACCGCCTCTCCGCTTGACACCACAAACACCCCTTCCCGGCCCTCGTCAGTTCAGCTCCCAACAAAAGTTCCTCGTTCGTCGATTGCTCGCTACTGCGCTGCTGTCGTATTGTGCGCTTCTCTACGAACAGCAGAAGCGCGTCGTGGCCCACTGCGCCCGAGTTGTGGGCAGAGGAGGAGTGGAGGATGGGGGAGGAAGCAGAGGAAGAGGACGGTATGAGCGCGGCTGGCTTTATGGAAGATGAAGTCAAGGAAGTGGTGGAAGACGACAACGACGAGGAGAGCGACGAGGACGTGCAAGACGAGTTCGGAGGCACAGAGGGCGAGATGGTGGTGGAGGAGAAAAATCATGGCTGGACACCACTTCCCCGCTGAAGTGAAGAGTGTCTACTCAGAAGTTTCTCTACCAGAGCGTTAGCGGATGTCTTCCGTCAGGAGCGCTAAACTTCCTCCTCCCTCTCCTAAGACCCTTTGGTTACCGTATCAAAACTGACCTTAGCCCAGATCGTCATCGTCCCTGTACTTCTTACCGCGTCGGTGACGGTGATGTGCACAGTGTAGAGCGACAGATCGTCGTAAAGAACGATGCAGTGACTGAAGGAAAAAACAACGCGCAGGCGGCGCAGGCTGGAACCACCATGCTCAAGACCGACTGTTCAAGCCAGGCCGGTTGTTACCAAAAGCCGATGAAAGGACGAGAAAGAACTTCAATAAGGGGAAGCGGCGGGGGAGACGAGTAAGATCTAAGGGAGTCACAGTTTCTGTCTGTAGTCGTCTTCAATTTACTTCAACTGTCTTGGCACAGGAGACGAATGAACAGATAAAATCGGCTTTTGAGTAAGTTAGAGGAGGGCCACGTAGCTCATCAACCGGTGTTTTAACGCCGCAACTCCCGAAGCCGAATGTACACCGCGAAATAAGAAAAACGAAGCTCTTCGAGTAATAGAAAGAACCTCGGGCCCGCGCAGAGTGAATCGTGTCCCCTCTTACATAGCCAACCGCAGATTGAGATTCCACCCAATTATGAACCCCACAAAATCAAGAACCTTTTTCTTTTGGCAATCACGAAAAGCTTACTCGCTGCGCGCGTAGACAGCGCAGACCATGGCGTGGTCTCTCTCGAAAGGCTCAAGAGTGAGCTGCTCCTTGGGCTTCAGCCTCTCCTCGCGCATCTTCTGGACCTCGCGGGCGAAGACGGCCTCGGGCGCGGCCGTAGAGTCGATACAGTTGGCCTTGATGGACACAACAACACCACCACCGTTCTTGAGGAACAGATGGGCGTTCAAACCAACGATACGAGCTTGGTCAGGCTGGGCAACATCGGCGAAGATGCAGTCAACCATGGAGACAAGCATGCGGTACTTGAGCGGGTGACGGGCGTCCTCGACAATGGGAATGACGTTGGTGCGGTGGGTGGCCATGTTCACCAGGTCACGACCGGAACGGTGGGAGAACTCGACGGCGTAGACAGTGCCTAGGGACGTTAGCATCACCGTGGACAGGTCAGGTTTGCTAGAGGGACCTACCGGTAGGACCAACAATATCGGCGACGTGAGAAACCGAGGTACCGGAGGCGGCACCGAGGTATAGAACCTTGCTACCGGGCTTCATGTAGATGTCTGTCGCTGATCAGCCGCTGTGTTCACCTCCAAAAGATGCGCGAAAGCTTACTCTCCATGCCACCAAGGATACCGGCAGCCAACTTCGAACGGAAGGGGTTCCAAACACGGTACTCGGTGGAAGTGGCGGGGGCAGGCTCGCCGTTCTCCGTGTTGGCGGACTCAGCGCCAGAGTTGGGCACTTGGATGCGCTTCTCGCCGTAGACGCTCTCGCCGGGAGTCAAATTCTTGGTGGTAAGAAGATCCTCCTTGCCACGGGCAACGAAGACACCCGAGTGCCTGTGGGGCTCAATGATGACCCTGGCACCGCCTGTGATGCCACATACCGTAGTCAGTCACCTGTACGAAGTCGGGAAACCTGAAGAAAATAACTCACCAGCCGCACCGCCGCGGCCGCCGCGAGCACCACCGCGGGGAGCACCACGACCGCCACGAGGAGCACCACGAGAACCACCACGACCGCCACGGTCACCGAAGCCACCACGGCCGCCGCCCCTGCCACCGCCTCTGCCGCCACGGTCACCGAAGCCGCCTGTTGAAGATCGAGGTTAGCGATGTGCTCTAGAAAAGAGGCTCACGTCGAAGAGAATATGCGCGCGAAGCACAAGATGTCATCTGGAGCTCAAAAGCAGCACAGCAGACATCGTTTGTGTCGCACGCAGCGCGATTGGGAAGAGGAAGGAAGAGAGAATTACCACGACCACCACGGGCACCGCCTCTGGGCGCACCACGACCGCCGCCGCCGCCACGGCCACCTCGGGGAGTGAAGGCCATTGTAGATGTAGAGGTTGAAATAGTTCGTTCGGGGGAGGATCGAATGAGCGACGAGCAGCGACGCTGGGTTGTTGCTGGGTGACAGTCGACGCTGCAGTGGGCGAGCTTCGGGTTCGAAAAAAGTTCGTCTGCAGAAGCTGCGCATCCGTGGCTGCCAATGGCCGGCGGCGCGCTCGCTTACGGCCGGGTGGTGGCCCGTGCACTGCCCACGCGCGGCGGGCGAAAATGCGATGCGAAGGTCGAACCTCACTCCTCTTCCGCCCAGCGAGACGACACGACCACCCCGACAACACACCAGGACCCTCCGTCAAACTCCCTCACGATGGTACGAGCCCGCCGCCTGCCCCCGATGCGCTGCAATTGTAGCCGCTGCCCGCCCGCCGAGCTTCCTGCTGCAGCCCTCCCCCGGTGCTGCCAAAATTCGAAGGCACAGCTGGCTGACGTACGCCTGCTGCATCTCTAGGTCCGCTACGCTGCCACCGACATCGAGTCCGCTAAGAGCGCTCGCGCTCGCGGCTCCTACCTCCGTGTCTCCTTCAAGAACACCAGGGAGACTGCCCAGGCCATCAACGGCTGGAAGCTTGAGCGCGCCCTCAAGTACCTCGAGAACGTCCAGGAGAAGTCCGAGGCCGTTCCCATGAGGCGGTACGCCGGTTCCACCGGCCGCTGCGCGCAGGGTAAGTCGCCTCATTGCCTTTGGAGAGACACAGGTCGAATGCTTGGATGGTCGTCATTTTGAGATGCACATGAATGCGCGGGATCTGGAGTTTTTGGAAGGCGATCATGTTTCCCTCTGAACATTGGCTGAGACATACGACTCTACAGGCAAGCAGTTCGGTGTTTCCAAGGCCCGCTGGCCCGTCAAGTCCGCCAAGTTCCTCCTCGACCTCCTCAAGAACGCCGAGGCCAACGCGGACACCAAGGGTCTGGACACCAGCAACCTCGTCGTCAAGCACATCCAGGTCAACCAGGCTCCCAAGCAGAGGAGACGCACCTACCGTGCGCACGGTCGCGTATGTTGCCACCATGTCGAGAGATTTGACGAGGCGGGCGTGCGCTGACAATGACAACAGATCAACCCTTACATGTCCAACCCCTGCCACATCGAGCTCATCCTCACCGAGAACGAGGAGGTCGTTCAGAAGGGTCCCCACGTCGCTGAGCGTGAGGTCGCCAGGTTGAACTCGAGGCAGCGTGGCCAGCGCGTCCGTGAGGCCATCACTTCCGCTTAGATGGGAATTTTGACGCTCGGGGGATAAATGGCTTCTGGAGAAAAAATGGGGGTTTTCATGGGGGACCTTGCCGGTGTTTCGACAGGACTGCTTTTGAGAGGTCGGATGGATGCGTGGGCAACATTCTGCTCAGTTTCTAAAACCCCCGAATCGGGTCTCTTAAACACCCACGATATCATGTTGTCTAAAAAATCGATTCGACCGATGAGGCTCCCACAGGCGTGTAGACAAGCATGCATCGCAATGTGACGTCACACTGTGTGTGATTCCAATCGCGGTTTCCTTTGCGTTCAGCCTGAGCATCCTAAACTACTACAATGCGACATTTCTTTTGTTTAATCAAACACAAAGCTTCCCTGACAATCTCCTCAACGTATATGGTCTAGATCTTGACTAGCGGCTTATGAGTTCTCTGGCAAGAGTGGATTGCGTGAACGACATGATTTCGAGCAAGTTTTCTCAAAATACCTCTATCCCATGTTGATACATACAAGGAATCGCATCTCATGATTCAAAGATTACTAAGACAGTACTTCCTCCCTAAGCCTGAGCTTATCATTTACTTGAAGCATCCATTGGGCCTCTACTCTCGCGCCTGTCCTTTCCGATTCCATACACTTAAAGACTTCTATAATAAACTCCAACAATACCTCACAACTTCGAAGCATCAGCAGACGCGCTCGTCGACGGAATCGGCTCGCCAGTGTTCAGCTTATCGTTGAATGCATTGGGATCCGTCAAGAAGGCCTCATCGCCCGAGAATTTCCTGCGCAACAAACCAAGCAGATTAGCACACGGCACCACCCCCAACGACTTCTTCGTTCCGTTTAAGTAAAAAAGGACTCACCATCCTCTCTCCTCGCCGTTGGTCAAGAAGCTACAATCGCCATTGACGACGCAGTCCCACCCACCGCGCACGCCCCGGCCCTCCCTCCAGTTGACGCGCGGGATATCGTGCGGACGCTCCCTGCTCCACTCGCCCGCCTCCTCCTCCTCCCCCCCATCCGCGGGCAGCACATCCGTCCCGCGGCGGCGGCGGTCGAAGCGCGTCAGCGCGCAGGTGAAGCACTTGAAGTCCTCCTCGCCCTCGTCGGGCGGCATGCGGCCCGTCAGCGCGCGGCCGATGGCGATCATGCTGGCGGCGTGGGTGCAGATGAGCAGGGCGCGGGGGCCGTCGGGCGCGGCGTCGAGGGCGGCGACGACGCGCGAGAGGGTGTAGGCGATGCGGTCGTGCAGGTCGGGGATGGACTCGCCGTTGGTCGAGGGGACGAGGACGGGGGCGTAGGCGCCGTCGAGCTGCGAGGGGAAGTGCGTCTGCAGCTCCGCGAGCGGCGCGGGCGACGGGTGGTCGAAGCGGGCGAGGCCGTAGAATTCACTAGGTAGGTGTCCCCCCGTGGGGTTTGCGTCAACAACGCTGCATCTCGCGGGATCGGGCTGTGCGGGGAGGAAACGACGAGGGTGCCGTCTGCTGCGAGGGATGAGAGCCCAGTCCTGCTTACCCAAGGCCGTTTTCGACGCGGATCTTCTTGCCGCTGAGCCTGCCTTCGGGTGCAAACAATTGCGCAGCCGCGGGCTTGAGCGTCTGCAAGCAGCGGTAGAAGGGGCTCGAGTATATGACGTCGACGGGCGGGTCGAGTGTGAGGATCTTGTCCGCCAACTGCGCCGCCTGCTGCTCGCCGTAGCTGGCCAGCGCCGGGTCCGAAGGAATGCCTGTCGGCGTCGACGACAGCGTCGTGCTCTTGTATTCGCCCGTGTTCGGGTCAACCACCCAGTTCATGCGGAACTATAAAGCGCGCCGAAAGAAGAGGAGCATCGTGTTAGCACGGTCGATTTTCTGGCGCGCGACGACACTTGCGCGGCGCGGTGCGGTGCTGCGGACTCTCCATGAGGCATGTCGAAAGACGGGGAGTCATGAATGAGGCTCTCCAGGCGACTCGGGCATCGCGCGCGCGGGGCAAGGTCCAGGGCGGGATGCAAGGAATGTGATCAAGGTATGCGCCTTTGGACTCTTCGCGCTTGACTTACGCCATGCCTGACCACGTATATCGTCTCTAGGACCATTGTGTCGTGTGTGTACCGTACAAAGGAGGTATGTTCGTGAGAATGGCGAGAGCTGCTGCGGGTTGCCGACGGAATAGGTTGCGCACAGGGCTGCTCGTGTCTCGGTTCCGGAACAGTCAACTGATTTTGAGGGATTGGGAAGGACTGCAACCACCGCGAGGCTGCATGAAGATAAACCGACCAAGCTCAGACACACCGCACAGATTCTGCCTTGAATGAGTTTATCTCTAGCTTTGACGTCACTTTGGAAAGAATAATTCACGACGATCACTTAAAGTGGGCCCGATGCTCGGCGAAAAAGTTCATTGCTTTTTTTTTTCTTGCACCTTAGTGGCAGTGTAGCCTACTTCATCGATGCAATTGCAATTTCACGTGCCGTTCATGTCATAAAACTTTTATATTCAACCTCCGTGGATATCCCCCAAGTTCAGCTGTACCATGAGAGGACCCGCTTTCTAGTAGAAGAAACCAAGGATCTTGCCGGCGACGTGCTTCCTCCTGGCCTCCTCGTCTGCGAACCAATCAATTTCCATACTGCGAGATTTTTGAGCGGGATGACTTACGGTCCATGATACCAGCGGAGGTGGTGAGAACGATGCAGCCGAACTGACGCGAGGGAAGGAGCTTGACGACCCACTTCTCGAGGTCCTTGAGCTGGACGTTGTAGCGGGGGGAGATGACACCGGTCTTGTTGATACGGCCGTTGAGCTGAACAACGATCTTGCCGTTGCGGTGGTCATCGACCTCCTCGAACTCGCCAATGTAGCCTGAAAGACATCGAATCAGTATGTTGCGGAAGATTAAACGTTGGAAATCACAGGAAAATCAGAAAACGTGTAAGATCTTCGCAGAGTTTGATCTCTCGGACACTTAAAGCCCAAAGGTTGTAGTGAAAATCGAACCATTGGGTAGTTATCAGTCCGAGGGGGGAGGGAGTTGCGATCTGCGAAGGCCGACGGAGAAAAGCCATCACGTACCGTGCTTCTGCATGACGTGCAGGAACTTGATGATGACCTTGGAGCTGGGCCTGATCAGGACCTGGCGCTTGCCGGCCTTCTCGGCGTTGTTGATGGCGTTGAGCGCATCGTTGAGGACGGAGGTCTTGACCATTTTGGCGGTTGGTACGAGATTCTCAAGTGGCTACGGTGCGGACTGAGGTATCTGCGCCCGGGTGTCTGGTTAGCCTTCAAGAGCCATAGAGCGCAAAGAGTGCCCCCAGGTAGCAGGACCAAGAGGGTTCTTCAGCTCGCGTCGCGAAGGAGGAAGCGTGTCACCACGCGACCGTCGCGCATTCTGCTGGCATTCCCTGAGCCACATGCGCCGGCGGACCGCGGTGATTGCTTCCTCCAGGCTACCTGAAGGGCACTCGGAAGAGTTCGTTCGTCATGACATACCTCGAGGAGGACGGGGCGTCGGGGGTGGTGTCGTGCTGGAGGTCGGAAGTCGCGGCGCGGAGTTGGGCGAGGTGGTCGCGAAGGCAATTTGTCGGTGGGCTCGTCTACACTTCCAAATGCGGTTGGCGCTTCACGGTTCGACGCGCCGCCTTCTTATCTTATCGGAGGCGCTGCTCCTGCCGAATCGCGTGTCACCGGACCGGGGCGCCCATGGTGATGTCAGAAGTGGCAGCTGCGGAGGTGATCCGGGCCTCCTGTTACACCTCAAACGCCTCTGTCTGTTGATACCTCACCTAGACTCATACCTTGCCTGCAAACTAGCACCATGTCTACGGAAGCTTGCTGTACCTGCGCCGCGCTCCTGTCCACGATTCCTCCTGCGTACGACGAGAAGACCGAGAAGCCCTCGCAGTACGAGCGCCGGCTGGAGTGCTGCGAACGCGCCATATGTGCACGATGCATTTCGGACAACCCCCGCTTCGCCACCTATTGTCCTTTCTGCCAGATTTCCATCACGCCGTCCCCTTTGCCGCAAGGTCTACGAGACCCTCCGGCATACTCACCGCCACCGTCACCCAGACCTCGCCACGCCACCTTAGCCCGCGTAGACACCCACGAGCGGCCACCCCCATATGAAGGGCATCAGCCGGTCCAGCCGCCTGCGGGGAAGGCCAAGGAAGAGCCGGCGCCGGACGTGCTCCACTTTGTTGATCCTGATACTGACACTGTCACCAACTTATCACTGAGATATGGCGTGCCGGCCTCGGCCCTCAGGAAAACCAACAACATTTTTGCCGATCACCTCTTGCATGGAAGGAGAACAGTCCTCATACCGGGGGAATATTATAAAGGAGGCGTGAGTTTGAGTCCGCGGCCGGTGGAAGGTGAAGAGGAGGAAGCTCGGAAGGTCAAAGTACGCAAGTGGATGGTTGCTTGCAAAGTGGCCGAGTAAGCCTTCCAGACGCGACTCCAACCGTCGCAACCGATGGATGCGTGAAAAGCACGGTACCGCTGATTCGCTTGGACTGATAGGTACGACATCGCGCTACTATACCTCAAGCAAGCCGACTACGATTTAAACGCCGCCGTAGAGGCGTATAAGGACGATGAGCGGTGGGAGCAAGAGCATCCCTTACAAGGCAGCTCAACCGGGAAGAATCAGTTGCGGATTGGCCGCAGCAGGTGGTCGGCTGGCGGAAGTTTGACGGGGCAATTGTAGGTTGCCGAGAGAATGGGAAACGGGAAACGGGAAACGGCAATCCGGGGTCTGTTTCATAAATGCATACCATCACACAGATGCGCAATGGAGCAGAGTGGCGTTCGGCGCTTCGACAATAACTTCCTCCGCATAGAAACGTACAGTGTAAGACGGTATCAGCGCTAAGCTGTTGAGGGTAGCTTACTGTGTAGCAGGTGAGCCCCCCTCAGACTGTGCGAATCAGAACAAACGCCCATCATGACGCATTACGCGGCCCTTCTCTCGTAGTCGTGATCTACTCAAGCCTTCAACATCCCATAATCGACAGCTTCGGTTCGCTTTAGCAATCACTTGGCACGCTCCCTTAGGCCAGCCCCAAACGCACAGACCGCCATTTACAGCCGTTGACCGTTAAGCGCCGGACTCCACCCCAGATGCCTCCAGCGAATCACGTAGCCGAAGCCACCTGCAGTAGTAATCTCACAAGCGCCCTGCCTCCAGCCATCCGACCACACCATAGGCCATGAATAGCACATCCTGCACTGCCAAAACGCCTCCAAGCGAATCAAAGCTGTCCCCCGCCTGAGCTCCCCTGCCCCTCGCTAGGACCGGCCATGCGACAGCTGTGATTCGAAGCTTGATCTGGACGCCAAAGATGAGCCTTTTGGCGCCCGCACCCAGCGCGAAGCTTGTCGCTGTGGATCTCCCTCCCACCGACCCAGGAATAGCAGCCTGACCGCGTCGCAGGGCTAGTTCCCGCACCTCTGTGTGGTTGGCGCGAATGCAGGTGCAGCCATCCCCCGGTCGTACCGACTCCCGGAATAGGCGCCGTGTGTGCATGCACCCGAGTGCGCAGGGTGTGCTGCTTAAATGGATGAGATTCGCCAAATCGTCGCCTTTCTATTAAACGTCGTTGGCCCCGCTGCCCTGTTGATTCAGAGTGCTGTTCATTCTCGACGTGGAGCAACGAGAGACCCTCTCCCTTACCCGTTTCTCTTTCTCTTGCACGTCTGGAGTCTGGACTTCGGCCACCCTCATCGCAACGGTTCTTTGGTTCTCATTGATACCCTTCTATTATACCCCAGTTTCGCCGATATCTTTCTTCTTGTACTTTCTCCATACCACACACCAAAATGCTTCCCACGCACATCAGGATAGCGCAGTTGTCCCTCGCGGGCCTGAGCTTCATCTTCGGCATCTGCATCATGGGCACCTCCGGCCACACCCTCGCCGTCTACAACGCCGAGTACTCGACCAACCCGTGGTGGCTCCCGCTCTGGAACGGACACTTCGACGTGCGCGGCACGAACACGCTCATCGGTGCCGGCGCGGTCATCACCATCCTCAACCTCGCCTTCCTCATCCTCTGCTTCCTCCCCAAGGTAAACAAACCCCCGATCGCACATCCCCTTCTCCTCTACAAAAAAAAAAAAACGTTAACGCGGCATCCGATCCATCAGCTCAACCTCACCGAACGCACCACCGCCCGCGCCTTCATCACCCTGGGCCTGGTCTTCCCGACGCTGGTCGTGGCGTTCGGCTGCTTCGTCTACGCCGCGGTGCTGAACAAGAACTCGCCCTCGGTCGAGACGATCCAGACATGGACATGCAAGTTCAAGGGCAAGCGGCCCTCCGACACCACCATCAGCGTGCCCACCGGCGTCTCGAACCAGGAATTCAGCAGGCTGTGCGCCGAGAGCGTGAGTCCAACCCCCTCACATCTTCCCTCTTCCTTCATAAAACGAATGAAAACTGACCCCCAGTTATCAGAAATTCGCTCTGTACACGACGCTCGTCGTCTTCCTGCTGCAGGGCTTCATGCTCGTCATCGCCGTGCTCGGGTGGTGCGTCGAGAAGTGGTACGCGCGCAAGCAGCGCAAGCAGTCGAAGCTCGAGGACGGCAACAGCGTCGAGATGAGCAACGGCAGCCACCACGACAAGGAGGTGCCCGTCAGCGTGCACTCGACGGCCGGCTCCATCACACCGCCGCCGCCGAGGTACTGAGATCGTAGTAGTATGAGGCAGGCAGTTGGTTACGAGGGTGATGACGATGGGGGTTCGCAAAATTCTTCTTTCTTTTTCTTTTTTCACGCCTGACGGGTTGTTCGGCTCGATGGTGTCTGTCTGTCTGTCTGTCCGTCCGGACGGCAGAGTAGAGCATTGTTGTGCTTCGAAGCACTTGGAGCGACGAGATGCCGGTATGGAAGCTGGCTCATGTGCGCGCTGACTTACGCGTCAAGCTTAAGTTCGACGCCGGTCTGGGATGTGTTGCTTTTCTTCTTCTTCTTTGGGACCTTTTCTCCTCCCGTCCCCCGCCTTTTTTTCTTCTTTCTATTCCCATTTCATTTCACTACTACTTTATTGGGAAAGGGATCTCCGTCATGTAACGAGGGATGCGTAAGGTACTACTTCTGGCACAGGAAGGGGCACGGGGTGTAACGGCGATTTTTTTTAGTCATGACAACGATGATATCACGGCAAAGAATGAAGTTCCAGCCATGTCGCGGACATGGTAGGTTCAAACAGCTCGTCTTTGAAACCGGGTGTGTGATTCAGCGCGAAAGCGAGAAAGGCAAGGACTCTCGCAATCACCAGACGAAGAACGGGCCAGGATCATGATTCAGAAAGTGGAATTAAATGCCTAAGCTAAACTATTGGGGAACGTGCATACGTAAGAGCCAGCGCCGGGGTATAAGAGATCATTCACCATCGTGAAAATAGTAGAAGGGTATCAGTCGTTTTCGAAAGGGATGGGGTCATGAGCGTTCACAAGCGGAGCCGTCTTAGCCGTTCCTTCCACTTCCTTTTGTCGTGTCGGTGGCGTCCTGATGCTCGCGCGTCGGAGGGGGCAGCAAGACGTCATTGTCTCACCAAAAACTTCGCGGTGCCGAGTTCCGGGACGCTTAGACGTAGGAGCGACGTCCGAAGCGGCTGCGGGAAGCGCCATCGGTGACGACGGGACGAGACTTCTTGTGGAAGACCCAGGCGCCGAGAATGGTGCTGGCGAGCCAGAAGCAGGCGGCGATGAAGGCAAAGGCCTCATTGGCCTTCCACTTGTCGCACCAGCCGCCGCGGTAGAGGCCGCTCCAGTGGAAGACTCCGCCGCAGTTGGCGCTGTTGATGTATTCGACGAGGGCGCCAAAGGCCGCGAACCAGGCCAGGCTGAGGATGAAGTCAAACGGATACTTGGTCGGTTAGCAGGTTGAGCTGGGGTGATGGGTCGGTGTTTCACTTACGTGGAAGAAGGTGAAAGTGAAGGGAATCATCCAGATCAGCGAGGTGACGAGGGAGATGCAAGCAATGACAATAACGTAGATGGTACGTTTATGGGGACCGCTGCTTCCATCGTGGATCTCGTGGAGGAACCAGGCCGACAGACCAAGGCAGACCTGCATGCATGTCAGCAAGATGCGTGGTGAAGAGACGGTGGCAAGTGGCATACGGCAGCGCAGACGAACTGGCCGAAGCGCAGGAAGATGGAGATGAGACGCGAGAGGATCATGTTGTCGTATTTTGCGGGAGCTGCTGGAAAGTGGAGGTGAGCAGTGGCTGGGAGCTGGGAGCTGGATAACAGCGAACAATTGGAGAATGGCAGAGCAGCAGGAGCGCTCGATCTTATATGGGCAGCAGGAGCGAACGTCATCGGGAGGCTTCGCGGCTCGTCACAGGGCAGCACACGTAAACAAGCAGCTGGGTAGAGCTCCAGGCGCGTCTGCGTTGGTGACACACGTCGCCCAAGGCGCAGCGAAGCTCAACATGACCTCACCCAGGAACGCGGCACCGCGACAATTGGCCCGCGCGGAAATGAGCCACACAGTGCCATTGGCGGTGCGCTTGCGATGCCGCGAGAGCCGGGGCAAGCAAGGACGACGACAAGTTTTCCAAGCTTGTGTCAGCTGATCCTGGGCGTTATCCCCGCTCGAGAGCGATGCCACTATGCCAGTGAAGAATCACGTCGCGGCGGGGCGGCGCTAGGGGCATGGTGCCGCGGCATCGGCGCTGAAGTGCACCAGCCGGGCGACGAAGGCACTGGAAGAGCGGCAGCAGCCAGGGCCCGGTCGCAGCAGTCGCAGGCCGGTGCAGCAGGTTTTGGCAACGATCCGCCAGGCAGACACGTTTCCTACCCCGGTCCTTCGGGCGCGTCTCGGACAGCGCGCGCGTCGAACGGCCAGCGCAGGCAATTGCTGGTTCACGAGACCATGGTGCTGACAGAGCGCTGGAATAATGGCAAGCGGAGGCACGAGGTGTGCGGTCGTGATTAGGGTGTTCGTCGGAAGATCCACTGCTGCACGGCGTGCCTGGGCCTTTCGCTTGCAGCCTTACTCAGCGGCAGATCTGCTCGTTTGGCCCGCTCGCTGGTGCAACAGGACGGCACGCAGCTGCTGCTCCTTCGCTCCCCGCTCCACCCGCAAAGCTTGTCCGCCAACCTTGGGCCCGATGCCGCATGACTGCACCTAGACGCCGTGACAGCCCCGTCCCGAGCCCCTCGCCGAAATCCGCCCCAGCCGTGGCCGCATCTGTCCGGGCTGATTAGCTGAACTAGGCTTCGGCTGAACGGCTGAGAGCAGCCGTCTTCGGCTCCAGACGCGCAGCCCTCATCGCGTCGTCCTCTCCTTCGTGCCTCTCGGCCTGCCCAACACTCTCGCAGCGACAGGGGCTGCCTCAGCCCTACAATGCCGGCCCGTGCCTGGCGTGGCTGTGCTAATCCCTCAAGGCAACAGGAGAGTGTATAAGCCAGCGAAGCAGCTTTCTCGCCCACATTCCCGACCTACCCTCCGATTGCCCTCGTTTGCCGGGACCGCTCAGTCGCCAACAAGCATAGTGCCGCGTCCTGGCGTTCGTCCACTATCTACCCCGCCCATACCTTATCGCCCTGCAGCCATGGTCCTAGTCATGGCGACCGCGCCAGCGAACTTCCTGCTCGCTAGCTGGACCCTTCCGGTGTGGACCCTGATCTTGGCGACGGCCCTCTCGTTGCCGCTGCTTGTCTACTACCAGCAACGCCGGTCTTCCAAGGCAGAGCCCTTTTTCAACTTTGCCGGGTTGCCAGCTGAAATCCGCAACATGGTCTACGAGGAGCTGGTGGAACCCGACTGCAACCCCTCTTTTCCAACCGAAGCAATGCGCTCACCGCGCCCTTTACGAATGATGTCCTGGATCCCGAGTCAGAAGAAGCCCAGCTATCCAAAGTATGGCATACTCCTGGCCAGCCGCCAGCTCCACCGGGAATTCATGGACGTGCTGTGCAAGCGCGCAACATTCACCCTGAATGTGGATCGCTCGAACGAGCAGAGCACGAATCCCTGGCCTCTGAGTCGCGACAGCGTGTGCAAGATCCGCAGTTGCGAAATCCGCATCATTGCCACATCCAACATGCTCGGGTCGCGAGATCCGCGCTCCATGCCGCGTGACTGGGGACTGAGGAACCGCGTGTCCCGCAGTCTGAGCGCAATGAGACGGGTTGAGAAGCTCAGGCTTCATGTGCATGCGGTGCCGGACCGCATGTGGAACCCGCTGTGGCTGTGGAGCCAAGTGTCGCAGCAGTTCAAGGACCTGGCAGAGCCACGCTTCACCGCCATCACCTTCGGCCTTGAGTCTTGGACGCTCGGGGAGAACTGTCTGAAAAGAGACGAGGAGGGACGATGGAAGTGGACGTGTCCGGCGGATCACGTGGTGACGGACGACCCGGAAGGCTGGCAGCCGATTCGAGAGTTCTGCGCGGCGCTGTACCTCGAGTGCCGTGAGTGCCAGCGCAGCAGAGCGGAGAATGCAGGCTCGGCTTAAAGCGAGCAGGAGGGTGGAGGGCGCCCGGGCGCGTCCAGAGTCAGGGTCTGCGGCTTGGGGTGCCTCGTTGTAAGCACAAGACTAGATTACACGAGCCTGTGGATGACTCGCACAGCCGACGGACGGGTCTTGGGGCTGCCGACGCAGAGAGGTAGCACACAAACAGAGGCACGTGCATTTTGTCGACAGCGGAAGTCACTCTTACTCATCTCCGGGCCAGGCCGGGGCGAGGCCAGGGCGAGGCAGCGCGGCGTGGCCGTTTAACTTAAAACCGTTCGACGGGCTCGCCGTCGGAGCCGCCACCGCGGCGGCGCAGCAATAATGGAGTGCGGGCAGACGGCGGAAACGGGCGGGGCTCTGGCAGGGCTCTGGCAGCAGCAGCGCGGCGGCCTCGGCGGCGGCCATGCTCGCTTGGGCATGGATCAGGGTTCAGCAGACGGGGTGGTTTTGCAGGCCTGGGCCCCTTCGCGAACAGGGACGCTCCAAGCCACGAACACGGCCAGCCGTAGCGCGGGCGACGGTGCAGTGGGCGCTCCATCAGCGTGCCCGCTGCTTGGCGGCCAGCCGGAAGCGCTGCGGACGGCCTCCCTCGCCAGCCGCCCCGGCCGCCAGCCTCGGGCCCATCACAGATATGTGCGAGCCCGATCGCAGTAGCGGCGCCGGTGCGCGCTGCTCCATCACCACCTTGCAAATCTGCAAAACTCCGCCGCGCTCGCCTCATGCCCTCCCCCGGCCGCGGACTTCCTGCCGCCGCGCTGCCGTCCGATTGCTGCAACCGCCATCTCTAACCCAACCATGGGCTGCCAGCAGCCCGAGCCTGCCGCGCTGCCCGCCGCCTGCACCGACAGCACCCGCGCGAGAGAGCTGTACAAGTACTTCCAACCGCCGCGCGTCCACCAGAACCTCGCCTCTACCCTACCCTCGGCCAGCCCGGACACGGTGCTCACCGCACATGCCCAGCTCGTCGCCTGGCGATTGAATGTCCAACGCGTCCTCATCAGTCTGATCGACCGCGAGACGCAGTACTTCGTGGCCGAGAGCACCAAAACCCTCGACCTCGCCGACAGCGACCAGAGCGAGGTCCCCGAGGATGCCATATGGGCCGGCGTACGCACCCATCCTCTCCGCGGCTGCCCCATCCAAAGTTGCTCTTTGCTGACCCAGTTGTGGCAGGGGCAGTGCAATTTGAGCGTGCCCAAGCGCGGCCGCTTGTGTGAACACACGCTTGAACAGGTGCCGAGTGCTGATGGCACGCCTGCTTCCTTCGAGGTCCTGGACCTTACCAAGGATGGCCGATTCAGTTCGTTGCCATTCGTGGCTGGCGAGCCGCATTTCAGGTAAATCGACGATTGATCGCGGAGCTGAGCGGCCGGCACTGACTGCCGTCCCAGGTACTATGTTGGTGTACCATTGAAGACGAAGAAGGGCATCCCGATCGGCTCTCTTTTTGCCATGGACGTCAAAGTGCGCGAGCCGCTCAAGACGTCGGGTTTGAAATGTACGTTTTCCAGGTCGTTGCCTTTTGCGCGTGGCTGGCAGCAGCACTGCAAGAGCAGCATGCAGTGCGGTGGGGCCGACTTCTGCGTCCGGGCCTGATCGGAGTGGGCTCGCCGCGCTCTGACTTGCAGAAGGGATCATCTATCCCCAAAGAAGCTTAGCCCCGCTGCCTCGATGCCGCCTAGCCATGCCGCTCTGGTATTGCTTGCCCTACGAAAACGGCGACTAATCTTTCTCGACAGTTCTGACCATCATGGCGAGTAATGTCATGGCCCATTTGGAGCTCATGAAGGAGAAGGAAGACCGCAAGCGCGCCGTCAACATGAACATGTGTCTTGCCGCCTTCGTGGATCCTGAGCACCCGCTCCGTAAGCGTAAGCGCACCGTCAGTCACCAGAGGATGCGCAGTCACAAACTTGCGACCTTTGCCGAGCACAAGGCCGCCCTGAACGTCAGGGCAGAAGAAAGGAGCGAGTCCATTGCAAGTCCGAAATTGCCCGGAACACCCAGGTCAACGAGGAGCAGCCGCCGTAGCAACGGCTCCAGGAAACAAGACGCGGAAGCCGCGCATTCCGGTGGCGATTCCGAAAGCGAAACGAACTCCAGGATCGGTGACACTGATCACCCTGAGACGTTTGAGCGCGCCTCAAAGGGCTTGTTCGACTCCTTGTCGTTGCGCGGTGGTGGAGGCGTCGTTTTCATGAGCACTACCGCCGGCCTCCGTCCAGATGGCATGCCCATACCCTCAGCAAAACCTTCCCTGGACGATTTGAGAGAGGTTTCTATGCAGCACCGGGACTCCGTTGGCAGTCTGACTGAATTTCCCATGGAGAGCGCACCGTCCCACGTGGATTCCGGCCATTCCGTGGACATCCTGGCCCATGCGGTCTCGCATCCCAGCCATCACGGCGATCAAGAGAGCGATCAGCAAGATGTCTCACCACTCTCGCCCGACGAACTCACAAAGCTGATCCGGCGTCACCCTCGAGGAAAACTCTACAGCTTTGGTGACGATGGTCTCAGTCAGGGCTCTTCAGGAGAGGAATCGCACCCAGCAGATTACTCGCCACTTTCGCCTGGCACCAAGCGAAGACCGCCATCCAGAAGTGAGGCCGCCATACTCGCCAAACATTTTCCAGGGGCACGCCAGGTCATTTTCGTTCCTTTCTGGGACGTTCAAATCGAGTCATGGGTCGCATGCTTTGCTTACAACACTTCGGATTTCCGCACTTTCGGCCACAACCCGGATTTCCTTCATGCCATAGCTTTCTGCTGCTGCATCATGACCGAGGTTGCCCGTCTTGCAACCCTGGCTTCGGATCAGCAGAAGAGCGATTTCATCGGATCAATTTCGCACGAACTCCGCTCGCCCCTGCACGGCATCCTGGCATCGTGCGAATTCCTGGAAGACACCGACTGCTCTTCGTACCAGAAGTCGTTGGTATCAACGGCCGATAGCTGTGCGAGGACGCTTTTGGACACCATCAACATGGTCCTGGACTACTCCAAGATCAACTCGTTTGAAAGGAACATTCGGAAAGCAAAGAAATCGCGCAAGGACATGAGCACGCAAAACACGGTACATCCGGCAATGCAACAACCGTCGCTGAACATCTATGACGCCGTCGACCTCGCAGCCATAATGGAAGAGGTTGTTGCTGGCGTGGCGTTAGGTCACGCTTTCCGAGACATTACCACTTTCGAAGGGCCCGATGACAAGCTTCAAGGCACGCCCAACCGCAATCTGGGTGAATTGGAAACCGCCGTCTCAACAGTAGCAACGAGACCAGCCGTCGAGATTATCATGAGCATCGATGCATGTCGGTGGGATTTCGTTACACAGCCAGGGGCGGTCAGACGTATCGTCATGAACCTTTTCGGTAATGCGATCAAGTATACCCGACAGGGCTTCATCCGTGTGAGTCTAAGTGCCAAGGATATTAGGGATCCGCCGCCGCAAAGCGTGAACGGCAGCCAGGACCCTCCTGCCACCAGTATCGTCACTCTGACGATATCCGACTCTGGACAAGGTATCTCGCCCGAGTATCTCAGGACCAAGCTTTTCACCCCCTTCGCCCAGGAAAACCCACTCAACCCCGGAACCGGCCTCGGTCTCTCTTTGGTGAGATCTCTCGTCGATACTCTCAACGGCGACATCAACGTCAGGAGCGTGCTTGGGGTCGGCACAGAGGTAGTGGTGACCTTACCGATGGTCAAGAGTGGTGGCAGCAGTGGCACTGGCTCGACCACAACGCCTGCATCAGTGCCTGCTTCAACTGTGAGCACCACGGGCACGGGGAGCACGGGGAGCAGCGGCGTCCACCGACCCATTCACTCTTGTCTAAACTCCGTCAGGCTAGCTGCGTCAGGCATGACCGCAGCCCTGTTCAGGCCACCGGACTACGAGAAACTTACCAACCCTCTCACCGCCCGTGCGTTGGAAATTTCGAGCTCAGCACTCGAGGGTTTCCTGAGAGACTGGTATGGCTTTTTGAACGTTGTGAATTGGAGTCCTGAAGTCCAAGCCGACCTTATCGCGGTTGACGAGGTTGATCTACCATATCTTCTGGAGCTTTGCCCAAGCTTCAAAGGTAGCTTGGAAGATGGACCCATACTCCTCGTCATCCGCGCCGGTTCTGGGAGGTGTTCGGCCACAGACCAACTGATGAAGCACGTAAACCTGGAGTATCTATCCAGGCCCGTCGGTCCATACAAGCTGGCCAAGGCTCTGCAGAACGTCATGGAGAAACGGGCAAGGAAGTGCAACCCTGGAAGTGTCGCAGACTCCGTACTCTCGCTGGATGCCATGGACGATGCTGATGAGGTGGTGACTCACGTCGAGCAAATAACGTTGAATACCAGCCACAATGGCGAACCAGAAACCATGAATGTCCTCCTCCAGGGGGAAATCCTCGGCAACGACGAGAGCATGAATGCTCACATGGCGCTGGACACATTGCCTTCCCCCGATGCCGTCCCACCCGTCGAACTAAACGAAGAATTCCCATTTCCCGATCCTACACCTACACCTACACCGGCACCAGTACCCGCAAAGGAAGATGGTGGTATAACATCTCCTTCCTTCATGTCAGCCGAAGAAGGCCGGCCTCACATCCAGCACAGCCGCACAATGTCCTGGACTCCGCAAGAACGGCTCCAACACGAAGCGCCACAGGCTTCTCCGATGAGCTCACAGGGCCTCAGTGTCACGACCAGTCTTCCCCCTCCTCCTACCGTGCCCGACGCCGCCAGACCCTCCATCGCTGGCCCCGCCGCCAACGTCAGACAATCCTCCAACGACACCAGCGGTACCATCACGCCGAGCCGCCAAAAGAGCGTCAGCCGCCGCGGCTCCAAAACACCCACACCCAGCACCGCCTCGAACGGCGCGCGCATGCCACGTCTGCTCCTCGTCGACGACAATGCGGTCAACCTCCGACTACTACAGACGTTCATGCGCAAGCGCGCGTACTCTGCCGTCTACTCAGCCGCCGACGGCGCCCAGGCCGTCGCCGTATTCGAATCACTACTCTTCAACACCACCCCCACCGCCACCACCACCACCACCACCACCGACGCCCCACCAAACGGCCACACCCCATCCCCATCCCCACCCGCCTCCCCACCACCCCCGACCCCGCCAGACATCGTCTTCATGGACATATCCATGCCCATCATGAACGGCTTCGAAGCCACGCGGCGCATCCGCGCCCTCGAGGCCGACTTCGCCGCCGCCCGCCCGCCCCACGCCCGCCCGCCGCCGGCCCTCATCGTCGCCCTCACCGGCCTCGCCAGCGGCCGCGACCAGAGCGAGGCCTTCACCAGCGGCTTCGACCTCTACATGACCAAGCCCGTCAGCTTCAGGGAGGTGGGCCGCCTGCTGGACAATTGGGTCGCGAACGGCGGCGTCGGCGAGGGCAGGGACGGCGTCGCGGTCGGTGGTGCTGCTGCTGCGGGGGTGGGGATGGGGATCCCGCCGGCGGCGGCGGCGGCGGCGGCGGCTGTGGGGGGTAGTAGGGGGGAGGACGGCGGGGGCATGGTGGGGATGGGGAAGGGAGGGGCGGCGGCGATGCAGGTGATGGTGCCGTTTGGGCCGGTGGTGGGGGAGGTGTGAGAAGGATGGAGGGAAGATTGAAAAGCGGGGGAGAGGAAGGGAGTGTGGATGGAGATGATGGGGGGTGGTGATTGACGGGGTTTTGGGCGGCGTTGGAGTTTTCTGGGTTCGGATTGGTTGGTCGGTGTGGCAAATGGATATACCAAAGAGATGGATTTTGCGAAATCGCAATCGGGATTTAATGTTTGGTAAAAAAAAAAGCCAGTTTGGTTTTTCTTTTCCGTGGGAATCTGACGCTGAAGAGGAAGGGGGGATCACTCGTCTGATCTTGGCCTCTCCCTTCCCCCCCTCCTTCTCACTCCTTCTCTTTCTCCGCTCTCGAGGGATATCGTGCGAAAAAAAAAAAAAAAAGATCGAACGGCATAGCGAATTGGGAATTGTCACAGCCGCCGCCGGTGTGCCGAGGACCGCGTGATGGGGTACTCAGGCGATTATGTCAATATTCATGCTACTGGTCCATGTGGATCGACTCACGACCGCGGGGGGTTTACCGGTTGTTAACAATCAACTCAATCCGGACAACTTCCTTCCCAGCTGATCGCATGTGTCATGTGTGCCGGATCTGCCCCGCCGGATCGAGGAGTCAGATCACAACGGAGGCATTGTTATTGGTTACAGAGCTGTAGAACTTTATCAGTGGTTGCTGCGAAATCGCGGCAGTTGTCTCCGCTTGCATGCTTCTAGCGGTATTCCCATTGTCCGTTTCGGCCACGCCGGTCCATTGTTCATCTTCCTGGAGGCCACACATCTTCTTTCATTCGGGGTTCGGGGGTTCGTTTGGTTCGTGCCTGGCGTGGCGCGGATCAACCTTGACGTGAAAAGCCAACGCACCAAAGGCAAACGGAGAACGGAAAACAGCACGAAAAGATTGGCGTTCGGCTGCGTGACGTCGTGAGCGAGATCGAAGACATGTCTGACAACACTACTGGACGCCAAAAATGATGTGCGAACGCCAGCGACTCCCAACACGCATTCGGCGGCTTTGGCTCCGGCCGCGCACAACAATAATAGTCCAGACGTCCCGATCGTTATTCGTACTGCAAATGAAGAGTGAACAGCTGTAGGGCAAAAGAGAAAGAAACGCAAAACGTACAACAGCCGGGATTCCCCAATGGTCACCCACTTGAGTACTAATCGGCCGGTTCGCAGCTTAAGTACGGCTGAGCGGACGGGAAGCCCTGTATTCTGCGACCTATGGTCGTACGTGGAAGAAGGAATTGCAAACAAAGTAAATGACTATGAGTTAACTGGTTGTTGACTAGTCCGTCACCCACCTATCCCCCTTCTCCTTTCTAACATATATTCTGCCAGAGCTGATTATCTAGCCACAGGCCTGAGAGTTATTAAACCGTATGTGCTGCTTCCTCTCGTGCTGTGTTGATTTTTTTTTTTGCTATTCTAGTAATATCGCCTGGTCTGTAGCGAGGGTAGTCAAGTTCCTCCTCTAAATATGGTGTCACCAAGGGGATCCATCAGGACTGGAGTTGTCAAATTCGCTCCGAATACTGTGCGGACCAAGTCACGGCAGTGACTGCTATCTGGGGCGCCTCCATCCTCCGCTTGGAAGTATGTGGCCGTATCATTTAATATTTCTCTTCTATCTTTTACTTATTGCTTCGTTGCGTCTGCTTTGATCTAGCAAGACTTCAACTACGTATGAGTCTCGAATAGCCCTGGAAAGCCGATCTCTATTCCACAAGCCGTATACACAACAAAAAATTACTACCAAAAGGGCAAGAAGAAAAGAAGTTTGTACAGGAAAACACAAAGATCGACCAAAGCCAACCACAAAGCCCCCCTCCCCCCTAGCCCCCCGGCCCCCCCCCCTCCCCCTCCCCCTCCCACCAAATCCCTCGATCGAACCGACCACAACATCCCAGCCGGCCGGGGGAAAAATGGCCTCGCGTCCCGCCTGCTCAAATATAATTCATCCCCCACCACTCACACCGCTCGTTCGCCGCCTCGTCCGCATCGACGCCGACGCCCTCCCCGCTCAACGCCACCAGCCTCGCATCCTCCCCATACACGGGGAACCCACCGCCCAGCCCGTCCACCGCGCTCGCCGGCGCGCCATCGATGGCGAAGCTCGTGATGTAGTCCTGCAGCACGGTGGCGACGGTCGCGTTGAACGGCAGCAGCGCGGAGGCGCCGCCGTCGCCGCTGCTCGGGGCCGAGCCCGGGTCGTAGTACGTGTGCGGCACGTCCTGGCCGTGGTAGCCGGGGGCGACGCCGAAGCGGTAGGCGTGCGACGTTGTAGCGTTGGTCTTGGCGAGGGCGTGCGCGTTGCAGAGGATGGTGGCTTCGCCGATGAGGAGGGCGAGGCGGGCGAAGGGGGTGGTGTAGGGGGTTGCGGCGACGGAGCCGTTGGCGGAGCCGTTGGAGACGGGGGGGTAGAGGGTGTTGGCGATGTAGGAGACGATGGCCGGGGGGCTGTTGGGCAGGACGGCGGCGATGAAGAGGTCGACGATGGCGTCGGAGGTGGCGGCGGCGGGGGTGAGGGTGTGGCTCTCGTCGGTGTTGTGGCCGACCATGACGCCGACGGAGGTGTCGTAGCGGCCCTGGGCGAGGAGGGACTTGGGGTCCTGCGGGACGAAGGAGCCGTCGATGGCGGGGCCGAGGGAGGAGAGGCCGTTGGCGGAGTTGGAGATGAGGGCGGCGTTGGCGGCGATGAGCGAGGCCGAGGGGAGGGTGCGCAGCTCGGCCAGGGTGGTGGCGTTGGCGGCGGCGAGGAAGTTCTGCAGGACTTGGTCCTGGCCGTATAGGGAGGGGAAGGCGAGCCAGGCGGGGGATTGGGCTATGGCGCGCTGGAAGGGGGCTTTGGAGGCGCCGCCGTAGGCCGTGATCTGGTGGATGATGGAGCCGCCGCCTGCCGACTCGCCGAAGACGGTGACGCGGTCCTTGTCGCCGCCGAAGAGGTGGATGTTGGCTTGGACCCATTCGAGGGCGAAGCGCTGGTCGTGCAGGCCGGCGTTGGCGGTCCCGTCTTGCTGGAGGGTCGGCCCCGCGAGCCATCCGAAGGCGCCGACGCGGTAGTTCATGGCCACGTAGATGACTCCATCACCTCCACGCTGGATCAGTCCGCTGGGAGTCCGTTCCGCGGCCTTGGAGCCCGACGTGTAGCCGCCGCCTGATGTGTCCGTTAGCAACCCATGGAGCAAGAAGGGCTTGTGTTCGTACCGTAGATCCAAACGAGAACAGGGGCTCCGGTTCCATTGCTGGTTGCATTGCTCGCGCTCAGGAAGACCTTCTCCGGTACGATGACATCCAAGAAGAGGCAGTCCTCGGTCTCACGCGGGTCTCTGTAGGTGGCCGACGATTGGGGACAAATGCGGTCGATGCTGCCATCGTTGATCACGGAGCGATCCGTGACTGGAGCTTCAGGAGCTTTGAAGCGCAGCTCGCCAACCGGCGGGGCGGCATATCTGATGTTGGAGAAGTTGTAGTAGGCGCGGGTTTCCTGGAGAAGGTGAGACGTGGGCACTTGAGCGTGTGACGGCGTCCTTACGTTGAATGAAATAGCACGGTGGAGTCCATAGCCCAAGTCCACCACCGGAAGTGAGCTCGATGAGTTTTGGGCCGAAACGAGCGTGGGCGAAAGCAACGTGATAGCAGCCGCGGCATGTGCGACAGACCGGAGGAACAACATCTTTGGCAGGCTGTCCCAGGACCAGGAAACGAGTGACTGGAGCTGGAAAATAATGACTGGGACAAAGCAACGGAGGCGGTTATATGTACATACATATACTGTCCAAGGCTCGGGGGCTACGGTACGGCGTCCGGGCGTGGAATCCTCCGGAATCCTTCCCGGCAGGCCAAGCCAATCGTGGGTTTCGAGGCCGATTGGCCATGGCGTGACGGAAGCGGGAACAAAGCGCCTTGCCGGCGGCCGGCGCCGTCGGCCACGAAAATAAACCAGTTCGCAGCCCTACGTCGACCAAAGCTTCACTAGCATCCAGGTAGAAGGCTCGAATCGCGAGACGCTACACCGGATGTAGTCTATCCACGTGGGGCTGTCGGAGCCCCTTGGTTGCGCGCTGGGGCGGCCGCCAAATCCATGTCCCTTAGCCACGGCCGTGAGCCTGCTCCCATGAAGTGTTCTGTGCAGCAGACGCGTAAGCGGAATTCTACGCCACCAAATTGATCAAGGAGGAACACGAGTGTCCGTGGTGGCTGAGGCGGGGGCACAGTTGGGGGCGAAAAGACTTAGACGAGTTTGATCCTTCAAGATCAAGTTTGGATGCAGGTACATACTTATAAGCTCCGAAGACAGGGATTGCTGGCTGAGGATCTCCCGCCGTATCGGTACAGTTATTAATTTCTGGGAATACGCGCTCTCATTACTTCATCACCACCGTCGTTCTTGACCCAAGCAGACGTGAGATTGGATCACCATTTGTAAAACGGAAGACAGTCGTTGAAATAGAAGAAAATACTACCTATCATCGTGCGATACGGTGTCAGCGCTATGAGGTAGCATTTAGGATCCGAGTCTCCAGGGCACAAATGCACTGCACATCCCGCTTAACTTTGTCGTCGTCTCCAGCCAGAACAATTGTCCCAACCAACGTAAGTGTCCGTCAATCTTGCGCACCCGTTCTCAGATCCCATCAACCATGTATTCAAGAGTGGCTTCATCCGTCCCTCATCTTTTAGACACGAGCAGGCAAAAGAAGGAATATCCCGAGCCGGCTCAGAAAGGAGCGAAAGGAGGGGAGATCTCAACAAATTGATGCCCCTTCTCAATACTTCATATGAGACCCGGCCGTGTGGTTCAAGCTCGGTGAAGATGACGGTAGCTGGGCCATCATCAGTGCCGGCTGTCTGGTCCTGTCGAACCATCTTGCCGCACGCTCACGCTGCTCTTCCCGAGCAATACTGAGGCGGCGCCTGTTCTGTTGCTCCAGTAGCTTGAGTTGCATCTCGTAGTCGTGCAACTCATAGCCTGAAGCGTGTTGCATTTGCTTGTCCTGCTGCTGTTCCAGCAGCTCGAGTTGTGTATGGTAGTCCTGCAAGCCATGTGCTGAAGCCTGTTGCTGCCGCCTATGCTGCATTGCCGGCTCGCGCATTCCGAAGGGGGGCTGATCGGACTGACACCCATGCTGATATTCTTGCTGAAAATCCTGCCCGCAAACAGCCATCGTTTCACGGTGCGCCAGGCGTCCATCTCCCTCATTCCGTGACCCATTACAGCCAAAATCGCCAAGTATTTCCGGGAGGTTGCTCTCCGACATCCTGAATTGCGCCTTGTACGGATGCCGTTCGGTAGAAGAACGTGTGGGTCCAGGTCTCGGTCCGACACTTGCTAGGGCACAAGATGACCTACTGGGCGAGTCTCTGCCAGTTTGATAACCTGGATCGATTATGGGCATGCTCTGACGGTAGGCGAGTGGTTTTGCAGGTAGTTCGGGAAGTTTTTGAGGAGGAACCGGCGCTTGTCGTGGGCGTTGAAACATTTGAGATGGAGAGTACTCCGGCAACGAGCGATTGGATAGCGATTGAGTCGAAGCCATGCGGGCGAGGGCTGAGGGGACCTTCCGCCAATGACTGGCTTGGTTGTCCCCTAGCATTTGTGACTCGGGGTTTCTCTCCGTTTCGCTTGAGAGTTCGGCTGCAACTGCATCTTCATGGAGTGGCCAGCCATAAGCCTCGAAGGAAGCGGGGGCGGCCGAAAGACTCGCCGGTCGGCTCCGTCTGGGGGTCTGAGGGCCCGCTTGGCTTCCTTCGAGCTCAACAACATGGCTTATTGTTGTCGATTCTGGCGAATTCCGAACGGTGTCGGGAGGACCTGCACTGACGTCCTGGGTCCGGCTTTCGATACCCTTTCTCTTAAAAGGATTCGTGATATCAGTTTCGAGGACATCCTGTCTTTGACTCATTATGTCTGATCGATGCAGTGACCGCAGCGAAAACGTAAAACGATCCATACACTCTGTGAAGCCTTCCTGAAGGATGCGGATCATTTCCTCTCCCTTCGGCGCAGTCGTGAGATTTTCATACCCATAATCCGTAACAAGAATGTCATCTTCAATGCGCACACCGCCAACATGAGCGTAGCGGAAGAGGACTTCTTTGTTGATGTACTTGGAGTGGATTGGATTCGAGAGATAGACCGCATTCAAGGCGTAGTCGTTGAAGTAACTGCGTAGATGATGAGCTACAACACTGCAAGAAAGGCTGAAAAGAGTACTGACATTCCTGGTTCGACGGTGACAACCATGCCCTCTTCAAGAGCTGGATGATCCGGGTGGAGGAGAGCTTTGCACATTTCTGGATCGACGACAGAGCTCACATTTTCAGTGGCTGCCATCAACGGCACATCAGACACATCGTGAACTTCGAGCCCGAGATGGTGGCCCAGTCCATGAGGGAGGAATGCCAATGATGTTCCAGCATCAAAGATTTCCTGCGGGGTTCCGTTGTGGAAGATGCCGAGGTCTAGAAGGCCCTCAATAAGGATTTGGTGGGCCAAATAATGGATGTCCAAATATCTTATGCCCGGTCGGATAGCATCGATGCACTCAGTTTGCATAGCCAATACGAGATCGTAGATTTCCTTGGCCTCGGTGGTCGACCACATGCGGCCGATGGGGAAAGTCCTCGTCACGTCACTTGCATAACACTGCCACTCGCAACCGGCATCGAGACACATGGCCTGGCGGTCTTCGATGGGCTCATCATTCTTGACGTAGTGAAGTGTGGCGGCATTTTTCCCGGATGCGGCAATGATCTCATAAGCTTGGTGCTTAGCATCAGCTGCTACACAGGTGTCAAGAAAGGTGGCTTCGACCTGGGCCTCACTCCTCAACGAGTGGATGTTTCTGAGCACACTCTCATGGGCCTTGGCGCTGATCTCGTTGGCTTTACGGATGAGCTTGATCTCGTGCTGGTCCTTGCGCACGCGTGCGGCGTCGATGGCGACTTGAAGCTTGGTGTAGTTGACGCGCGGGGATTTGTCGTGGCCGGGCACGACGGCCTGGTCAGGATGCAGGATGTAGACATCGCCCGGATTCTGTGCCATCCAGAACTCCACATAGCCGGGCACGGCGAACGAGTAATCGGCAGCATCAATGTCGTACTTTTCCAGGGCTTCCTCTGGGGTCGAGCCACGGCCATTGTAGTAGACCTTGCGGGGGCTCCCAGGCGATGGGACGTATAGCGTAAGGAAGTCGGAGCGGATGTCATAGGTCAAGTGACAATCAGCCTCGTCGACGCTGCGGCCGCGTTACTTGAAGTCGCTTTCGCGGAGCAGCGTACACATGAATCTGGCACGTGGCACGAGCCTGACGCTCGGTTTGCATGCAAACGACACGGGACGAAAATAGACCGAACGGCGGCTTACCCGGAGAGGTAGTAAAAATAGCGGCGCTGCCTGAAGGAGACACTCTGATCACTGTCCTCCAGATAGGCAGTCGGGGCGCCGGGAAGGTAGATCAAGCCCTTCTCGATGCCGAGAAAGCCGGCGACTCGACGGGCGTGTTGCTTTGCTGGTTGGCTCGGGGTCAGAAGCGCCCGGCACGCGGGGACCGGGCGTGGGGCGGAGACGCACCTGGGTACTTCTCCAGCTGCGAGGGGAGCACAATGTGGAGACGGATGTCCAAATTGTCCATGGCGGGCGTCTGCAGAGATTCGAAGCGCTCTACTGGAGTGGATGGTGGGAAGCGATGCGGCGGCAAAGGGAGGGGACGGCGTGCTCTAGGCAGCGCACCGCTCGCGGAGCACGGGCCCGGCCTCCGAGGCAGGCAGTCACGCAGTCGCCGGCCAGCGAGCCTCTGCCTCCGCCTGCGCCATCGCTCTCGCCTTCTCGTTTGCCAACTCTCTCGACTCTCTCCACACCTCGCCGCACGGTGGGGTGCCAGCGCCAGCACACGCTTGCGGACAGCACAGCGCCGCCTTCTCGAAGACCTCGACCTCGCTGGCTCGAAGCGGCCTTCCCCGGCGTTACGCGCGCGACGCGGGACAGCCAATCGACAGGCGCTGGGCCCTGCTGTTTCATCTGGCGCTACGTCACCACCCGGCGCCCCGTGCTCAGAATGCTGTTCCCACGCCTGGTGCGAGGTGCTCTCTCCCTTGGCCGCTGCCCTGCTCCTCGCCACGCTTGACGCGCGATTCATTACTGCTGGTATCGTTCCTTTGTCGGCTATGATGTGGCGCGCCACGCCCGGCCATTGGTGTACAGCCGGCTGGAACGGTGCACAATCAGCGTTCCGACGCTCGTGCCAAGTTGGTGTTTCCTGCTTTGGACCCAGCAGCTTGCTCTTGCCGCTGCAAGCTTGCTGCTGCCAGCCTTTATATTCGCTGAATCTTGCCGTTGTGCCCTCCAATAATCCCGCCGGTATTCCCTGAGCAACCATTCTGTCACCCTACTCCCTGCCTTCATTCCTCCGCTGCCGCCGTCGCCATGAGATCCTCGACCTCGCACGGCGTCGCCTGTGCGCTTTATCTCTCGCTGCTCGCCCAACTGCCCTCCTCTGCCGCCATACATCACATGAAGCGCGAGCTGCCCGACCATGTCCGCCGAGCCTCCGCTGGAACCAAGCCGCTCATTGTTACGAACAAATGTCCCGACACCATATATCCCGCGTTTATCACTCAAGAAGGAACGGGCCCGGCAAAGACGGGCTTCGAACTGAAGACAGGCGGTCAAGTGAACCAGACTGTTTCGGCAAATTGGCAAGGCAGAGTCTGGGGACGCACCAATTGTAGCTTTCCTGCGGATGGTCCCACTGCCTGCGGCACTGGCGACTGCAATGGCCAGGTTGAGTGCACGGTTTCTGTACGATCTCGAAAATGCTGCTGCCCGGCCATGCGACTAATGAACGTTGAGTAGGGCCTGAATCCCGTGAGTTTGGCCGAATTCACATTGGATGGCGGCGACGGCCAGACCTACTACGACATCTCGCTTGTGGATGGCTACAATCTTCCCATGGGCATCGTCATGTACCCTTCTGGAACCGCTGCTTTGGAGGGAATCCCGCAAAACTCGACGAATCCGTCATGCGAAGGCTCGGCTACCCAGCTTGCAGCCTCGACTTTCAACCCCTACACCGACGGATCTCAGACCTTCCTTGGCACCAACAGTTCGTATCCGTTGCCTTTCGACACCCAGGTCACGGAGGCTCAGGCAACGAGGTGGTGTCCTTGGGTTCTGCAAGTGAACCCGCCAAGCAAACCTGGCGACGGCGTCTACCCATATCCGGACGATAACATTCAGCGCCCGGCATTCAGTCCTTGCTACTCTGCTTGTTCGAAGTGGAACAAGCCGTCGGACTGCTGTGTCGGCAAGTACGACTCCCCAAGCACTTGCTCGGCGGGAGAGTACTCGCACGCTGCCAAGAAAGTCTGCCCGGATGCCTACAGCTATGGTAAGCAACAGCCGGTCCCCAGGCGCAAGAAAAGGAACCAGCACTGACGCACTGTTGCAGCGTTTGATGATCAAACTTCTACTTTCATCATTCCGATTGGCGCCGGGTTTGAGGTCGTCTTTTGCCCCGGTGGTCGGTCGACCAACATCTTGGCCAGCGATCCCACCTACTCGAACGCGAAGCAGTCGTCCGGACACGTGCCGCATAACATGCACGGAGCTCTGGGTCTGTTGCTCGCGTTGACCATGAACACTATCCTCTTCACATGCTTCTTCTAACGGCATGATGGCTGCAGTTGCGCGCTAGAACAGCCCCGCACCACCGGAGATTTACGTTGCATGTTCGGCATGATTTGCTTCCATAGGCCTGGCGCCTTGTGTAAACAGTTGGTGGTGGATTGGATCGGCTACAGATTTGAGAGTCTAGATACCCTGTATTTTCCCGTTAGAGCGGTTTTCCCCGCGAATCCAGGCTGCACACTCGGCCTGTTTTACTTCGTCCAAGCGTCCCAATTGGCCGTGACTGCGTGCCAGGCACTTGGCTCGGTGTTGTCTGAAACGTTTCAACAGGGCGTGGCGGCGTGCCCCGGTTACGCACGCAATTAATGCCGCTGTTCGTTGTGGAGCGGGGCTTCCGCAAGGCGACCTCGTGGCCGGCCAGCCCAGGGACCCAGGGACCCAGGGACCCCGCAAAGCTCGCGAGACTCGTCGGCCGATCAAAGCTTATGCGCGGCAACGCTTCGTGGCTTCGCCAGGCGCGCTCCGCGTGGCCGCTTCCAGGCACGGAGCAGGCATGCCGGGCGGTATGTCGATACAGGTCGACGGCTCCGCGCTGAGAACAAGCCGGCCAAAGGTGAGGGCAGGTCCACTGCGGAGCCGGGCGCGCCTTCTGCCCCACGGCCGCCATGCCGCTTTCGACACGGACGCAACACCTCCAACAGCTCGACGCGCCTCCTCAGTGGATAATCCGCGGCTGGACCTTGGCCTCGCCCTCGAATGCGGCAACTCGCCCTCCGGCGCTCCCTCGTGCCGTGTCCAAACCGACTAGAATGCGACTCGGACGTCTCAGCTCGCCATCATAAGAGCTGGAGCTGCTGCCAGCGCTTCTGCTGTTCTCTCACAGCGCCTTGAGGCCGAGCAGCGGGGTGCAAGACGAAGGCAGCACCAACGGCAAACTGACTGTACATTCTCTCGTTAGCCGCCGAGCTCTCTACCGCAAATGGCGCCGCAGCCTCTTACCGTGCATCAATTGACCGCTGGCTGGTCCTTTAAGCAGACCGATGCGTCAGATGACGCATGGCTGCCAGTCGCTTCTGTGCCCACGAATGTGCACCTGGATCTGATCGCCAACAACAAGTACGCCCATTTGCCCGCAGATCTCTGGCAAAGCCGCCCCTCATCATCGTCATCATCATCATCCTGTATACCCGGCTTACCAACCCTCCAACCAGAATCCCGGACCCGTTTTTGGGCTTCAACGAGATCGATGTCGAGTGGGTGGGCGAGAAGCCGTGGTCCTACAAGACGACCCTCCCCGATGTCGCTCCCACGCCCGCCGGCGCCGTGGCGGTCCTGGCGTTTGACGGGCTGGACACGTATGCCACGGTCAGGCTCAACGGCGAGACCATCCTCGAGAGCGACAACATGTTCATCCCGCACCGGGTGGACGTGACGCAGCGCCTGAAGCCGGGGCCAGACAACACCGTGGAGATCGACTTCAAGCCGGCGCTCGCAGAGGCCAAGCGGGTCAAGGATGCGCACCCGGAGCACAAGTGGGTGGGGTTCAACGCCGACATGGCGAGGTTGGCAGTGAGGAAGGCGCAGTACCACTTGTAAGCGAGCGGGCCTCTTTTTGTTTTTCGTCAACGATTGGACCAAAGAGCGTCGAAAGGATCTATTGCTGACCTGACCCAGTGGTTGGGACTGGGGCCCGGTGCTCATCACCTGCGGCCCGTGGAAAGCCGTCCGACTGGAGACGTACGAGGCCAAAATCGCGGACCTCCGCGTCGACTACAAGGTCGAGGACGGGCTGAAGGCTGTAACCGGTACCATCACCGCTAGCGTCGACGGTGCCGCTGGCAGGACGGTGGCTTTCGCAGGACAGCTGGCGGGCAAGGTCGCCTTCAAAGCATCAACCGAGGTCGACGGCGACGGGCAGGCAAAGGCAGAGTTTCGAGTGGACGCAGCCGAGCTTTGGTACCCCCATGGCTACGGGGCGCAGCCTTTATACGACGTCTCCGCAACCCTCTCCGCCGACAGCGTCGACCTGCACACGCTCGGGCGCCGGGTCGGTTTCCGCAAAGCCGAACTTATCCAGGAGCCCGACGAGATCGGCAAGACGTTCTTCTTCCGCATCAACGATGTCGACGTGTTCTGCGGCGGCTCTGACTGGATCCCGGCCGACAGCTTCACGCCGCGCATCACCCGAGAAAAATACCGCAAGTGGCTGGACATGATGGTCGATGGGCATCAGGTAATGATTCGCGTTTGGGGCGGCGGGATCTGGGAGGCGGATGACTTCTACGACGTCTGCGACGAAATAGGCGTCTTGGTGTGGCAAGACTTCATGTTTGGCTGCGGAAATTACCCTGCCTTCCCGGAGATGCGGGAGTCGATCCGGCATGAGGCTGTTTCCAACCTTCGCCGGATTCGACACCATGCATCCATCGTGATCTATGCGGGCAATAATGAGGATTATCAGGTCCAGGAACAGTTTGGCCTGACGTACGACTACAGCGACAAGGACCCGGAGAGCTGGCTCCAGACGGATTTTCCCGCGAGATACATTTACGAGAAGGTGAGAATGGAGACGGCTGTGCATTGTGCTGTTGTCGATCTTAAGCGCCCTTCTAACACCGTCTAATTTTACAGATCCTGCCAGAGGCCGTGGCTGCGGAGAGCCCGCACGTCCCCTACCACCCCGGATCGCCGTGGGGCGATGGGCTCATCAGCTCCAATACTACAGTCGGCGACATGCATCAGTGGAATGGTAGGTGGCGGCGGCTATACGTGGCCGACCATGGCTAAAAACGGAGTACCCGCTAACGCGTCCCCAGTCTGGCACGGCACGCAGGAAAAGTATCAGATCTTTGACACGCTGGGGGGCCGTTTCAACAGTGAATTCGGCATGGAGGCATTCCCGCACATCGACACCATCAAGTACTACGTCACAGACAGGTCGCAGCTCTTCCCGCAATCGCACATGATTGATTTCCACAACAAGGCGGACGGGCATGAGCGCCGCATCGCGACTTACCTGGTCGAGAACTTCCGCACGGTCACGGATCTCGAGGTGGGTCTTGGCGAGCGTTGGGGCAATAGCGCAGGGCCTTGCATGGCTAACGGTGCATAGGGCTTTATTCACCTGACCCAGCTGTCGCAGGCCGAAGCGTTGATGTTCGGGTACCGCGGCTGGCGCCGGCAATGGGGCCAGAAGCGCTTCTGCGGCGGGGCGCTGGTGTGGCAGCTCAATGACTGCTGGCCGGTGACGTCGTGGTCGATAGTAGACTACTTCCTGCGCAAGAAGCCGGCGTACTATGCGATGCGCAGGGTTCTCGCGCCGATCGCGGTCGCGGTCAAGCGGGCGCACCACGACTGGAGCGTGGTGCACGCGCGGCCGGCGAAGACGAGCGAGTGGGAGCTCTGGGTGTCGAGCAGCAGGACGGCGGCGGTCAGGGCGACGGTTGAATTGCGCTTCATCTCAGTCGCGACAGGGTCGGAGATCAAGGAGGCGGTGGTGAAGAAGGACGTCACAGTCGTCGCTAACGGCACCACGGACCTGCTTTCCGGCACCATCGATAACGTGCGCGAGGAGCCGCACGTTCTGGCGGCCCGCATCTGGCTCGACGGGCAGGTCGTGTCCCGGGATGTTGACTGGCCGCAGCCGCTCAAGTACCTGGATTTCGACGATCGTGGCGTTTCGGTGGTGCAGGACGGCAGCAGCATCCGAGTGACGGCGGCGCGCCCGACCAAGGGCCTGGTGTTCGAGGAGCGCGAGGGCGTGCTCGTCGACGACAGCGCCATCGACGTGGTGCCGGGCGACGAGCAGGTGCTGACGGTGCGCGGGCTGGGGGCGCAGGCGGCGCCGCTGCGGTGGAGGTATCTCGGGCAGCAGTAGCAGCAGTGAGCAGCGCGAAGCTGCGGGGCGTGGCGTGCTCATGGCCTGACGGCGAAGCAGCGCAGGCAGGGCGCAGGGCGTGCAGGGAGCAGTCACGATAGGCTGTGGGCTGGTGTGGGCTGGTGTGGGCCGCCTGCGGGCGGGAGGGCTGAAGGGCCTGGCAACTGGCGCCATGTGCCGGCTTGGCGGCGGGCGGGTGTTCTTGGGCTGGGCGGAGACAGGGCGAATTGGACAGGGCATGGAAATTGCCAGATTAAGTGCGTCCTACAATTTCACGCCGATGCATCCGCCCTCATTTCGCGCTCGCCGTGACAGCAGGGCGCCGCGCGCGTGGCCGGGCAGCAGGAGGGTTTGGGGGCGCCGGCCGTCGTGAGAGACCCCGCCGCCAGCGCGTCGCGGTGGTGGTGTGCGTGCGGCCAGGGCCTCGCTTGCCCAAATCCCACCTATCAGCCAGTGGCCGCGCGCGGAGGCCCGCTGCGGCACGCCAGTTACAGAGCCTCGGGTCGTGCCCATGCAGCGTCCTGCGGCCATGCTGCCAGAGTGCCAGAGCGCTGCGGGGGACTCCCCTGCCGCCTCTGGAAACCTGGGGTCTTCCCGTCGATGCTTTCTTTCGACATATGCCACGCCGTGGCGCCGATCTGCTCAACCGCACCCCGGCTGCTACGCTCCCCAGAGAGCCTCCTGCTGCGTTTATTTGCCCGCACCCCGCCCCAAATAGCCACACGCGCCCTCTTTATCCGATCCTCGCCGCTCCTTTTCGCACCAGGAGCTCGACGCTACCGGCCCGGTCCCCGACTGTGACCTCACTGCCTGCATCATACCTCTTCAGGCCTCCCCACCACCCGCCGCCTCTTTAACATCCAGTGATGCCGGCCCTGTCTCTGAGCTAGCCGCACCCCTCCGCTCTCTCATCCTTCGCCGCACGCGCCCTTGACCTCAAGGAGCACGGGCGCTCTGCTGCTCTGAATGTTCCACACCTTCCAGAGCGCCGCGGCCCTGCCGGGCTCCGCAGACGCCGCCGCCGGGGACGGCGCAAAGCCCTCGCGCCAAAACTCACGCCGCATCTCCACCACCAACGCCTGCGTCGAGTGCCGCCGCCGCAAGATCCGCTGTGACGGGACCCAGCCATGTGGCCAGTGCCTGTGGTACCAGCACCCGGAGCTGTGCAGCTACTCGAAGCCTGCCCAGCGGGTTGTGCCGTCACGCAAGTAAGTTTGAAGAGGCCTGCAGGCTCTGCCCTGGTCCCATGAAGCAGCCGCTACAGACACGGGCAGCCCTACTCACAAGTCGTTAGGCTTGTCGAAAAGCTGCAGAGCCAGATCGACCAGCAGAGACTGGTGTTGGGACGACTGTTCCCCGGGAAGGACCTCGAGGCCCTCAGTTCAACGCCACGAGAGGAGCTTCTCAACATGGCCCTCACGCTTCCGGCCCCTTCCGCAGCCTCACCGGCCGCATCCATCCCCAAGTCCGCTTCGGAGCCCACGCATGACTCGGATGGTCCCGAGAGTCTGGAAGCGGCGCTGGAGGCCGCTCCTGATGAAAACCCAGAGTGGGACGAGGCCAGGAAGCATCAGATCAAGATCCAGGGCATCTCCGACGATGTCAACGGCCTGTCGCTGTCGGTGGACAGACCGTCCTCCTACGTCGGCGTCTCCTCCATGACGGCAGCCCTCAAGGTCATCGTGCGGACTGCCCCCGTCGCGAAGTCCTACATCAACTACAAGCAGACCGAGACCGCGCTGCCAAGCCGCAGTGGCACGCCCCCGCCCGAGCTTCGAGACCCCAACCCCAATGCCCTCCCAAACGTTGAGACCGGCCTGGACCTCATTGACAACTATTTCGAACGAGTGCATCCGTTCTTCCCCATGGTCGAGGAGTCCAAGTTCCGAGCAGCCTACATTCGGCAGCAGAGATGGGATCCACCCTGGCTCGCTCTGCTCAACATGGTGTTCGCGCTGGGCTCGCTCGCATCATCTACGGCGGACAACGAAGCTCACTACATTTTCTTCACGAGAGCGCGCAAGCACCTCAGTCTGGAAACTTATGGGAGTGGGAACCTCGAGGTTCTTCAGGCCCTCGGGATCATGACTGGGTATTACATGCACTATCTGAACCGCCCCAACGAAGCGAGCTGCTTGATGGGCGCTGCGCTGCGTATGGCCACCGGCCTAGGCCTGCATCGGGAATATTCCAGCCCTGCTTCTCCGAACCCGAAGATCAATGGCTTGTCCAAGTCACGGACGGACATCCAGATCGCCGAAACCCGACGGCGCACTTGGTGGAGCCTCTTTTGCTTGGATGTTTGGGCATCTACGACTACAAGCAGGCCATCACTAGGCCGCATCAGTTCTGCAGTCACCGTGCTGCCACCTGGGAAGATCCTGGAAGACGTGAGTTTATCCCGAACACTGACTGACTAGCCACTAACGAGCAACGCCGTAGCCATCGTCGAGTCCTGGGAACGGCCAAGACTTGCGAGTGCTCCCCTTGATCTACAACATCGAGTTCTGCAAAATCGCTTCGAGGATCCAGGACACACTCGCCACATCGCCGCTGCTCAAGTACGAAGACCTGGTTCAGATTGACACCGACCTCGTCAATTGGCAGAACAACTTACCCTCTATCTTGGCGACCAATGAACCGTGCCCGGAGTGTCTCCGTGTCCCACGATCGGTGATGAAGTGGCGGTACGAGAACCTTCGTGTTGTGCTACACAGGCCGTTTCTGCTGAGCACTGCTCTCAAACGTGTCCCCTTTGCCGCCCTCAGCGCCGAGGAGAAGGTTGCAGTTGGGAAATGCCGAGTCATCGCTGCCCAAAACATTGAAGACATCAGCAAAGAGTGCACGCCAGATCTCATCTCGGGCTGGAACGCGGTCTGGTTCTGCTTTCAGGCTTGCATGGTCCCGCTAATAAGCCTGTTCTCCGATATCAGCAACCCCGACGAGGTTGCCAAGTGGCGCAGCCAGATTGAAATGGCGCTCTCCTTTTTCGACCGGATGGAAAGGTACAGCGTAGCAGCAAAGAAGAGCAGAGAGGCCATTGCGAGGCTGGCCGAAGCCAGCAAGGTCAACCAAGAACACCTGGAGGAGCAGATGAGACAGCGGCAGCAGTTGTGGGAGCAACAGCGTGCAGCGAGTGCGCAGGCGAATGAGGGGCAGAACTTCCACCAGTTCGGCGACAATGCTCAGTCGCCATCACAACAGCAGCAGCAACACCAGCAACAACAACAACAGCAGCAACACCAGCACCAGCACCAGCAGCACCAGCAGCATCAACAACAACAGCTTCAGGAGCAGCAGCGGCAACAGCGCAGCCCGAGCAACCCGGTAATGGCCGTCAACCCCAACCAGCCGTTCCCGCCCGGGTTGGTGGGCGGGCAGCAAGCGTTCCCGAACATGAGCGGCATTTCGGGCATCGGCATGGGGGTGTGGCCGCCTCCCGAGATGGGTGGCCAGGGCGGCTCGTCGAGTCTCGGATCGCTGTCGGGCTTCTGGGACGAGATGATGTGGGACACGTTCCCCGAGATCTCGGAAGATCCGTTCGGCAGCTTCAACGGGGAGTTCGACTTCCCGCCGGCAAGCCAGGATACAGGTGGGGCACCCTGCTGGCAGCTGGGCAACTGAGTTTCATAACGCTGACGGGGAGACACAAGGGGGACCGCCGACCCTCGACCAAGGGGGTGCAGGGCGCGATTACCGCTTCGCGATGACGTCTGTATAATGCTGGGATTGACTGGCGCCCTTTTCTTTTTTGTTTTTGCCAAAAGGATATACCAAAACGGGTGGGAAGGTGAGATTGGCGGAGGGGTGGAGTCTTCTTCTTTCGGTTGGACGTGGTCGTGACGCTGGGGTCACAGCGCACGACGTGTATGTACAAGTCACGGTCGCTGTCGTTTGGTTCCATTGTTGGTTCGGGCGAGGATTGCGGTTCCTCTCCTGCTGTACATTACATACCCGATGTTGCAATGATAGTCGGACGCGAAAAAACAGCTTACCAACTCGGCCGAAGGTCGCTCGCAACACTTGCCAAGGGGGGGCGGCGGCGGAGTCGGGCGGCAGAAGCAAATTGGCCGGGTCGGCGGCGGGCATCACGATCTTCAAGCTAGGGCTGCGTTCATGCTCGGCGCACGGGGGTTTCGGGTGCGGGAGGAGAGAGGCAGCAGCGGGTGTTTAGGCGAGCGCAGCCGGGGCGTGTGAGGGCGTACGGTACGTACTGTGTACGGCTTGCGTTACGGAAGTCGGATGCTACGGGACCGTCAGGCTGGTAATTTCACATCATTGGCAATCCCTTTCCACCAGCGCGCCCTCGTCAGCACTCTCCTCGTGTCATCCCAGGTCTCGCGACGCTGCTGCTCCCTCGCATCGTCCTTGCCGGCTCGCACGCATCCTTGCCCACCAATTCCGCGTGCTCCGCGCTCGCCACCTCCCGAGACAGCTGCCTGGTCAGCCCTGCGAGCTAAGACCCAAGGGGCGCGTTATCGGCCTTATCGACCACCATTTTCCACACCATCCCCGAGCGATAGAACGCGCCGCTCCAGCCCACACCAGCCCATCATCCGCCTGCGCCATATCCTCCCGGCCCTTCGCCCCGTCCTTCCTCCGGCCCGAACGGGCATTTCGCAACACAGCGCCCTCAACCTGCCCACGTCCCACCAGCCCGCCGCGAGCTGAAAGCTGTCATCCGACAAAAAAATAACACGCTTGCACAACGCGCTCCGCCATCCCCGACCAGCCTGCACGACTCGCTCGATTGACGCCTGCGAAGCTCGGACTCCCGCCGTCCTTTACTCGTCCCGACGCACATAGCTGCCCCGCGCTCGCGCGACACACCCTGCACAATGTCCTCGACGACGGAGAAGCCGCTCGCCAACGGCAACGGCGGGCTCAAGTCTGATGGCGCCAGCCAGCCGGACGAGGTGGAAAACATCTTCATGTTCATTCCCAACCAAATTGGTAAGCTCTTCCATTCCCGCAGCCTCCCGCCTCACGACGACTGGGAACAAGGATTGCCGCTGACGACTTTTGGCGGAAAAACCAGGCTACTCCCGCATCGTCCTCGCCGTCGCGTCTCTCTACTACATGCCGCTGCACCCGCGGACGTGCTCGCTGCTCTACAGCATCTCATGCCTCCTCGACGCGCTGGACGGGCTGGCGGCGCGCCGCTTCAACCAGTCGACCAAGTTCGGCGCCGTGCTGGACATGGTGACGGACCGGTGCACGACGGCGTGCCTGCTGGTGTTTCTGGCGTCGGCCTTCCCGCGCTGGTCCATCGTCTTCCAGGGCCTGATCAGCCTCGATCTGGCGAGCCATTACATGCACATGTACGCGACGCTGAGCATGGGCGGCGCGGGCCAGAGCCACAAGAAGATGGACGAGAGCAAAGGCTGGATCATGAAGATGTACTACTCGAACAATGTGAGTCGGGGACCCTTTTTTTTTTCCAAAGCTTTGCCCCTCCCTCCCTCCCTCCCCCACCACACAAAACCCCTATCCAGGGAACCTAATTGCTGACGGAACAAACGTTGCAGATAGTATTGTTCGTCTTCTGCGCGCTCAACGAGCTCTTCTTCATCGCGCTGTACCTCCTCTCCTTCTCGTCGCCGCTGCTCACGCCGTCGCTGCTGCAGCCGGAGCCGTCGAGCCTCGCGCCGGGCTCGCCCGCCGCGCCCAAGCCGTCGGTCCTCTTCACGAGCCCGTGGTCGGCGGGCGCCATGGAGATGGCGCGCGCCAACAAGATGGACAGCACCGTGCCGTGGGTCCTCGCCGCCGTCTCGTTCCCCGTCATGTTCGGCAAGCAGATCATCAACGTCATCCAGCTCGTCAAGGCGAGCCAGTGGCTCGCCGAGGGCGACGTCGCGGAGAGGCGGAAGCTGGGCTTGCCCAAGAAGACGAATTAGGAGGGTGATGGTGGGGGTGGGGAGGGGGGGCCAAAGAAAGCGGATCTGTCTGGAAAGTGGTTTTTTCCAATTGCTGGGTTTTTTGTCCCCGGGGCCACTGAACCAGGGAGGACGCGCTATCCGCCGTTGGGAGCGCGCGGAAAGTTCTGCTTGGGCGGCCCTGAACAGAATTTCTACCGACCGTCTTTGCCGGAATACAATTGTGTTCGCGTTGGTTTTGAGTGGAGGATTTTCATGCGAGGCATGGGGTGCCTATCTGGAGTTCATGGAGGATTCTTCACGTCCCTTCACTTTGAATGGGGGAGTCCCTCTCCTCCTTCCATTACTATTTATTTTTCCCCCTACGCCCGCCGGGTCTTTCTATTACCTCGAACTTGCTTCTTTTTATTTTTTTTTTTCCGCTTTTCAACGACGTCAAAAAATTCATCCTAAGCTACACACATACGGGGCACTCAATACTGGGTTGGAGGGGGGGAAGGGGATTTTGCATGGCGGTGGCGACGGCCTGGCTGGCTGGGATGACTGACTGACTGGCCCAAACATCACGTTATTACACAGGTGTTTTTCTGTTCTCCCGTGACAAAAAGGCGCATACGGCTGATTTCCATTTATTTGTACCGGCTCCTTCCTGTGCGTGTCTGTTGCGATGTTTCTCGGGACCACCCTTTTTGTCTCTTGCGCCCTTTCTCTTCTTCTTCTTCTTCTATCTTTCCTCCCCTTCACTTTTTGCTGTGATCGATAATGTGTGTTTGTCTGTGTGCATGGGTGTTGCAAGTATGGTTTGCAGCTATGCAGGTTCCGTTGATGGGCTTGTGTGTATGTCTTTGTGTCTGTGTTGTGTCTTCTGTGCTGTGTTGCTGTTGTGAAAAACGGGAGATAGAAAGGAAAGCTTGTTGAGAGGACTGTCACTACTACTTCTACTACTACTACGACTACTACATTTGAACAAACAGACTTCTTGCAGGATGGTGGTCAGCGTGCGCTTGGCTGGTATGAACTGTTATAGCCCGGGTTATTAATAACTGAGGAAAGAGTACCATTGGTGGGAACGAGTGTTTGATGGGTGTTGTCGAATGGCCGTTTCCTTTCTTTTCGACTTTTATCGCATGCATGAGAGATGGGGCGAGGTGGGGTTCGCTCATCCCAGCATCCTTCAGGAAGTGAGAAGTGACGATTGTGGCTGGGTGGGGAGGGGAATTAGGTTGACGATCACCGAGACAGACTACCTCGTTGTAGATTCAAGCTTGGTTGGGCCCGCCCAGCCCGTCACCGCTTTCTCTGCTCCTCATCTCCTCCTCCTCCTCTTCCCTCCACTCTTCATCGTTTCTTCTCTAAACTTTCCCATCGGGCCGAGGACCGCTATCATCTTTCTGTACACTCCCCGTCGCATATCTCCGTCCTCACGCATTGATCAGGCAACAGCTTAGCGACGGAAGGGGATTGGTTGGACGACGCCCTGCAGGCAAACGAGTGATAAGCGAGGTGTAGGATGATGTCGTGACGCCGGCGTGCAGCTTACTCGTTCATCGTTTGATGCTCTCGGTCCGGCTGTCCCTCCCCCTCATCCAGCACGTAAGTGGGGTCGATTTGACAACGCAGCGGGGGATTCGTCTTATTGTTGCCCTGACAGGCGTGGTAGAATCCCGAATTGGATCGAACAAAAGGCAACGCTTAAGTTTCCGGACTAAAAGACATCGACCGGGATCGGTGCTGCCGTGCAGGGATATATCGTCGGTTCACACATATCTGTGTTCCTCGGCCACCTCGCTTCATTTCCTCAATCAACCGTGTTTCTGCCTTTTCTCTCTTTTCTTTCTCCGTCTCACTGCCCTTCCACGATGCATCTACCGAGCAAAGCATTCGTCTTCTCCTGCCTACCGCTATTGGGCCGCTGCCTCGCACCACCAGTCGTCGACAGAGCAGCACGGCTATTCGGGCAGCGGCAGCAGCAAGAGCCCGTCTTTGAGACGGATGGCCGGCCAGTTGATGGTCGCGAAGGCGTCGGTGACGACGATGGCTGGGGCGACTGGGTGAGGGACAAGTACGTCGTCCAGGACCCGTTCGACGAGGACTTTGACCGCATGGTGGAGGAGACGCTGGCCCATTGGCACGTGCCCGGTCTATCCGTGGCCGTCGTGCACGGCGATGCTACCTTCGCAAAGGTGAGGCGTGTTGCTTCTTCTTCTTCTTCTTCCTTTCCGTGCTTCCTCGGTGCACCAGGACCGGACTGACCGAGAGAAAAACCAAACCCGCAGGGCTACGGCAAAGCAATCCTCCCCGACGTCGACGCCACGCCCGACACGCTCTACTACGTCGGCTCGACGACCAAATCCTTCACCGCGGCCGCCATCCTCCTCCTCATCGACGACAGCCGCCTCCCCTCCAGCCCGCTGCCGCCCAACCTCGACCTCACCACGCCCGTCTCCAGCCTCATCCGCGCCGACTTCGTCCTGCCCGACCCCTACGCCACCTCCAAAGCCACGCTCGAAGACCTCCTCACCCACCGCACCGGCATGCCGCGCCACGACCTCGCCCTCCCCGCCGCCGCCACCACCACCCTCCGCCACCACGTCCGCAACCTCCGCCACCTGCCCCTCACCGCCGACCTCCGCACCACCTGGCAGTACTGCAACATGATGTACACCGCCCTCGCCCACGTCCTCGAGTCCCTCACCTCCACCACCTGGGCCGAGTTCGTCACCTCCCGCATCTGGCGGCCCCTCGCCATGACAAACACCTTCGCCTCCCTCGCCGCCGCCCGCGCCCACCCCACCGCCCGGCACCACCTGTCCGCCCCGTACTACTGGCACAACGCCTCCGCCTCCTTCGTCCGCGAACCCCACCTCCCCGACTCCCCCGCCCTCACCGGCGCCGGCAACGTCCTCTCCTCCGTCGCCGACTACGCAAAGTACCTGCGCGCCCTGCTGCGCCGCCGGCCCAACTTCTTCGCCGGGCCCGACGGCTTCCGGCAGCTGCGCAAGGCGGCGCGGAGCGTCGTCGTCGATCCGGGGGACGATGAGGACGACGAGGAGCGCGGTGGGAGCGGGAAGAACGCGCCGTGGGTGGGGCCCGAGCTGTACGGGCTGGGGTGGACGCTGCAGACGTATCGGGTGGGGGGGCTGCGGGTGTATGCGCACGGCGGCGCGGTGACGGGGTACGCGGCCGAGATGGCGTACGTGCCCGAGGCCGGGTGGGGGGTGGCGGTCATGGCGAACACGGAGGTGAAGGGGGGGTGGGCGGCGGAGCGGGTGCTGGTGAGGCTGGTGGAGGGGCTGGCGGGGACGGCCGCGGACGAGAGGTGGGATGCTGTCGGGGTGATTGATGGGAGGGTGGCGAAGCTGAGGGAGGGGAGGGCGCGGGCGAGGGAGACGTTGTTTCCGGGGGCGCCGGAGAGGCCGCGGGAGGGAGAGGGGGAGGGGGAGGGAGGAGAGGGGGGGTGGTTGCCGTTGGTGTTGCCGTTGGAGCGGTATGCGGGGACGTTTGCGAATGACGGGTATGGGAGGGTTACGTTTGCTGTGGAGGACGGGCATGGGGGGAATGCGACTGTCGATGATGATGAGGAGGGTGGCGGGTCTGCCGGCGCCGGATATGGGGGCTATGACGGGATCCGCGGTAGGCACCTCCACGCGTCTGTCGCTGATAGACTCTGGCCCTACACCATGTGCTTGGAGCACGTGTCGGGTGAGTTCTTCATGGCCTGGCTGGGTGCCACAAAGGACTTTCCCAACGGGCTGTTCGACGATGAAATGCCGCTCAAGGCTCGCTTCGACGTGGGCGTCAGTGGAAAGGTCGAACGGCTGTTCTTGGGCCTGGAGCCGAGGATGGGGGACGAGATGATGGTTTTCACAAGAGTTGACGAGTGAAGATTCTGCGCAGGGAATGTGTTGATGTAGGGAAAGGACATACAGATTGGATCTCGTGTTGGGTTTGACTGGGTCCGGCGTCCAGTCCGCAGCTTTGCAGTCTTCCTTTCCAGTCGCCCTCCTGCTGTTTACATACGAGAAATGGCATTACGGAAAGTAAGTTAGATTCCTACACCTGCGCCAGAGACTCACGAGCACGAGCACCCGCACCCGAACAGTCTGACCTGCAACATCTTCGGTAAATCATCAATCATTAACAGCGCCACCCACACCACCACCATCCTAGCCATCACCCACCTCCACCAAAGACTGCCAACCAGTCACCACAACCCTCCCCGCCTCGGCCGTCACTACTATCGATAGCATCAATAGAATCCCTTCATCCCCCACCACCGGAGTATGGTTGGAGATTGGAAATTCAAGTGGTATGCACTGCACTTCCACAGATTAGTGTTTTGACGTTATTTAAAGACTCGTTGGTCAATCGATTGGCGCATGTAAGTAGCCCATTATCTTCGGGAGCTCGGTCAGTTCACACGTTCGCATCAAAGAAGCCAACATCCACCGGGCCATATCATACTTAACGAAGCACTTGCACACTCTACACGGTACTAGGGAAAGAAGTATCATTGATGGAATGACTCGATTCAACCCAAATACAAACATCCTTTCTTCAACAACCCCAACCTTCTCCGAAATACTGCGCATAGTCTTCCCATCCAAACGCGCTTTCTCCAGGTGAATGAGAATCGCAGTCAAGGACATGGTCTGGAACAACCCAGTTCTCATGGCCATTGTTCTGGTTGAAGCCATGAGCGTTCTGATATGTCGATATGGCACTTTCAAGGGCTTCAGCGGAGAGAGCATCGGCCCCAGGCACACCTTCTGAGCTCGTCAACATCGTACCCGGTACCGTGGCAGCGGGTGGCTGATGAAGCGGACCTTGTTCAGCATTGTGCTGCAAAGTCGGCACTGGAAACCCTGGGCTGTCTTCGTCGATGGAAGATGAATTGCCATTCCGGCCGAACAGGGTGAACAACTTCTCTTGGGATACACGAACGGCTTCTAGGACCTGCGCGTTTGTGAGGTCCGCCAAACCTCCGGGAGAACCTTGTGTGGCCAGTTCGAGCTCACGATCCAGAAGCAGAGGCAGTCTGTCTCTGCTGAACTGTTGGAAGCGTGATAAAAGCTGGGATTCTGGTAACGGCTGTGGGTATTGGCAGTCTGAAACACTATCAGGCCAGCATGCAACACAATTTTGAGGATTGCACCTACAAGGGTCCGGTATGCTCGCCTCATGGGCCTCTGGGAAAAGGATGAGGAACACCCGTTGCCATTTGTCTTCCTCGGAATCAAGGCCTCTGGACCTTTTCTTGGACCGCAACGAAGCTTCTTGGTCGTCGGTGATGATCTGGAGTTCCGGGTCTTCTTGACGCTTCTCACATCTCCGGTTCTCTCTCAGGTGTTCGTGGAGGGCAGCCTTTTTCCCGAATTTCTGGAAACAGCGACCACAGCGATTTGGCGCACTGTGCTCTCTGTAGATGTGCTCCCTGTGATGGATATCAGAATCTCAAATCCCGCCATCAAGGGTCGGATATATCACTTACTTCAACCGAGCTATGGAACTGAACCCCGGAAAATAACACGATGCTGCTTTCGGTGGCCTGAGAGGATTCCTCTTCAAAAACGGACAAGCCAGTCTTACAGCGCCGGAGGGAGATTCCGGGTTTTCCATGAGCGCTATTGAGTCAGTATGTCGCCTTTGAACGGTGTCATTATAATCGTCATCAACCTGAATACTTCAAGTAAAGGGCTGTTGATATGTAGAGTAATAGCACCAATATTTTGTCAGTAGTGCCGTTTTGATGTAAAGAGGAACGAAGATAGAGCCTGTCTACTTGGCACCGCTTGGATTTAAATCTGGCGCGGATGCCAGTCTGACTCAGACAGATGGAGGCCTGCTGTTCTACTAATGAATAACCATTTTCTGATCCTTTTCTGATGTAGCACTGAAGGAGCTGGTGCCTTTCGTGGCTGGCCCATGAGCCAACAAGAGGAAAACATGTGTATTCTTCACAAAGCCCCGTTATTGAACAACTGTGAGGCTGAATAGGGCAACAAATAACTAAAGGCCACTGGGGACGTATTTTTCGGCATAGCAAATCAGCCCATCTGTTCAAAGGCACCGGCAATCCAGATATAAAACCAGGCTTCTCCGGTGTTCACTGTTTAGAAGTAGTGATTGGCTCGGCTCTATCCTACTTTGAATCCTCGTCCTGATTGGTCCAAAATCTTCAGCTAATCGGTGCGGAGATTTCAAGCGACCGGTGTGTTGCTACCTCGTACGCTATTGGCCGTGAGATTGCAGCACAAGTTTCATCGAATTCCCATGATGTTGCGCTGGATGTGGACTAGCGGATTATATCCCCTGCACACCGGTCCATATCTGAAGGTGTTCGCCGATTGGCTGCCACGTCAAACACAAAAACATCATCATGCAGTGACACGCCAAGTTTCCAATTCTATGCCAGCCCAAGGCCCCAGCATGTAATACAATCTCCGTTGGCGTCACCAGCTCCGTGGGTCAAAAATAAGGTATCCAAAACGCTCCCTTATCCCGCAGATGGCTTCGTGTGCTTCCAAACCCCCCCGTTCGACTGCAACCATGCCCACAAACACCCGTTTCATCTATATAGTCTTCATCACAGTCTTCCTCTTCTGTGGGCTGTGGACTGCATTCCAGATCGAGGACCCCAGTGCGCAATTTGCCATGGACCACGCCCAAAATCCGGCTTGGCAAGACATTGCGAGTAACAAGAGACGCGCGATTCTGGACAAGATCCCTCGGGAATGGATCTTGTCGCAGTCCGACTTGGATGAAGGACGGGAACGATGTACGCTCACGGATGGCTTCCTTGAAAGGCTCCTGGATCCAGAAACCCGACACATTACCGGACTGGATAGCTCCCAGATACTGGAAAGCGTCCGCAATCGCACCTTTACCGCAGTCCAAGTGGTTCGCTCATTCTGCAAGAGAAGCGCCTTTGCCCACCAGCTTGTTAGTGGGAACTGTTCTTCAATTGTCATGAACTCTGACTCTGAGAAGCCTTAGAACAACAACCTGTTGGAGATTATGTTCAGCTCCGCTCTGAAGAAGGCGGATGACCTCGACCGGTACTTGGAGGAACATGGCGAAGTAATTGGTCCGTTGCACGGCCTTCCGGTTAGCATGAAGGATCAATTCCATGTCAAAGATGCCGAAACCAGCATGGCATACGTAGGATGGATAGGTACATTTGAGGGCCATACCGACACTGGGAAAGAAGGCAAGGTAGAAAGCGAGCTCGTAAGGGAATTGGTTGAGCTGGGGGCAGTTCCAATCGTCAAGGTGATTCACTGTTTACATCGGAATATTTTTGGTAACGCTAACTATCCCGTACATCAAGACAAGTCTGGTACAGACGCTTTGGGTACGCTATGACAAGCCAAATGGCCCATCTCACTGCTGATTGTTCTCGTAGTATGCGGAGACGAACAACAACATCATCGGATACACCTGGAACCCGGTCAAACAAACCTTATCCTGTGGAGGCTCTTCTGGGGGTATTTTCCTATCCTGCATAGCTATTGATACCGCTCTGACAAGGGTTTTGCAGGCCAGGGTGCACTTCTAGCGCTGAGAGGCACAACCATAGGATTTGGAACCGACATTGGCAAGTGCCCCAGATAAATACCACCTTTTCAGAGAACAGCGGTGAATTGTTGCTAATCTACGCAAAAATAGGCGGATCAGTCTCTATACCCGCTGCCTTTAATGGTATCTACAGCATCAAGCCTTCACATGGCCGAATATCGTACAAAGATACGGCAAACAGCGTGAGTCTCCATCATAAAAGCAGGCTATAACTCTTGAGTATGTTAACACCAGATCAAGTCCCCAGGCCAGGCGATAATTCCTTCAGTTGTTGGGATAATGGGAGATTCAATCTCAAGTCTCCGTTTGACTTTTCGATCGTTGCTGGCTACGAGTCCCTGGCTCCATGACCCCGAAGTTTTGAGAATGCCGTGGGCTGCCGAAGATGAAACCTTTGCCAAAATTTCATTTGGTTTCTTTGAGAACGATGGAGTCGTCGCACCTCATCCGCCGATTGCACGAGCTCTTCGGATGGTCAAAGAAGCCATAGAGAACTCGGGTCACAAGGTAGCCGTTCGGAATGAGATTCAATTCACGCATGCTCACTGATACTACAGACGGTTCCTTGGAGTCCGCCCGCCCACAACGAATCTGCTGCTATTCATGTAAGGAGCTGAATTTCACCGAAACAGCAAAGTTCAAGAGCCGCTAACATATCTTGGAGTCTTCGTTCATGGACGCCGACGGGGGCGCAGATGTCTTCGAGCAGTTGAAGTTGTCTGGTGAGCCTTTAATCCCCGAGCTCCAACCAGAGTTTGGGGATGAGCCAGCGCCGCCGACGCCACTTCTCGAGTTTTACAACAACACATTGCGGCTGAAGAAGTATCGCGAAAGGTACCAGAGCTACTGGGAATCGACGTCGCCAGACACAGACACGGGTGAGCGTCATACTTCCTCGGGCCCGTAACAACCAAGTGGCTGAAGACTATTCAGGCCGTCCCGTTGATGCAGTCATCTTGCCAGCTGCACCGCACGCAGCAGTCATTCCCGGAAAGTGGATTCATTATGGTACGTCTTCCAAAAGCGTCTTGTAGCCAGATCGAGTAACGTGGTGGTTATGCACGCAGACTACGCGACTATCGCCAATACGCTCGACTATGCCGCCATCATCATCCCGGTCACCAATGCGGACAAGGATTTGGATAAATTCGACAAGAACTATTCGCCAATGACCGAGAAAGACAGGGAAAATTGGCAGGCCTGTACGTCACCCTCCTCCAGGAATCCAACTTGTGCGGCCGTCGCATGACAGTAAAACTGACTTTTTGTAGACGATCCTGACTTGTATCACGGAGCCCCTGCATCAATCCAGATTCTAGGGAGAAGACATGAGGAACAAAAGCTTTTGAGCGTTGCACAAGCTGTAGTGGATGCTTTGAAGAAGCACAAGCAACAGGGACATTAGAAAAGTTTCAGACCAGCTCATCTTCAATGCCTTGATATGCAGTTGACAGGGTCCGGGTCATTGAACTACATCAGCAATCCAGCTCGTCTAGAATCTCCATGGCCTCCTGCAACGAAGGTCTGGTCTCCAGTTGAACCTCTTTTTCCAAGCTTTTCAGAAACGCCTCGGTCTTTCCCAGTTCTGCCTCCCAATGTTGTTTCACCAGTTCTAAAATCTCGCCGAGTAGTTTAGTTGGGGGGAGTCTTGGGAAGTTTTGGCCTTTGTGTCTCAATACCAATTTATCTCCTTGCCGGTAGAGGCTGGTGCCGCCCGTGCCTGTGGCATTCCATGATGACCCCTGCCCTGCGCACCTCAAGACGAATTGCCTCAGGCTATGCGGAGTCAGTTTGAACTCTGGGAACTCGATTCGCGGCTCGATATCGAAGGAAGTGGCAAGGTTGTTTCTCGGGTTGCTCAGCTCCTCAAAGATGCAGTACAGCAAAAGGCCCAGTGAATAAACCTCGGCGCTCACTTTTGCTTCGGGTGAAAGCGAGAACCAAATGGTGTTGGACCCATGCCCTTGGTTTCTATATTTTCGATGTCGGACTTCAAAATCGTCTCGGGGTAGAAGGTGTGCGTAACGGAGAAGTCTGAGCCATTCGTTGTCATCTGCCGCATTGGAAGCCGCGCTCTTCAGTTCCTGAAGATATGAGAGTGACGTGATTTCCGGTGCCGTCCAGGAGTTCCAGTTGCCGCGTTGCTCGAAGTCGACGAGGACGACGTCTTCGCTCTCGCTTGTGGAGGACCTCGGACACTTCAGGAGGATGTTGTCGGGCCTCAGGTCTGAGTAGAAGCCGGCCGTGGTGCCGTGTAAGTGGGTCAGGGCTGATATTATCTGGCGTGCCCATTTGCATTTGGTTTGCAAATCCAAAGACCCGGTGAGTGCCATGCGAGGAACCATGTCACGCAACGAACCTCCGGAGTAGTAAGGCAGAATAAATCCGCAAACACCCAGCTTACCGCCGAAAGACGACTTCTTGACAACGATGTATAGCGGTGGAGGAACGATATGGGGATGCGGGGGGATTGTGAGAAGCAGCTTGAGCTCGTGGTAAAGAAACTTGGGATCGCTTGTGGTTGATTTGAAAACATAGTCCTCCTTGTCTCCATGAAGGCGCACGACAGTTATTGAATCATGAAGCTGTCGCAGATGAACAAGCCTGTCCAAGTGGATGATGTCTGGCCATGCATCATCGGCGACATCATCGGCCCAAAGTGCTTTCAGTGCTTGAACAGAAAGGAGCTGCATTTCCAGTTCATAGGCAGGGATGATCCGGAGCGTCATGTCCTTCACATCTGATGTAACGTTCTCGAAGACGAGTCTCGAACCAAAAGGCAGATGTTGAATGCGATCCCAGAGCTGGAGGTCCTTCCGGAAATGGTAATCCAGTGCATTGCAAATGTGATGCGAAATGCCGAGTGAGCCTATCTGGGACCCTCGTGTGCAAACCGAGTGGCTGGACTGTAGTACAGAGCGCAGAGCTAATGGGTGCTTCGTTTGATCGGGTATGAAAGTATCAATTCGGAGAGGAGCCCACCCGCTGCGAAAGATGGTAGGAACGGTGAAAAACCGGGTTCCATAGCTGGTTCCGCCGTCGATACGCCAGCTTTGCGGTGCTTTGAGTTGAGCCAAGGAGCAAAGTCGATTCTTCGGATTCAGTGGAGAGAATTCCCATGGACAGTCCTCGTACAAAAGGGCTTCAGCTGACAGGATCTGGGTACTCCGGAAGACGAAAGTAGGCTCAAGAATAGCGTCAAGAAGAGTGCAACTAAGGTCCATTCTGAATCAAGTCAGAGTTCTGTGAGCCTGGCGTGATGAAAATCCATTGCAATCGTTCTCATATCGCCGCGGATGCACTCATGCCGAGCCACGGCGTCATGGGGCATGCAGTCCAGATTATCCATTCGCTACCCTATCTCTATTCGCTTCATCCCTGCACACCGGTCGGCAAAGTTCGTTCACGCTGAGTGGTCAGGTTCGACATGACCATGCAAGGATGTGCGCATGCACCGTCAGCTCGCATCAACCTATCATCCATATCAGCCTCGCGATACGGACATACTTGGCAGTGCCCTGTGCGCCACAGCCCCGTTCAAGGACGGATGAACGCAAAGGATTTCACGCCGTTGTCAGACGGGCGCAAAGGCGTATGCAAACTCGACCCTCACTTCTTTTCGCATGCGCCTGAGAGCCACGATACTGAACCGATTCGAAAGCAACTGACACCGCTATGGTACTGAGTGAGCTGTCATGTATCATGGAATCAAAGCTGATGACAGGCCAGACACCGCCAGAACGGGCAGCTCCACGCCCTGCAGCATCGGGTAGTTACCAAGACCTCGCCAACGCAGGGAGCACACGCACCATGCGTTCTGAGGACCAAATCAAGAGAGCAGCAGATATCCTTAACCTCTCTGTGTACGAGCTGTCTCAGGCTCTGAATGCCAAGGTCCCGGTCCGGTCGCAGAGGCAGGAGCTGGATCGCGCGGATCTCGGCCAGAACTCATTCGGACGCGATGGCTACCAAATCATCAACCGGAGCCCTTCAGATGGCCAGGAAAGGGTGGGAAGCCCAGCTGTGCAACAGCCCCGCATCTTTGCGGAAGTGTCAAGCTACCACCCCCACCCTACTACATCGAGTCAAGGAGCTCATGCCGACCTCGAAAGCGACTGCCATCTTTACGAAACTCACTCTCCTTTCCCAGCACCCTCTTCATCGCGGACGATAACACAAGTCTCTGCTACAACTGGCTCTCAAACTCTCTCAAACCGATCCACCCCTTTTCAAGAAAATCGGAACCAGGATGATTCGCGAGAGCTCAGATACCTGGTAGAACATGGACCATGTAGCAACCTATGGACTGTTCCAAAAGCTGTAAGCTCTACGGTATTTCATATATCGCGATGTTGCTTACAGAACCTAGGGACGAGGAAACCGTGCCGGAGCCAGTCGAGGGGCCGGTAAGAAAAGGAAGAGGCTTTCGCCGGAAGATCAGACAGATGCACGTCCTACGAGCCGAGGTCCATTTCAAGATTCTGCGAAGCGTTTGGAAACCGCAGAAACTAGGCAAAAAGGCGCATGCGTTCGATGCTTTATGCAGAAGATTAGAGTGAGTCATCTCCTTTTCATCTCAAACTGATTCGACATGGTACTGATCCGCCCCGCTATGTACTTCAAGTGTGAGATTAATCCTCAGAACCCCGACGGTGCATGCAAGACTTGCCTTCAGCTGAAGCAGTCAATTACCCGCCTTCCTTGCCTCAGGTATAAGATCACGGATGCATCGCTGTTCCGCGAGCAAAAGGCCCCAAATCCCTTCTATTCAAAGAGATGGGACAGCATGGAAATCAAAGATATCAGCGGGTGGGCGTCAGAGCGCACAAAGACAATCAAACTCACTCATGGTTTCGGACAAGCCGAGTACACGTTGGAGCTCAGGGAGTTCCAGCCTGTAGAAGGGGATCTGTTGGAAGAAGTTTGGTACGACGGCTTGACCAGAAAGGCGCATCCGATCCCACCATACGCAATTGCCAACATGTCCCAAGCGGCGCGAGAGATAACACGCTATGTCGAAAACTCGATTGCCGTCTTCGTTGTCGGTACTGTAGGCGAACATGACCCGAGTTTTCCTTTCTTGTGGCAAACCTATTGGATGGCCTTCAGACATGCACACGAGTCTCCTGTAAGTACCCGATATTCCCGGTACGTTGATATCAGCTCATCCCTCACCAGAGGTATGAGGAGAGAACACTGCTTCTGGATGCTCTTCGACTCTGGGTTACATCCCGAATGACAAGTCTCCCTGAGTGGATCGGCAGCGACGAGAAGGTTGGGACGAGAGTGGAGGATAGGTCCAGCCCCTACTATGGCACGGTGCCTGTGGCACCAGTGATTTGCGCTCAGCTGGAAGTCATCACATACTCCCAGCTCCAGCGACCTTTGCGGAAAAGAGTGCTTGACGGGCTAGCACAGATGATGAGGGTCAACGACAGGCGGAATTGGTTCACGATATATTTGACTCTCTTCATATTGCTCCACAGCTGTTCCATGACAACGAAGCGCGACCAAGAATACGCTACTCAAATGGCAATGACCGTTAGTATCATCTCATAACGCTGGTGGTGATCGAGAATGCTAAACAATCCGAGGCCAGTCCCGATACGCGAACCCAAAGAGCATATCCGAACACCACGTGGGCATGATGACCATGCTTGCATACTTTCACTATTGCAACAAAGGAAGAGTTCCGTTCGAGCTTGCAAGTGATCCAGCTAAAGCTGCAGAGCTCGCAGCAGTTGCGGCGTTGAACGAAGACCAGATGGCGTTCGTGAGGCAGACTGCGGAGTGGATCAAAGCGAAGCGTAAAAACCCTATATTTCAACAGTTGCTATTGACAGGTATTGACTTGCGAATAGGAGACCATGTGAAAAGAATCAGAGAGGAGAAAGACTGTGGAGATCACTACTATTTTATCTCGCAACTCTTTGATGCGGATTGGAGGCCGACCGCCACCGCTTAATGGTGCAGAGCATTCATTTTTCGATGAACGTTCTCAACGGTAAACATGGCTTGCGGACATTGTTTGAACAACTAAAGTATTGGATTCAGAACTATCAACGTCGCTCAGACAAGCTCGGCCGTTTCAACAAGCAGGAAGACAAAGAACAACTGACACACACACACATCAGTCACATGGAGAGGAGGAACGACACATGAGGACTCCGTTGACTCGGACGGGCTCAATGTCCCATCGAGTCACCCTTTCGTCATCTTCAAAGACTCTGGCCCAAGCAAGCCTCAGCGCTGGAGGCAAAGTCCAAGCCTTCTCTTCGTCGTGAAGCCACAATCGAAGCAGATGCCTCTTACTCTTTTCCCGGCCATTGTCGAAGAAGGCTTCTCTGCCGTGCAGCAAGCCCGTGTTGTTGATGAAACGCATGTCTCCCTTCTCCATGGTGAGCTTCATCTGGTGTTCTTTGGCGATGTAATGAACCGAGTCAAGGGCATCAGCTTGCGCCTCTGAGAGCCTCGGGATGCTCTGGGAGCGTGGCTCGTAAGGGTGCCCGGTGAGGACACGCCGGGAGAAGTTCAGTATCGCTTTGCCATCTGTATAGAACAGGAGCGCACGATTGTAGTAGGGTGGTTCGCGGCCAAATCTAGAGTCAAGGTTAAGTTGATAAAACATTTGAGGATGGTCCTTCCGCCTTACGTATCAAACGGCCAGTCCGGTCTCGCCAGGACATGGATCAGGTCTGGCCTCGTTGCGGCCAACTCGTTATAGATCGTCCAAGACGATGCAATAGTACACATGCCGCCCTCCGTAGAGCATTGGCGCGTCAGAGTTGCCACGATATCGCAGGTGACATCGGTATGAAGAGGCTATCCTTCACAATCAGCTTTTCTATTTTCGGCCGCTGCTCACGGAACACTCACCAACTCGGCCTGTGAGTCCGCCGCACCGTTGTCCATGAGATGTTCTTTTGTATGTTAGCGTCGGCTCATTTGGGTTGATATCATCATTGCTTACTGATCATTGTGCCGTTGCGATCTTGCACGCCTCGTTTACGGGCAATGTAACTGGACACTCCGAGGAAGACGGTTGCAAGATCTGGTGGAGAAAACTGGTCCACATCCAGCCCACGGAGAATGACCGCCCCAAGGCCGTTGTATACCTCCTCAGAAACCGCTGCAAGACGAGGCGCCAGTGTTGGAAGCGGGAAATTCTCCGCTGAGACATCATTGCCATCCAGTTCCTGGTCTGGGAAAAGTCAGCATGCTCTGCCAAGCCCCTCTGAGGGCTGGAACTCCTTTTTGCATACCCTTGAACCAGCTCAGTGCTCGTGAGATCTCTTCCTTTTCCTCGTCTGAGAGACGGTAGATGAAACTGGACTCGTCTTCAAAGTTTGACCCTTTCCAGGCAAGGCGTCCACTCAAGGAAGCAGGCCACCCATTCGGAACGGCCTTCTCCAAGCCCCCAGCGAGGGTTCTCTTGGCACTTCTCGCCAGAAACGTGTCGAGGTCTGGATTGAACTGGATGTCCGCCTCAGGCTCGGCCTTCTTTGCCAGACGGTTATCCGGCGCATCGGTGCGGTACTTCTGCTGGATTTTCTGCGAATAGTACAACTTGGCTGGATCAACCCCAGTTGAAACAACCACAGGTGGCACCATGTTGCAGCTGCGAGGATAAGGAGCTGCCCGAAAGGCTTTGTAGGAGAAAGGGAGATGCTCAAACGGATTGCACGAGGCTACTTTATATCACGAATGGCCCTGTTCCCATTCTAGACGGCCAACGTCACAACCACGATAAAACCCCGGTACTAGCACTCTGCTAAGTCAAATCGGTAGCGCTTGGAACCACCTTATCAGCTTGGAGCGGCGTCAGCCTTGCTTACAGACGACCACATGAGCATTTCCGGCTCACTGCAAGCCGCCCTCCACGACAGTGCATACGATGCAAGACCAATCATATGCAGAATACCATGCGAGGATCTTCAAGCCATCATTAACCCCGCTTCGGATGATTGCCATGTTGGAGTTTTTGGCAAGGCTGGAGTGTCGTCTGATTGGTGGGTGTCCCCCCATCCCTTTCAATGGACGTTGAGTGGATTCGCCATATATGCGACTCGCCGGAAAGGGAACTGGAAATTGGACATGAGGTCGGTGGCAAGAAAAAAGCAGAGCGGGCTGGAAGATGGATGAGGCTCAAATTGATACACCCCCGCGTTCTGAGGCTGGTGAGTTGGTCGGCGGGGACCCCCCTGACTCACCAGATCTGCAGCTTCTTCAGAAGGATCTGATATTTGCCTGAACACACGCGATGAGGCCGATGCGAGCACCAGCGCATGTGGAAATTTGTGGGCCTTGCATTTGTTCCGGCGCAAGACGCGGGAACGGTAGAATAATGAGGGAAGTGGGGAGTGCGGTCTCGGCGTGAAGAGGAGCCACGTCAGTGCTCCCACCCCATGGGGGCCAAACTATCACAGAGTACCAAGAGCATCATCAGCTGCTCTCCTTGCTTTGTCGGTAGCCTTAAGCCAAGATCGCAGAGCATACGGAGCAATACCAGATTGTATCATTGTATGAACTCTCCTACGTGTATAGACCACGCTCTTTAGCATAGCTCTTAACCTTCGTGGTCAACTCAAAGTAGCAGTTTTCACCAGTTGCTGGTAACACAGCCTTTGTACACACAGTGCTCAGTCTTGCTACTCTATCACGTATTCTTACCCTTTTCTTGTACCCACTCAAGAAAAATCGTCGATAGGTTTCTCCTGTGACGGTGGGCTTCTGTTACTAAGTTTCAGAGTCGCTTAGTAGGTTGGGTAGACTGTAGGGGTTACCTTGAAAAGACAAGAGGGGAAAGACAATGATTAAACAGGAAAGGATGGTATCGGACGGTGAGCACAGCCCGGTGCTGGAAGAAGCTGGTTGACTGGATGTCTCATTATACTGAACGAAAGAAGGGGCACCCAACAAGGGTGTTGTGCAAGATGAGTCGATGACACGTTGCTAAAGACTACCTTGTTGGGTTGATGATGGCGATAAGCCTCAACGTTATTGAATATACGTCGTGATGTCCAACAGATGGCCAGTGAAGATGACATGCAATTTAACTATTTTGTAGTCCTTTGGGTGGGATGAGCAAGTCGCGGCGGAGTCCGACTGCTTTTTTTTTGTTTCAGAATGGGTGGACGTGATATGTTGGGTGAGTCATATGTGGTATGGGACGTGGTTGAGACATTTCAGTCGCGCGACAGTCAACAACCAGTTGATTTGTAGTCATTTACTTTGCTTGCCATTCTGATTTTCACGTACGACCATAGGTCGCAGAATACAGGGCTTCCCGTCCGCTCAGCCGTACTTAAGCTGCGAACCGGCCGATTAGTACTCAAGTGGGTGACCATTGGGGAATCCCGGCTGTTGTACGTTTTGCGTTTCTCTCTTTTGCCCTACTATTCACTCCTCATTTGCAGTATAATCATTGAGAGGCCTTGGACATTTATTATGCGTGGCTTCAACCAATCGGCCCCGGTTGTCAACATCTGGGGGCGTTCGATTTTGCCTTTTGTTTTTTCTTGTCCGTTGCCTACCTTAGTACCCAACTCGTCGTACCCCAGCTGTGTGATGTAATATGTACTCCAAATTTCTTTGTATGATTGCCTGCATGTCTGCCTGTCTTGCTTCGCTCTCTCGCTGCATCACCTCTTATGCTTCTCCTTTCTTCCTTTTTCCCCAGCAGCAGCCAGTAATACACCCACATACACACACACGCTCCCCAATCCACACCAACGGACGCACTCACTCCCCGCAGACGCCCCACTCCACACACACCGTAACAAACAAAACCGAAGGAAATACAAAGCCAATTGCGGAAGAGGAAAAAAAAAAGGTGAGGCGAGCTCAAAGGTCAATGAGAGTGAGGAAGAAGAAGAAGACGAAGAAGATAAAGTAAAAGATGTTTCAATTTTTTTTTGTTCATGACTATCACATTCATGCTACCCTAGCTAATTATTTTCTTCGTCTCTCAAGAGTAAAACGGCCGCCACGGAGGAGGAAGAGAGAAGAAAGAAAAAAAACTTCCCCCTCCCCCTCCTTTCCCATTCCCGTCCGTCCCGGCAGCCCAGTTTACCAACTCCGAGTAATGCATGTATAGTAGTAGTAGTAGTAGTAGTGGGTCTTTTTCTCTGTGATGATGTGTGACCGGCGGCAAAAGAAAAAAAGGAATAGAAACTTTCGAAAGGAGGCTGGTTTGTTTGCCAACCCCCATGATGCCCTCCCCCATCGCCTGTCGGAAAACTGTGTCTGCAAACCCCCACGAAAAGGGTATACTTCTTGTTCTTCTTTTTGCTTTCCCCATGCTCTCTCATTCTCCCCCTTCCCGCAAAGCACGAAACGAGACCGATTACCGCTCCCGAGCTAAATGTGGGCCGCCGACCGAACCGGAACGGACGGTCCCGCCCACAAGTCCATCATCCATCCATCCATCTCAGTTGTCCGACTTCAGCCTTACCAGCGCCCGCGCTAGCGTCTTCTTCTCGTTGCCGTCCTGCTCCAGCGCCGCGATCAGATCGCGCATCTGGATGCCCTTGCCCTTCGATCCGTCTTCCCGCCAATCGCCCCACTTGCGGTCTCTCGCCGCCAAGCCGCGGTCCTGCGTACCGCCGCCTCCTCCGCCAGCGCCGCCGCCGCCGGGTCCACCGCTCAGCATGCCGCCTCCGCCGCCGCCGCCCACGTTTGTGTTCAGCCGCGGCGTGCTGGCGCCGGAGCCCCCTCCGCCGCCGCCGCCGCCGCCACCGCCGCTCAGCCAGCTGTATTTTTTGCCGAAACCGCCAATCGCCATGTTCGCCGTCGTGTTGGCGGCCTTGTGCAGCACCTCGTCTGTCTGGCCGGCCTTCGCGAGGCGCTCCCGCTCCTTCTTTGTCATTTTCAGCGGCATCAGGTCCGCGGGGGATGTCTGGGCACCCGGCGTGCCGGGCGCGCTGTCTCCGCCCTTTGCTGCTGCACGTTTTTGACGCTTCTTGATCCGCTCCTGTTCGTGCTTGCGCTCTTCTGTTTGGAGTTTCCGTAATGTGGAGGAGAGGTCGGACGAGAACGAGACGGTGGGTTGCGGGGTCGGAGGAGTATCTGTGGGTGGGGTGGGGAGACGCGAAGGGTCCTTCTTGGACGAGTCGGTGTCGAGAGGTCCTAAAATTGGTCAGAATAGCGATTGGAATACAAGAAGAAATGAACATACTTTTCGTTGGTACAGTGGTGGGACTGATGGCACTGTCCGGCTGATCCCATGCCGTCTTGGTGACAGAGGTTGACACAGCTGTAGTAGGCTTCGGCGTTCCATTACCGGTTGCGATGCCTGCGAATTCCGGGGAAACGACGCCGTGAGAAGTAAGTTGGCGTGACCGTGAAAGCGCATACGCGTCTTCCATGATACCGCGTAATCGCTCCTTGGTCGCCAAAGAAAGGAGGGTCAGAATCTCTGCCAGGGGTGCATTAGTATCAAGAAGTGCTGCAGCTTGAGCTTTGACCATGCCAGTGCCGTCAGGAGCGGCAGCTTGTGTGCCATTCACTTTCTGCGGTGAATCTTTGCTGATTCGGTCGTACAAGCCGTCCACGTTGAACTTCACACCCTGCTCGTAAGTGTGGTGACCGATCTTCTGCCTAATGTTGTTACCACGGCAGAAAGGGTCATTGAGCTCCTGCTGGGCCTTTTCGGCCAAGGACCGCGCGGCTGCCTTGTGCTTCTCGAACAATTCCTCCTCAACAGTCTTTTGGGAGACAGGCGGCTGGCTGACGGGACCGGCGCCCTGGAATGCAGGGTAGTTGCCAAAGCTTCCTTGCGAAAGTGCATTGAAGCTTGTGTTTGGCGACTGCGTGTTTGGCGAGTGCGAGAACGAAGCAGTGAAAGAGCCGGTCTGATGCTGATTCTGGTATGTCTGTGCCAAGTAGTTCTCTTCCTCACGCAAGTCAATGCCCGAGGCGCCGATGACATCACTCAAGTCATTGATGTCGGTTGCCTTCTCTTTCTCGGGCTTCTCGGGCTTGTCTGCTGGGCGCTGGGGCGGGCCCATGGATCCGGGAGCTCCACGCGACGCGTCAAAACCGGGCTCCGGAGGCTGCGGCTGGTTGAAGGGCTGCGGCTGGTTGAACGGAAGTGGCGTGTGCGCGGGGGCAGGAGTGTTCGGCATGGAGGAGTAGGGCGAGTTGTGGTAAGGCGTATACGGAGAGCCGGGGTTGGGAGACAGTCGCGGACGCTTGTTCGCGGGCGGCACACCCATGCCACCAGGCGACATCTGGACGGGCGAGCTTGCGGTCGGCGGGTAGGGCGAGTAGGGCCGCTGCGGCGGCTGGGACGGCGGGTGCATGGGCGGGTATTGCTGGACCATGGTGACGGAAGGGCCGAAGCGGGTGCTGGAAGGTGGGAACGCAGAGCTGCTGCTGCTGCCAGCAGTTTGGGCTGCCCGGGTGAATCGCCGTCACCTAGCCCGATCGCGCGGCGTCGATCATGCGCGGCTGTGTCGCTGGTGCGGTCGTCTGGAAAATCCGCAGTACGGGGCAGGTCGCGGGAGTGCCGGGTGCGAGGTGGAGAAGCGGCGGCTCAGAAGACGTTGTGTTGGGCGGCTAGTGCGATGGTGGGCGATGATGAAGCGGGCTTCCCATGCGAGGGTTGGCGGGCGGCGCGTCTGCACGATTGCACGGAAGCGCGGCCCGTTGTTGATCCGGCAGGCGCGTCGAGCTCCAGCATGGATGCAGCGGGTGCGACACGCCGCACCAACTCCAAGCCCGTCGCCGACAGCTGCTGCTTCCTCACCTCCCGCGCCGTCTATGACCCTGCGCGCGTCCTGCTTCTGCTGCTGTCCGCGCGCATCAGCTTCCGATTGATCCACTTCCTGCAGCGTCCCGTTGCACCCAGCAATCCGCCCGCCGCTCGACCATCCGCCCGCCCGCCGCCGCGCAGCACCCCGTCATGGCCGCCAAACGCAAGGCCGCCCAGATGGCCCCCGGCAGCGACGAGCCTGTCGATCCCGCCGACGAGCTTCTGTTCTACTGCTTGGGCGGCGGCAATGAGGTTGGCCGGTCGAGTCACATCATACAGTACAAGGGAAAGACGGTCATGGTACGCAGCCTCCGTTCCTGGCTTGAGCGGCGCGCTGACAACAGCCCAGCTCGACGCCGGCATGCATCCCGCCTACGACGGTCTTGCCGCGTTGCCCTTCTACGACGAGTTCGACCTGAGCCAGGTCGACGTTCTGTTGATTAGCCAGTAAGCACATTGGTTCCTTTGTTCAGCGTCTGCTTTGATTCCACCCTCGCCTGGAATGACCCAAACAACACCCGAGCCGTGCTCTGTAATCCTATGCCGAGGCTTTTGAGCTTGCACTCCAGAGCGCAGTCCGTCGTTCGCAACGAACGCGAAGGAAACCCGTGCTGGGCATGAGTTCTGCGGTGTTGCATATCTTGTATCGCCACCATTGTATATGAGCATCAATAAAACTCTATTCTTGCGCCTCCCGACTCGCTTTGCTGTGGTGACAAAACCCGCTCGCACTGAACTCATCCCCTCCATGTACATAGCATCCACACTTCCGATCCGCGCAGCCTCGCCTCCAAGTAGCGACATCCTGCTAACCACACTGATAGTTTCCACATCGACCATGCTGCCTCCCTTCCTTATGTCTTGTCCAAGACAAACTTCAAGGGCCGCGTGTTCATGACGCATCCGACCAAGGCAATCTACAAGTGGCTCATCCAGGACAGCGTTCGCGTTGGCAACATTTCGTCGTCTTCTGAATCCCGCATTCAGCTCTACACCGAAGCCGACCATCTCTCCACCTTCCCCCAGATCGAGGCTATCGACTACTACACAACACACACCATCTCGTCGATCCGCATCACACCTTACCCTGCTGGCCACGTCCTCGGTGCAGCCATGTTCCTGATCGAAATCGCTGGCCTGAAGATTCTGTTCACTGGAGACTACTCGCGCGAGGAGGACCGGCACTTGATCTCTGCCGAGGTCCCCAAGAACGTCAAGGTTGATGTGCTTATCACCGAAAGTACCTTTGGCATTGCATCGCACATCCCCCGCCTGGAGCGCGAGGCCGCCCTAATGAAATCCATCACTGGCATCGTAAACCGTGGTGGTCGCGCACTCCTCCCAGTCTTCGCCCTTGGCCGTGCACAGGAGTTGCTGCTCATTCTGGATGAGTACTGGGCAAAGCACCCGGAATTCCAGAAGATCCCCATTTACTACGCTTCCAACATCGCTCGAAAGTGTATGGTGGTATACCAGACGTACGTCTACGCCATGAACGACAACATCAAGAGACTGTTCAGAGAGCGCATGGAGGAGGCAGAACGAAACGGCGACGCATCAAAGGCTGGCCCTTGGGATTTCAAGTATGTTCGTTCTTTGAAGTCGCTCGAACGCTTCGACGATGTAGGCAGTTGCATCATGCTTGCATCGCCTGGTATGATGCAGAATGGTGTCAGTCGTGAGCTGCTAGAGAGGTGGGCACCCGATCAACGCAACGGCGTCATCATGACTGGTTACTCTGTTGAGGGCACGATGGGTAAGATGATTTTGCATGAACCCGATCAGATCCCAGCAGTCATGACAAGGGGCAATGCCGCGAGGAGAGGCCCGAACAGGGAGGGAGAGCCGGTCTTGCTTCCCAGGAGATGTAGCGTCCAGGAGTTCAGTTTTGCGGCCCACGTCGACGGTACGGAGAACAGGGAGTTCATTGAAGAAGTTTCCGCACCAGTAGTGGTAAGTACATGCTCGCTGCATATAATACAGGTCCAAAGGCTGAGAACAATGATTAGATTCTGGTGCACGGCGAGAAGCACAACATGATGCGCTTGAAGTCAAAGCTCCTCTCACTGAACGCCGACAAGAAGCAGCCAGTGAAGGTGTTCAGCCCTGCAAATTGCGAGGAGCTCCGCATTCCCTTCAAAGCCGACAAGATCGCCAAGGTTGTCGGCAAGCTTGCTCAAATACCACCGCCGATGCCCCAGCGCCTGAAGCGGGTAGACGGCACAGATGGTTCAACAGAAGCCGAGGACGAGGAGGAACATCAACCCCAGCTAATCAGCGGAGTGCTGGTGCAGAACGACTTCAAGATGTCGCTCATGGCGCCCGAAGACCTGCGCGAGTACGCGGGCTTGACGACGACAACCATTGCCTGTCGCCAACATCTCACACTAAGCGCCGCAGGCATCGAGCTCATCCGCTGGGCGCTCGAAGGCACCTTCGGCGCCATCAAGCAGGTCAGCGGCAAAGACGCCGCCATCAACGGCAAGGCCGAAGCGAACGGCAACGGCAACGGCGACCACAAGATGGAGGACGGCGACGACGACGACGACGACGCCAAAGAGGGCATCGACGAAGCAGACGAAGAGGTCGACCGGTCGACGACGAGCTTCGTCGTCATGGACTGCGTGACGGTGCACTGCCAGGGCGGCGGCCGCGTCGAGGTCGAGTGGGAGGGCAACATGATCAACGACGGCATCGCCGACGCCGTCCTCGCCGTCCTTTTCACCGTCGAGAGCAGCCCCGCCGCCGTCAAGCAGTCGGCATCGAAACAACAACACGGCCACGCCCACGCCCACAGCCACGCCCGCGGCCCCAACCCCCACGCCGCCTCCGACCCCCGCACCCGCTTCGACCGCCTCTGCATGTTCCTCGAAGCCCAGTTCGGCGCCGCCAACATCACGCCCCTCGCCCACCCCAAGCTCCCCGACACCCTCCAACAACAACAACAACAACCATCATCCACCGACCCTTCCGAACCCCCCACCAAACCCGCCACCGTATCCATCGCCGGCGGTGTCGGCGCCGAGGCCGACGAATCCTTCTCGCCCGACGAACAGGCCGAGCTCAAGCGGCTGCACGCCATGGGCATACCCGTCCCCGGCATCTCGATCCAGGTGGACAAGATGACGGCGAGGGTGTGGCTCGAGGGGCTGGAGGTGGAGTGCGCGAACGGGGTGTTGAGGGATCGGGTGAGGGCGGTGGTGGAGAGGGCTGTAGAGACTGTGGCGCCGATTTGGAGGGAGTAGGAGTAGGCGGAGGCGGAGGCGGGAGGTTGGCTGGCTGGCTGGCGGTGGATGTTGGCTTTGGGATCGGGATGGATGGATGTGTCGAAAAATGAATGGAGGGCCAAAGAAAGAAAAAGAAAATGATGGATGGATGGATGCATGGATGCATGGACGTACGTTGGGAGGGAAGGGGGGCTTTGGGGCGTTGATGCTTATGGCGGTCGCCGTTTTTTTCTTTCTTTTCTCTTCTTCTCTCTTTCTCCTCAAACCGGAAAACCCTTGTTTATCGTGTGCCTCTTATGCCCTCGAAAGATAGTATGAATGAGAGAATGACCACATTAACGGGTAGGTTCGAAATGGCACTGTTCAATGACGACTATCCTGCAACGGAACACAGTAAATGTTTTAGGCTGTTGACAGAAAAGAGCATGTCGATATGGTCATACCCAGGTGAGTGTCATGAGAACGCGCCATTCCGTAAACATTTTTGTCTACTAACGGGCTGTCTTTTAGAGTGCGCGCGACTATATACGGTGTAATACAGAATATTTCCATAAGTGAATGATGGCTTACTTGATAGCCAATCGCATGTGTCGATCTTGCCATGTTTGATCTGTGCAGCTAACCCTTGTAGCTGAGGGTGTGCATACCCCACCCGCCACGACAGACTCTCAGCCTTGTCAAAATTCTTCACCTCACAATCACTCTCCAGAATTGAAGACCCTTGCTGGAGCCCGTCGCCTGCAAACACTACCTTGCTAGAACGGAGATGTCAAACATCCGCACGAGTTTGGCAATACCGATAGACCCATGGGAGCGCGCAAAATCCCGCTTTCTCGAAGGCCTGAGCGATGAAGAGCGGTCAAGCTTCCAGTCCGCAACGCTGGAAACCATTTACTACCAGGCTGAGGTGGTCCATCGTGGTCACCAGCAGACAAGCAAGTTGAATAAGTGCCGCCAAAAGCTCCGACCTCTCCTGAACGCGCTGGAAGCCTACGGGAGTGGCTTAGATGTCATCAGCAACACGGGAACGGTCTCCATGGTCATGGCTCCGCTCTGGGGAAGCATACGAGTAGCTCTTCAAGTACGTCCACGCTAGCAATTTACTATCGCTATCAGGATAAATCCACTAATTCGGATTTAGATCGCACAAGACTCCACAGAGATGTTTGAGAAAATCGTCGATATGTTTACGGAGATCGGAAACGCGCTTCCCCATTTCCGCGACTACGAACGTTTGTTTCCGGAACACGAGAGTTTGTTGGTTGCAATTTCCGATGCGTACCTAACCATCATCTATTTCTGTACCGATATCAAGGACCTCTTTGGAGATGCGAAGAAGTCCAAGAGTAACGATCCCTTGACCAAGTATCGATTGGGTGGAACGAGAACTGATTAGTTCTGTAGCAAGCAAAATCAGCCTCAAGCTAGCATGCAAGTCGGCTTGGAAACCGTTCACCGAGAAGTTCCACCGATACCTGAGAGACTTCAAGGAACTCCAATCGCGCATCGATACCGAAGCTGGAAAGGCGGATATGATAGAAGCCAAACAAGAAAGACAGCGTCATGAGGCTCACAGGAAGGCACTTATCCTCTCCAACAAGAAAGAGAGGTTGCAAGAGTCGCTGCGAAGAATCTCACCATACGACTACAAGGGCCATCACCGCAGGATACAGGAACTACGACACCCGGGAACTGCCATCTGGCTGTTCGACCTTCAGCCATTTAAAGAGTGGCTCTTTACACCATCCTCCTCAATATTTGGATGTTTCGGCATCCCAGGCTCTGGAAAGACGATACTTTCATCTTCAGTCATGGAGCATTTGCAATCAACCCAGGAATCCAGCGTCGTCTTCTACCACTATTGTAGCTATGAATACCCGTCGTCACTGAAGGCTACAGCCATCTTGGGAACGTTTTTGCGACAGCTTTTGGAAAGAGAAACACTTTTTGCCGGTGCCGAGTCTCTTCATGAAGACTTGCTCGACAAGCTGAACACCCCGATTCCCAAGGAACTTTTCGCCGCCATCGCCAGATACTTCAAGAGTGGGGATACTTACGTTTTCCTCATCGACGGGGTAGATGAGCTACCAAGTTCAGAGCAGGCTGAACTTGCTGTCGTCTTGGAAAAAGCGGTGTCAGATGCTCTCCATTGCACAGTCAAGGTCTACATCTCGTGTCGACCTGAGGCCGTGGTCAAGAAGAAGGCGTTCGATCCCAATCTTTCGGTCACTATTTCCCCAGAGAACCTATCTCAAGACATCATAAGCTTCGTAGAAGCAAAAGTTGATGAGAAACTCAAGGAGGGTGATCTCGAGCTCGGCGACCCTCACTTGAGGGATGAGATAATTGATCGACTGGCTGCAGGTGCGAAAGGCATGTATGTCACCAAACCCTTTGATCAATCGATGAAGCCACTCATGATGTCTAGGTTCCTTTGGGTCAAATTTCAGATCGATGAAATCTGCGAAGCTGTCAGTGATGAGGGAATCCGCAAAACGCTTGCAGACCTTCCAAGAGACCTTGTTTCGACATATGCAAGGATCATTCAGAGAATTTCAGCGTCGCCAGGCGGCCCGTCCAAATTGGAAATCCTCGGGAAAACCTGCCGCTGGCTTATTTGCGCCAAACGGCCTTTGACCATGGAAGAACTGAAGGTCGCCATTGCCCTTGAAATAACCGATACCTCCATGCCAACCGCTCGGATATCCAGTGGCGACGGATCGAGGATCATTCGAGCATGCAACAATCTGGTCGTTCTTAGTAGAGCGGATCGTATCGTACATCTTGCGCATCATACTGTTCGACAATTCATCCTTTTGGCCGATGACGTACTATCAGACTTCACGTCCACCCCTTCCGACGACGATCCAATGATCAGTACCGAAGCCGGAAAAATCTCACGTACCGCCTACATGCGAAGCAGCGAGAAGGTGCACTTCAATTTAGAAGACGCGGATCGCGAAATCGGTGCATTGTGCTTGACTTTCCTGAACTTCGGCGAGTTTCAGACTGAAATTGAAGTTCGGGAGGCAGACCATACAACTTTGCATACAACAGGGAGTATAGTCAGTGGCTTACTCCAGACCATGATTCCATCTTCCGGAATCCTAAGGCAGTCACTTGCTTCTTTTGGTGGTATCAGGGGGGTCGATCATTCCAAGAAGGTCACTCTTGTCCTTCCAAAAGCCAAACAAAGCGATACGGCGCAGAAAACAGTTTTTGACCACTATCCTCTCTTGCAGTACATATCTTCGTATTGGCCTTTCCATTTGGATCATTTCGACGGACCCCCCTTAATCGGACCTGGAGCGGACAATCGGTACCCTAGGATTCACAACATGGCTCTGGACGTCGCTTTTCGCAAAACCTTCCTTTTTCAAGCTCGGCCGTGGGAAACCCAAGAGTACACCAAAGTCGAACTTGAACAACAACACGTGTCACCCCCAGCCCATCTACCCTTCTTCCGTTGGGCACTTGAACACGGATCCGAGTATCTCTGGTTCCATTTTTTGCGTCTACTGGAGAAGTCTGATGATCAAAAAAGTTCAAAGCTGGCTGCATATATGCGGTTCGAGATGCAGCCATACAGCAAGGAACGCGATGTTATTGTCCGCGCCGCATCCGGAGGAAGTATTGACATTCTCTGCAGTTTGATAGGTTGCCTCGAGGATGATTTTGGGGGAATCATTCCCCTAGATGTGCTTTGCCACACCATTGCTGTGAGCTCGGACACAACCTTGGAAAGTATTTTCAAGTCGCTGGATGCTTGTGATATTAGGATTGCTAGAGGGCAGCCTGAACCAGAAAGAAAGTTCTTCTGGCAATCGAAGTCTGAAGAGCCTGTTTCGTGGCTGGAACGCACCTGGTCAGCCGATCACCTTGTCCATGGACCGGACAATATCATGGATCTTGTTTTGGACCATGCAACCAAGGAAGGGGATTGGGAGGTTCATCGTAAAGCCAATAAGCTCATACACCACCCTCCCTAGGAGGAAGCACGGCAGAGAGGCATAGTACGTGTCAGTCCAATCAATGGAGCCTTTCAAAGGACAGAAGGTGACGTCGGGCATTGATGACAAGCTTAGCGACGCTATCAGACTGAAGAGTCCGTTTGACCTGGATTGATCTCGAGAGTGGCAAGGCACGAGGTGGCGAAGTGACTGAAGAGGAGATTGAGCGAGATTCTCACGCACAGCGGCCATGACCGTTACCGAACAAAACATTTTCTTCTTGACTTTCTATTTCCATTATTCCGCCAAGCAGAAACTTCAAAGACCGACATCCATTACACCTACACAACTACCACCACAACTTGATCTACTCATACCACTGCGGGGCCATTTTCCCTTTATGTTTGCACTGGATACCATCTCTGTAAGAGCAGCGAAAGTCCCATGGAGTCAGCAATGTCCAATCCATTCCCCCAAAATGTTCGGAAACTTCTCATCGTGGCATGAGTGGGTAGCGAGACCAAGATGCAGGCAGAACGATCGGAGAATGGGAGGACCGCTGGGCCAAAAGGTCGGAGGGTTTATCCGATGGTTTGCATTTTATTCATACTCAAGTAAATTGTTCGAGTATCGTCAACAGTACAAGTTCGGTTTCTTTGGCAATTGCATCAGTTTCTCAAGCAAACATGAGGAGTTCAAAGAGCTGCGCGGATGTTAATTTCGTCGCGTCCACCAAATATGTGCGTCCGTATGTTTGTTTCAACTACATTTGTGATAGCATTATTTTCAGCAATACTACTGAAACGGATCTCGTAGCACATCACTAAGATTGCCCAAGATAATTCTCATTCATTGTGATTTTGACTCGCATTGAACGCACTCAGAAGCTAAGCAACCTCGAGCAAAGTGTTCTACCTCTATTTAAAACACCAGCAAGAAGGAAATAAATATAAATCAGAAGCCATGCTCGTTGACTCTGAACTCTCGATGTTCATCGTCCGCTCAATCCAGTATTTGTGTACGCCTGGAATTTTGCACTTATACCATAACAACCTGGTGAGGCCGCCAAACCGGTGTTTTGTTCTCTGCATAGCCTCTCAGTGCTAAGGGAAATGAGAAAGTCAAAAAAGGATAGGAAGGTCATTTTTCCGCTGCTTGTTCTCCTCCTTCGATGCTGTGCAGATATCAACGCATCGCAACCGGTTGAAAGTAACGAAGAGAGAAAAGGGCCGCACATCACTCTTTGAGAAAGTGCAGGTTTCACGACGACGTGACTCAAACTAGAAGAAAAGACCACCATGTCAGGCCGACATCTGGTTCGATAGCACCACAGGCGTTTTCCAATCCGGGAGCTCATGCCCTTACGAGAAAAGAGCAGACTTGGGGTCGATCGTGTTGCCGGTGTAGTAGCGGAAAGTAGCCAAGCTGACATTCATCTCTTTCTTCACGCCGATATCGGGTAGTTCGGCTTCTTTCTTGAAGTTGAACTTGTTGAGAAACTTTACAATGCCCTTCAGATCCTCAGGATCCCTCCTGTCAAATGGAACGTTCATAATGACAGAGCCAATGACCCTTGCGCCTCCGTGATCAGCGAAAGGACCGGTTCCAGTAAACTGATAGCCTTCCATGGCATAATAGAAGGGGTCGAGAATGTAAAGAAGCCGGTCCATAAGGCAACTGCCGATCTTGTATCGAATGTAGTTAGGATGAATGAAGACTTCGGCTTCCGCAGTGAAAGCGTACATGCTCTGACGACTGAGATAATCGGACGCGCATGCAAAGCCGAGCACCGAAGCATCGGTACCATTTGTGTAGCCTCGACCGGCCCTTTTGCCTTTTTGGCATGCAACGAGCCAGGGCATGAAGTTTGAAGTCTCATCTGCGATGCGGCGGGCAAGCTCCGGGACGGAGAGCGGCATGACTTCTGCCGACCTGATGCTGTGATGAATGTAGTGGTTGTAGATCCCAGCGATCTGGTGGGCATCGGCAGCAAGGGCGGGACGGATATACAAGCTAATCGTCGGCTTGATCTTTTCAGTCATTCCGAATGTGATATGCGGCACTTCGGCAATGGTGGCAGCAAGGTGCTCACGTTCGCGAGCGTTCCGCCTCTCCCTATCAGCCTTCTTCTTGTTCTTCCTCTCCATCAGCTTGGCACAGGCGTTTCCAGACCCAAGATCGTGCACGTGAAGGATCTGGCCCTCATCGTCGGCGGGGTCGATTTTAGCCTCGGGAACGTCGTAGGGAACCAAAAGGCTGGAGTCCTCGGAACTGTAATTTCTCCACCAAGCCTTGCTTTCAGGATCAGCCAAAGAGCTTCCAACGTGATTGTTCCACCACTCCTGAAGCGAGCTACCCTCAATGCGAATAGAGGCCCAAACACGGGGCGCAACTTCACCGTTGGGCACGTCCGAGAAGCTAGGTTCCTTTGTGATGTCGACGGCGGCTTCTGTCTCATCCGTACCATAAACGAAGCGCATCATCTCCTCATTGAAATTGTGGTGACGGTAGCTGCGGCGAGACTCCCAATCGGTGGGTCCTGGGAGCCAATTACCTTCCCAGTCCACCAGCTTCTTGATGTCGTGCTGAGGATCAGCGGCTGGGTTCGATTCAAACCCAGTATCGGAGCCATTGGAACCCCAAGCACCGACACGCCCGTTGGAGTCCTTCAAAGCTCTCTCCCTGATTTCTTTGTTGGTGATCCACTTTGTGTTACGTTTGGGCTTAGTCTCGTTGCTGTCTTGTTTATGAAGATAGCGGTGGTTCATGATGGCATGTGGAGCAGCGGGGGGAGGGTTCTGGCTCCAGGTCATGTCAGGGTTGGCTTGCGGCGCTTGGCTGGCTTGAGTAGCCTGGTTGGTTTCAGTCGCGTGGCTGGTTTCCGGCACCTGGTTGGCTTGGGGCGTCTGGCTCACTTGCGGTGCCTGCTCCGGAGCTTGAGCCGGTTCAGTCGTTACAGCGCTTAGTGGGGCAGTGGTAGCCTGCGTGTAGCTGCAAAAGTAAGTTTACTGTGTAGGCTTGGAGTGAATATGGGAAGAATACCTTTGGCTGGGGGTAACACCACCGTCGCGCGCCATATTGTCGTTGAAGCCGACCTCCTTGTTGGAGGTAGCATTGGTGTTCAGCGAAACGCCACCATCATGGTTGACGGAGCCGTTGTGGGTGGCCTTGCGCAAGTGAGGCGGAACATATTGGGTCTGCGTCACGCGCTGGCGCAGGTGAGGGGGAACGGATTGCGGCTTGATATCAGTCATGTTGTCGAAGTGAGCTTGGAGAGGCGGGCGTCTATGGTTGCTGTTGTTGCTGAGCCTGCGGGGTGGGCGGACGGATGGAGTAGGATTGTGGTTGCAGTTGTGTGACGCTGAAGGCCTACTCGCGACGTGACTGGCACGTGCTTCAGTTTCGTCCCTGTCAGTCTCACTCGGGTTGCGCACGTCAATCAAAACGCCCTCGCGGCAGGGGCGAAAGTCAGTCTGTGGAGGAGCTGAAGGTGTTTGAATTAAGTTAAAGGCTGAACGAGTCACGGTCGACGCGCGATTCGTGTTGATGTCGGCGAAGGATAGACCGGCGGCGTCGATGTGGGCTCTGAGGTTGTTTCTAGCAATCGTATTGTTGAGCCTTTGGCCCTCGTCGGTTTTTGCGATCCAGCAACGAATGCGCTCAGCCTTTGAGGACTCCATACTATTAGCTGGTGGCGCCGGGCGTCTGATATAAGTAGCACTCAATAGAGCACACATGAAAGCAAGGGGGGGCTGATCACCGACCTTGCAAGTTGCTGCTTCGCGACTGCCTGGACGGATGACCGGGTGGATGGACGCGGCGGAAGTACAGCTGAGTCAATGGTGGACGGGTGGAGCTGTCCTGAAGCCGACCGACTGCCGGGAGCGTTGTCGAGCTGAGCTGAGCCGGTTGGCGAAGTTGGCCAGAAGATGGAAAACGAGAGCGTGGGCAGAAAAGGTGAAGTTGCTGTCAGTCGAGGTGGTGGTGGTGCCCTTTTCGGTTAGCGCTGAACTGGACGCAGCTGCCACGCTCGTCTGGCGCAGCGCAAATACAGGCAGCTCCACCCGCTTCCCCCCTCCCCGTTCAAGCAAGCCACAATGTTGTCCATTCTGAGAAAAGCCCGACTGAAGGACAAGGAGATGCGTATATTGATGCTGTACGTAGAAACATTCTCGATGGGCAACGTCACCAAACAGAAAAGGAAAGAAGTATCAGCAGGCCTCCCTGCGTCGGGCTGACTGCTCACAGGGGACTCGACAATGCCGGCAAGACGACCATCGTGAAGAAGATCATGAACGAGGATGTCAACAGCGTCAGCCCGACGCTGGGCTTCATCATCAAGACGATCGAGTACGAAGGGTAGGTTGCCGCCGCCCCGGTCCGAGGGATAGTGTCGCTGACCGCCAAGTTACAAACTCAATATATGTAAGAGCCGCCTCCCTGCCGCCGCGGCGGTCGTGCTGAGCACCACGTGTCGCCGATAGGGGATGTCGGCGGTCAGAAGACGCTGCGCACGTACTGGAAGAACTACTTTGAGAAGACGGACACGCTTATATGGGTCGTCGACTCAACGGACCGCGAGCGCACCGACGATTGCCGCCGCGAGCTGAAAGGGCTTCTTCTGGAGGAGGCATGTACTCGCAGCGCACCACCCAGTCTCTTTTTTGCTCGTCCGCGTGCGTGCACTGACGCCTCGGCAGCGGCTGATGGGCGCAAGCCTGCTCGTCTTCAAGAACAAGAGCGATGTTCCTGGGTCAATGAGCGATGACGAGATCCGTCAGGTGGGTTTCCTTGGGCGGACGGGCCACGTCCGTTGGGCCTGACAGCTAGTCGGGCTGGCTAACGGCGACGCAGGGGCTGGAGCTCGACAGCATCGCCACGCACAAGTGGACCATCATGGCGTGCAGCGGCATGACGGGCCAGAATCTGGAGGAGGGGCTGCGATGGGTGATCCAAGACGCCAGGGACCGGCTGTTCCTGTTCTGAGGCCGCGGGAGCGCTGCAAGGAGCTGCAAGGAGCTGCATGGCCGCCGTCAACCTTATCGCCGAAGCGGCCTAGCGCGCCAGGCGGCGGCTGTCAGCACCACCACCACTGCCTGCGGCGCCGCGCTGCCTGAGGTGGAGCAGCGGGCAGCGTGCCAGCGGGGCCCAGGAATGCGCCGCGGGGCCCACCCCGGCGGCGGAGCGGTGCATCGGGCGTGCAGTAGCAGGTGTCCGTAGCAGAGAATATATATGCTTGCTAGGGCTGTTGCGCAGGGCAGCCGAAGCGGACTGGTCTATTTAGATTTTGGCCCAGCAGGCCGCTCTTGTCCACCCTCATCCCCGCCGCCAAAGGTTGGACAAAAATCGGGCAGTCCGCCCCCTCCTCCCGCCCCGAAGGCCCCTAGCCCGCATCATGTCTGCCCGCAGCGATGAAGCGGCGCCGCCGCACGACGATCCCATCAGCCCGTCGTCGTTCGTGGAACACATCCGCGAGCTTGGCGAGAAGCGTGACAGGGAGGACCAGGAGCGCAATCGCTTGCTGGAGGAGCAGATTCTGCAAGGTCGCGCTGAGCGTGCCGCCCGCCGTGCTGGTGTGTACTATTTTCCGCCCGCCTTGTTTATGTTTGGGCGACACTGCCCGCCCCGTCACTGACAGCCGCTGCCGCACCGCAGAACGCCAACGCTCGCTGTCGCCCGAGAAGGCCTCGCAGCTGAGCACGCCAGCCTCTGTCAAGAGCACCCCGCCGCGCAGCCTGCACCTGGACCTGTCGTCGCCGACCATGGACGCGCACGACGACGCGCTGCAGCGCCTGACCGGCCCAGCGCCCGACCCGCACGGGGACGAATCCTCAACGCCTGCAAAGACTTCTCCCACCACTCCCTACACGCCCACCCGGTCGAGCACGCGGTCGTGGCAGCAGCGCCGCCCGACTTCTGCTAGCAGACCGCTCAGCCAGATCGCCGCCGAGAACAGCGCATCGCGCTCGCCCGTCGAGACGTCCGAGCCCTTCGACCCCGCCGACGACACCGCCTCGAGGACACAGATCGCACAATCGCAGGGCTCAAAGGATCCCTCGTGGTTCAAGCAAACCCCCGACCGCGGCATTGGCTCGCGTGCAAACCGCCGCAGCCACGAAGACGAAGACGAAGACGCAGACGTTGCCTCGATATCAGACAAGCGGCAATTGCCCGGCATGTCGCACGACACGGCCGCTGAGCGCCCGGCAAGCCCGCCCGCCGAGAGTGTGCGCTCCAGCTCGCCGTCCAGAGCGAGCTCCGTGCGCGGCAGCGCCGTCTTCAGCAACAGATTGTCTCGCGACACGTCAGTGTCCGGCTACAGTGCGTCCGACATGAAATCTCCGCTGCCTATGCTAGAGTCGCAGAAGTTCCGTCCTCCCGCCTCTGAGCCGGACGACACTGAGCAGGCTTCGTCCGAGCGGATCATGGCCATGTCGCCCTCGCAAGGACGAATGTTGCCCGAGCGCACGCCGTCCCCGACCAAAGGCATGGGGGGTTTCGTGCAGAGTGCAATGATGAGGCGTTCAGACAGCGTGAACAAGCGGTGGAGTGTGCAGACTCCCGGAACCCTCAGCAGACAAAACTCCACTGCCAGCGCTGGTGGTTTTGGCGCCGCGAGCACTCCGAAGCTGGACACGAGACCGCGGTCCCGCGGCCAGTCCACTGAGCGGCCAAGCTCAAGTCACAGCAACACCACCGAGAAAGGCGAAGTCGCTGAGGAGCCTTTCACAAAACCAGCCAAGGCCTTCCGCCACAACAGAGGAAAGTCCGTCAGCTCCATCACGCAGCTTGGAGAGAACCGCTCAGGAGGGAGCTCGCCTGCGAGCCCTAACAAGCGATGGAGCCGTAGCCCTACAAAGTCGAGCTGGCTCGAAAGTGCCTTGAGCACGAAGCCTGATTCGCCAAAGCCGAGGCCGCAGCCCGAGCAGCCGAGTTGGATGGCAGAGATCAACAGGATTAAGGCACAGAAAGCGAGCGTAGATCTCTCCAGGCCTGAGAAAGCCGATACAGATCCACCAGCAACTCCAACTAGCCCTACAAAATTCCCCAGTCGCGACGCTCTCCGCAGACCAGAATCACGGGGATCTGCACAGGGGCCCGTTGCGCAATCACCCGATTTGGGTCAGGGTCCGCCCGAGAAAATTACCGACCGTGAACAACATCCTGCTCCTGAATCGGCCAGCCACATAGCATCTACGCCCAAAGGACAGCCAGACACCCTGTCATCTCCTAAAATGGAGACGGCGAAGGAATCTGCTGCCAGCCCGACATTGGGAAACCCTGCCGACAAGGCCGACAAGGCCGAGAAGCCGGCGGTTGGCCTCAAATCGCCTGCTCTCCGCGGGGGTGACCCCCCTGCATCCAAGCCAGAGGACCCCTCAAAGTCGGACTTCCGGTCCGCATTGAAGCACCGTCAACGCCAGTCCGAGTCTGTCAGGCAGGGAGAGTTGGAGTTCCAGAATGTGTTCGGCAAGCTCAGGAAGACGCATACTGAGAAGTTTGTCGCACCGGACACGCTCAAAGACAATATCAGCCGAGGCAAGGATGCCCTCAACGTTACCGGCGGTCCTGCTCCGCGCGTGAAGAAGGATGAATTCAGGGACAGCCTCGTCAAGCAGCGGCAATCCATCCAGATGAAGGCGGAAGAAGGCGGGGGCTCGCACGTCAGAACGGGATCTCTTGCGAAGCCTGCAGCACCGGTTGCAGAAGCTCTGGAGATACGCAAGAGCCTTGGCCGCAACGGAAGCGTTTCAAAGTTTCCGACCTCGCCAGCTAAGGAGGTGCCGTCTCCCGCAGCAACGCCGGAGCCCAAGGAATCGCCCGAAGCACATGAAGCTGCCGAACAGACTGTCACCGAGAGCGAGTCCAAAACACCTGCTTCGCCCGCGGAAGAGGAGCCCCCAGCCAAACCTGCCTCGCCCGCTAAGGAGGAGCCTCCGGCCAAACCTGCTTCACCTACAAAGGAGGAGTCTCCGGTAAAGCCCACTTCACCTACCAAAGAAGAAGCTCCAGCCAAACCTGCTTCGCCTACAAAGGAGGAGCCCCCGGCCAAGCCTGCATCTCCGGTCAAAGACGAGTCTCCGGCGAAACCTGCTTCGCCAGCAAAGGAAGCGCCTCCAGCCAACGAGGCCCTCGCGAAGTTGAAGGCCATGCGTGAGAGGAAGCTCACCGAGTCTTCCAAGCCGGCCACGACTCCCAAAGATGCTGACGCACCGACAAAGCCAACCATCAAGGTCCCGGGAAAGCTGTCTGATCGTTTCAACAACTTGCCCGACGCATCGAAGCCTGCCGGAATACCCGGGAGACCTGCCCTGAAGCCGGTGGGCAAGCTCGCTGATCGCTTCCCCGGAGCAGGCGGCGCACCGAAGTCGCCAAAGTCACCGGACGTTGAAGCACCTTCGCCATCTAAGCTGACCGGCAGGGCGCCTGGAAAGCTTGCAGACCGTTTCAATGCCCCGGAACCCTCCAAGCCTGCCTCACCCCCCAAGCCTGCCTCACCCCCAAACGATGAACCTGCAGGCAAGCTTTCAAGTAGAGCATCCGGAAAACTAGCCGATCGCTTCAACCCTGCTTTGGCTGCTATGCTTGCTCGCGGGGGCTCTCCTGGCGGACCCGCTCCGGGTGCAAGGGACTCTGGTCCGGCTGCTGCGGCAAGCCCTGCGGTGGAACCGGAGGCAGGTTCTACGAAGGAACTCACCCATATGACGAAGGGCCGCGCGCGTGGGCCCAAGAGACGGGCACCTAAAACGACGGCTAAGACGGACGCCGCTCCGGAACCAGCTGCGGAGATCGCCTCCCCAACGCCGGTCCGGAAATCTTCAGTTGTTGCGAACGTTTCTCTCGTCAAGGACAAGGACGTCTTGCCGAGCTCGCCCACCAAGGTCGAAAAGCCTGAGGAATCCGTGCCTGCTTCGCCTCCCGAGTCGAAGCCCAAGCCTGTCGCTCCCGCTAAGTCAGCTGAGGTTACGAGAAGGGTATCGGCTAAGCTGGACAGCCCATCGGAGCCTCCGGTTCCTGCTAAGAGTCCCGAGTTGTCGAGGCGTATTTCTGCGAAGTTTGAGCAGCCGTCTACGCCGCCGTCGCCAGGTGTGAAGAGTCCAGACCTCGCAAAGAGAATTTCTGCTAAGTTCGAGCAGCGGAAATCTCCTCCACCTGAGCCGTCCACTCCCAAGCCGTTGGAGCTATCCAAGAAGGCCTCCGGCAAATTCGACTCGCACCAATCCACGATGGAACTAGACTTGTCGGGAGGAGCTAAGACTGAATCCCCCAAGAAGGTGGAGCCTCCTACCGAAGAAGCCGCTCCAGCCACGGCCGCTTCTCCCACGAAGCCTCAGTCGCCAGTCAAGCCGGCAAGCCCTTCCAAAGAGGAGGCCGAGGTAAAGGCTCCTTCACCTAAGGCTCCTTCACCTAAGGCTGCTTCACCCAAGCCTGCCTCGCCCAAGCCTGCTTCGCCTAAGCCTGAGTCGCCTACTAAAGTTAGCAGCCCGTCCAAAGAAGAGGCCACGTCCAAGCCAGAGTCGCCAATAAAGTCGGAGGGTCCGGCTAAGACGGAGGCCGGGGCCAAGTCGGACATCGCGAAGAGAATCGCCGCCCTCAAACAAGGGGGCGATCAAGCTGCCCCCTCGCAGCCTGGTTCCACAAAGCCTCTCTTCTCTGGTGCATCCCGTTTCAACAAGGATGTCAAGTCTCCCACAAGCCCATCCACATCAAGCCCGAGCACTCCCACCGTTGAGTCGCCCAAGCCACAGAAACCCTTACCGCAGCCTCCTGCTGCTGAAGAAGCAAAGCCTCCGACTCCCGCTAAGGATAAACCCGAGACTGTGAGCAACTCGGTCAAGGGTGTCGCCGCAATGTGGGGGCGCCAGCCTGAACCTGTCTCATCTCCTCCTAGAGTGAAGTCGCCCGTCAAGCTCCCCACGAGGAAGGATGAGCAAGAGGCCATGGAGAATGCTGGTCTGGCAAAGCCAGAGTCCCCTAAGCCCGTCGGCCTTGGAATTGCCTCTCTGAACGATAACAAAGAGAACTTTGTTCCTACTCCGAGCGTCAGGATTAGCAAGGAGCTTCCAGCGCCGCCGACCAAGACCCCTCTTTCCCCTCCAACGTCCGCCGGAACCCCTCCTCCCAAACCAGTGAAGAAAGACTCCATCTCTTCAATGCGCAAGGGCTCCCAAGAGTCTCCCATTCCTCAGCAGTCTGAGGCTGGGCAACTCTTCGCCGATTTCTTCGATGACGCTCCAGTCACGTCGGGGAAACTGGATGTTGATGCGCACTCCGTCCTCACCAGCAGCCCGCTCAATGCCGAGAGGGTCAAGACCTTGAAGCATGAGATCCAAGAGATCTCCGGAGACGGCAAGCTGACGCCGATTCCGCCACAGGAGGAGCACATTCTCTTCGACAACTCGATGTACCTCTGCAACCACGCGTTTGCATCCTCGAATGGTGCAAAGCACACTGAGGTGTACCTTTGGACTGGCTCCGCAGTGCCGGAGCCGGCGGTCGAAGATGCCCAGCTGTTTGCCCGTAAGGCAGCGCGCGACGTGGGCGGCAAGCTCCTCATTATCCGACAAGGCAAGGAATGCCCCAACTTCTTCCAAGCCGTTGGCGGAATCCTTGTCACCAGAAAGGGAAGTCGTACCGACCATTCTAAGCAGTACATGCTTTGCGGCCGTCAGCATCTGGGCCATATGGCCTTTGATGAAATCGAGCTATCCATCAACAGCCTTTGCTCAGGCTTCCCGTACCTCGTCTCATCTCGGACCGGTCTTCTCTCCGGAAAGATTTTCCTGTGGAAGGGCAAGGGCTGTACCGCTGAAGAGCTCGGATGCGCCCGTCTCATCGGCATGGACCTTGGCCTGACGCCCGAAATTGAGGAGGTCGAGGAGGGCAAGGAGCCTGCCTCGTTCCTTGAAGTGTTTCCTGCACCCGCCAACGGAAAGGAGAAGAAGGTGCCGCGGTCGGCGGACCACTGGCGACTGAAGGCCAAGCACGAAAAATACGGCGTCCGATTGTTCCGCGTTGACGAGAAGCCGTTGCATACCGGCGGTAGCTTCCAGGTGAGCTCTTTATGGCCCGTTTCTTTCGTGCGACGAGTTTCGCAGGCGAGCACCACAAGTACCCAAGGACCATCCTCACCAACAGAATCATCTCCCCCGCAGAACAATGCCGGTCCTGCCTCTAACGGAGCACCGAAGCCGAACATGACGGCGGAAGTGGTGGAGATTGCCCCGTTCAGCCAGGCGGATCTCGAACCCGAGAACATTTACGTTCTCGACGCCTTCTTCGAGATTTACATGTAAGTCATCCCCCCCCCCCC